AAACTTTTTTTTTCAATTTTCAGGGTATTTTTTGTATATTTGATAGTAGTTAGAAAGATTTGGTTAGTGAGCCATACACACCAGTTAATATAAAATTATTTTATGTCTTAGGAAAGTTAGTTCTGAAGTTCAGTTTGAACTTCTAAAAACGAAAAAAATCAGATAATTTTTTCCTGGCACTGACACGCTTTTTGAAATTTTTAGAAAACTAAAACTGAAAAACTAAAACTGAAAGACCCTACACCATTGTTCCTTCCAACTACGATCAATAAAAATAAAATGACTATAGTTTTAATAAATAGTTAACTGAAAATAGCTAACTGACTTTTCAAAACTGTTGGATAGCAAAAAACCAAAAGATTAATACAAGTTACAGAAATGCATTTTAAAGATGCATTCCTAATAATTTTCAGCAAAAAAAAACATTGAAATTAAACTTCTTAAAGAAAAAACTGACTTTCAACGGAACGTACTTTATATTCTCTAAAATAATGATAAATCGTTATTATGAGGACAACTCGACTACATTTTACACAGAAAACTTATAAAGTCACCTGATATTATTTTTGGTCAACCCTAAACAAGTTTATTAGTACAACGAAAGCTCCACTTCTGACAACGAATCACGTGAGCTGAATTGCAAAAAAATGATTCCGGTAGCATTAGACCTAATCGGTGAAACATCGACTCATTTTTTGATCTAAAAGTTTCGCCTAAAGAGACAGTCAGGGGGGATCTAGGATTTTTTCGAGAGGGGGGGGGGCGGACTTTCAAAACACTTTCGAAAACTTTAACAATCTTTTTTTTCGGAGAACCAAATTGATTTTCCGCGCTCTTCTAAAGCTCTAAAAAGACGCTGTTTTGGCCAAAATTTCTGCACCGCAGGCAACTTCATGAAAAACAGGTCAAAAAAGCCGTTTTTGGGCACTTTTTGGAAAATTTTGATTAAAAAAATCGCATTTTTTTGGCGCGCGCTCCCCCTCAAAGTTACTGTATATTGGCGCCCAAGGCGCCTTTAGAAAAATTTTAAGGTCTGTCGGCCAAAAATGGAATTCTTAAAAACGCCAAAGGGCCGGTTGGGGGTCGAATCCCTGAGGAAAAAGGCGTCAACCCCCCCGCCCCCCTCCTAAATCCGCCCCTGGAGACAGTCAACGTTGATCCGTTGAGCAAGAGCTGAAACTCCTGAAAACAACATGAAATGGAAATCGAAAGACTATTTCAAAACACAAGGATTCAAGGTTGTAATATTTCGAACCATACTTTTAAAGTTAAAGAGGCCTGCTTTTGTCCTTAGATAGCGTCAAAAAGAAGCATTTTTGAGCCGGCATCTGGAATTGGACAATTAGTTTTACCAGTACAGAACAATTTAAATTTGTCCCGCACCGAAGAGGATCAGAAATTTATTGCATTTTCAAGTATTTTCAGAATTCTTTGATCTTGGGAATATGCACCCTACTATCCATTTCGAAAGTGCAACAATTCGAAAGAGTCATTTTCAAAAAATGGGAAAATGAAAGTTGGTATTCGGCTTTCAAAAATTACTTAATTCTCGTATCAATGATTTTTTTATGACACAGACACAGAGCTGCTCTTCGCAAACACTAGCGAGAAAACAATAAAAAAGCAGACAATTAAGTGAAATAAGAAAAGAAAAGATAAAGACAAGCCTTAAGAAAAATATTTTTATAATGGACGGCTTTGATCCTACGCCTATGAGTTTATGAGTCCCTTTTCCTCGCATCTGTGCCGCAATCCCTTGACAATTTACTAAAAGTTGTCACAAATAAGGCAACTGCGTATGCTTATAAATTGCGAATGCGATGCACTAAAAGTGGCACCAAAAAATAGACACAATTTTGAATGTAATAATTTGGAAAAGACCAAACGCAGTCATCCACACGTTGCATGTAAAAAATTCAGAAGTACCAGGCAAAATTATGTATAAATAAATGAATTCTAAAATAAATCAATTCTAAACTCTAAAAGACCAAATGCAGTCATCCACACGTTGCATATAAAAAAATTCAGAAGTACCAGGCAAAATTATGTATAAATAAACCAATTCTAAAATAAATGCGACTTATAATGAATTGGCAATTTTCTGAATCGAACTCTTATTGCCTTACTGCTTTCGAAACAAACTGCTTTTTCGGATCATGTGATGAATTAAAGATTCTTTAACTGTGTCAACTTATTGCTAAGCGAATGTCAAAGCACATTCTATTAAAAAGCCGTAAGGATACCCCTAAAAATATCACTAGTGCTATCACACTACGCTCGCTTAAACTCGCAATTGTAATTACGGCCAAAATTATTTGGCAAAATAAGTGTTCGAGATTTTTTTCATGCAACAGAAAATCAAACAGCTGGAAAAGTGTCAATTCACGGAGAACAAACCAATTAATTTTTTTGGGAATTTCCAAACTCCAAATAAAAAACTTCTATATTAAGGCTCTCTAAATTTCAAAATAATTTTATGTTCTAGTCTTTTTTCTTAAAACTAGTATAATTGGAGAAAACTTGATCAATAGGTAATTTCCTAGATTCCATTAAAATATAGGAACATTAAGATCCACTTTCGAATGTCAAAATTATTCATGTCTTTTTGCGTCATTTCCGCTTTTTCATTTTCCTGGCTCAGTTTCTCTTCTAATTAAAAAAAATTGACACTGAAACCTAGAAAGAAATCAAATGTCAAATCTGAAAGTGAAATCCTGAACAAATAACAAAAAACTGGCCCTAACCTTAAATTAACTACTAGCAGCCTGAGTAATATGCGAATGACAATTTAAACACAGTGGCGATACCAAGCCGTGCGCTACTTGCGAAACCATATAAGAAACCATATAAAACAACTTGCCGAAAGTAATTGACACGAAAGCCAGTGCTTCAAAAAGAAACATCGACACTTTTTATATATCCTTGCCATGAATGTTGCCAATGTTTCAACGAAATTGAAACAAAGTTTGTCAAACGGTAACTAAACACACAAAAGTTGATTAGAAGACAGTGGAGACGAAAAATGTGAAAATTTCGAGATATGAATATTTTGAACTTTTCAAGTTTTATGCCGCTTCCCTCCAAGCATAAATGAACATTGCTATAATTTGGCCACTCAAACAGCAACTTGTCTGACAACCATGCAGATATAAGATCAACCGAAACTGTTCAAGCCGAGGAGTTCTTAACGCAAAAAAAAATTATAATTAAAAAAAATTAAAGGTTAAAATTTTTTTTTTAAAATTGAAAAAAAAGCGGCAACTTAAACACAGAGGCCAAGCTGCCCTTTGCAAACACTAGCGAAAAAACGACAAAAAGCAGCTCAATAAAAAGAAAAAACAAAGTAAAAATAGGCATTGAATAATAAATTAATAAACTTTTGCTGTGGCGGATTTGATCGTACGACCAGGAGATTTAGAGTCTTGTTCTAGCGTCTGCGTCACAGGCCCTTGAGAATTTACTAACTCTAGTCACAAAAAAAGCAGCTACATATGCTATAAAAATTGCCAATGCGATGCACCAAAATGGAACCAAATACAATTAGACACAATTTTGCAAGTAATAGTTTGGAATATAACAAACAGAAGGCATCAACATTAACTTTGCATGTAATAAATAGCATAATTCCACATGCTGAAATCGAGTTTTTAATATTGTTCTGTTGTTTGAAACAAATCGGTTCATTTTTTGGTTCATTTGATGAATTAAACATAGCCAACTGAAAGTTGGAAAAGAGTAATGAACGCAATAAACAGAAAAAAAAACGCTAAAAAAATTCGCAACTTTCGAAATAGATGCCCTTTAAGCTCCTTGAAATTCTAAACAAATTGTAATTAGCGCTTTGTTGATAACATCAACACAACTTCAGAAAAATGAATCAAAAATTGAATTTTTTGTTCTACTGGAAATCTAAAAATTAAATTGACTTTCGAAACAAGAAATTGTTCGTTTTTTTGCGCCATTTCCACGTTCGTATTTGTAGAGTGCTATTTATGTAGATTTCAGCAGATGAATTTCAACTGAACTCAAAAAAGGCTTATATACATAAGTGCAATCATAAATGCATTAATATGTATGAATGCACATCTGTAGTTATTAGAGCATTTTAAAACTCATTCCTGAAAAAAAATTACCAACACTTATACAAAAGTCTTCACTACGCTCATTACTCTGAAAAATTCATTAACTGTATTAATTTAATACTAATAGAATGTCAAAGTACATGCTATCAAAAAACCATAAAGAAGCCACCAAAAGTGGCAACAAGCTTTGCGACTTTGGTTGGAACGAAATAGTCGTACTATTACACTACTCTCGCTAAAGCCGGATAGTGTAAATACAGACATGCTTAATCAGAACATATTTGCTTAACGCAAAAGATTCAATTGATTTTGTTAAACTATCAGTTAACCCAAAAAAAACAAAGCTTACCAAGTAAAATAACGGAACCTTTAAGCATTTTCTAGTTTTCTAAAAATAATTCGTGCGCGCAAAAAAAACAGGCCAAATTAGACATCAAAGGACTTACTGGTTCAGTTAATTAAGTTATAAGCCTGAAAAAAGTTCCTTTTGATAACGCATGCGTTACAACGCAATAGTAGGAATAAACAGAATAAATTGCGAGCTCACTATTGAAGCATGTGAATAATCTCGTCGGAACAAACCAGAAGCTCGAATGATTAAGTGCGATTTTTATCTGTTACTTGCGGAGTAACACCGGAAAACACGTGGACCAGAAATCTAAAATCTGAAAAAATCTTGCCGGATTAGTCACTCATAATCTTAATAACACCTCGACGGGGCTTTGTGCGATATCAATTTCTAGCCTCTAGAAGCACCGATGTTTTGATCGTCTAGAATACTAGACGATCAACACACACACGGCAGATTTATTGATGCCAAAATTTCTATGACTCCAATTTCACTTAGAACTCATTTCATGCTAGAAAGAAAATTGTTTTACAATTTTTTAAATTTTGCTTTTTAATTGCTATCTAAATTTCAAACTTATCTAATAGATACACTGTCATTCTTAAATTTCACTCTATTTCAATTTGAATATAGGAGCTTTAAATTTTTTGGAATATGAAGTTTTCTGAAAGTATTGAGTACTCTATTAAAAGTTTCGTAGTTTTGCCATAACCAGATCGAAACCAGTTTCAATTCAAATGTAACATCTAATCGCCAGATGGGAGAGTCTGATAATGAAACGTTCGTCTCAGTCGTGCTGTTGAAGTTGGCTCCTGGTCGGATGGGTTGAACAACTCGGCCGATTGCTGCTCGGATCCAACGACGACATCCTCTTCTGTATCCGAACTCACATTCATAGCTCGAGGACTCGGAACTGATAAGGTCGTCGAAGGGTCTACAATCGATGGCATAGGGAACTGTTCGAAAATGTTCGCGTTGTTGACCTCCAGATTGAAGAAGGCATTACTCATAGCAACTGCTCTTAGAACCCTTCGCATTGGATCCCGATTCAACATGTGGTTGTCCATGTCTATTGTCTGACAGTTTTTGATCGCGTAGAGGAGTTTATTTTTCATAACTTCTTGACTTGAGTACCCTGGTAACCTTATTTGGAAGAAACATGTTTGCGCTGTTGGCAATGCGTCAGTTTTATCGTTTGCGAAATAAATTATAAACCTTTGTGACATTTCATTAACGTTAGCCGGAAGTCGCGATCTTCCCGAAACAAATCTGAGAAACAGAATCTTTTGTTCATCTTCGAAAGATTCTAGAATGTTCCAGAACCAAACTATGACCTGAGTTTCTTCGTCACAACCTCTGTATTTCACAAACTTTCGCAGAGCTTCAACATTGACTGTTTTTGATCCGCATATATATTCTTCAAGAGCGGTGTGAGTCATCAGCGAAATGATAGGCAGGGGTACTATACACCCCATACCTTCTCGAACTTTCTCAATTTGCAGTGAGAACTCATTCAACCTATATGACAGCACCTTGGCTACATATTTGTCCCTGGTGTTTAAGTTCACGTACACCCAATGGCTCGTTCCGTTTTTCTTGCTTGTCAGCGAAACTGATTCTCCATTAGCGCTTTGACATTCGTTGAAGTTAAACGGCATCAGATCTTTGAAGTTCTCTTCGATCACTACACTTTCATCCAAAGCTAGCAAGTTGTTTAAGATCGAGACGTAACATGAATCGACCTGCTGCAAGTCTTCGATAGTCACTTGACATCCCGCAAGTAATTTCCACATGATAGGAGCCAGTTCGATCTCAATGGGTTTCCTCGTTCTCATTGCCACTCCGAATAGAATTCCTAGAAACTTCAGCTGTTCCGATTGTTCGGCATTTGTTGCTTTTGGGTTGAGAAGGAAGACGTCTCGGTTGTTTCCTGTCTCAGCAATCGAGTTGGGTGTAGGGATGAGGAGGCCACACATCTGTTTCTGCTGGATCTCTCGCACCATCTCGCCCATGATCTCGTCAAACACTCCACCTGCATCGTCTGCTCCTTCCCCAATAAGTGTCACCTACAATACGTAGATATCTCTGAAAAAGATACAGCACAAAAAAAAACGTTTTGCGTTTAACAAACAGCGCGTGACTCGCTTCAATCATATTTTGAAACATAATTGCCGCAAGTGGAAATTGTTTTTTTGACAACAGCAATTGTTCTTTGAGTTTCAGCAATATTTCAAGTCTGACATTTCTGTGATACAAGCTAATTATGATTAAGAAGTCAGATTTGCATTCCGCTGAGAATACTGAAAAAAAAAAACACTTTGTCGAAACTAGAAATCACCCAGGTTTTTTGCAGTTTTGTTTTTTGTAGCAGGAGCGCGTATTTTGTCTCCCGTTTAGCAAATTCAGTCGAATTGAACTTGCAAAAAGCATATATGAATTCTGGCATTCGAAAGTGCATTAACAGATGATATTAATAAGTGCGTTAAAAGCATCTTAAAAACGAATAAAATCCACACAAGCTGTATAAGTGACATCACTATCTTCATTGACACTTGCATTCAACCTGTTAAACCAACAGAAAAAAAATGAGACAAAAACAGCGCAGTGGAATTTTTTTTCAGATGTCCAAAAAAACTAGATCTACCAAATCAAGTAGTCTGATTAGCATTCCATTGAGAATACTGAAGAAAAAATACATTGACGAAACTAGAAATCGCCCAGGTTTGGCAAGCCAGCAGAAAAAAATAAAAGACTAAAAACGCGCAGTCTAAATATTTTTCAGTTGACCAGAAAACTTGATCTACCAAATCAAGTATCCAGATTAGCATTCCTTTGAGAATGCTTCAAAAATAAAATACAATGTCAAAACTAGAAATCGCCCAGGTTTTTGTGCTTTTTCATTTTTGTCTGAATTGTCTTGAACAAAGTTGATTTTCAGGAAAAACATGGCGAGCACAACAACTGAATGTTCAAGAAGCATCGAAACAAAACCTACGAATCGGCAACAGTGCCAGAAAAAAATTCTATGCCCCCCATATGCCCCCCCATAAGACTAGCCATATGCCCCCCCCCCCCAAAAAAATCCTTGAAAGTATCAAAAAAGGGTCCTCGACTTATAACACACGAACGTTCTGTTTTTGCGTACATCGAACGACACAAAATAAATAAAGTCAAATACTCCATTTTAATTGAAGTCAAAAAAAATTTTCAGCCAATTAAAAAAAATCTGAAGCTATACCAAATCAGCCAAAATAATCATAGCCAACAGACAGCTGGAAAAGTCAATGAGCGCAAGTAAATAGAAAAAAAATGCTACTCTTTTTTTGGAAAAAATCTCAACAACGGGACTTAAAAAAAAGATGCTTTTAAAATTTGAATTTCTAAAACAATTTTTCGATAGTCACTTGACATCCCGCAAGTAATTTCCACATGATAGGAGCCAGTTCGATCTCAATGGGTTTCCTCGTTCTCATTGCCACTCCAAATAGAATTCCTAGAAACTTCAGCTGTTCCGATTGTTCGGCATTTGTTGCTTTTGGGTTGAGAAGGAAGACGTCTCGGTTGTTTCCTGTCTCAGCAATCGAGTTGGGTGTAGGGATGAGGAGGCCACACATCTGTTTCTGCTGGATCTCTCGCACCATCTCGCCCATGATCTCGTCAAACACTCCACCTGCATCGTCTGCTCCTTCCCCAATAAGTGTCACCTACAATACGTAGATATCTCTGAAAAAGATACAGCACAAAAAAAAACGTTTTGCGTTTAACAAACAGCGCGTGACTCGCTTCAATCATATTTTGAAACATAATTGCCGCAAGTGGAAATTGTTTTTTTGACAACAGCAATTGTTCTTTGAGTTTCAGCAATATTTCAAGTCTGACATTTCTGTGATACAAGCTAATTATGATTAAGAAGTCAGATTTGCATTCCGCTGAGAATACTGAAAAAAAAAAACACTTTGTCGAAACTAGAAATCACCCAGGTTTTTTGCAGTTTTGTTTTTTGTAGCAGGAGCGCGTATTTTGTCTCCCGTTTAGCAAATTCAGTCGAATTGAACTTGCAAAAAGCATATATGAATTCTGGCATTCGAAAGTGCATTAACAGATGATATTAATAAGTGCGTTAAAAGCATCTTAAAAAACGAATAAAATCCACACAAGCTGTATAAGTGACATCACTATCTTCATTGACACTTGCATTCAACCTGTTAAACCAACAGAAAAAAAATGAGACAAAAACAGCGCAGTGGAATTTTTTTTCAGATGTCCAAAAAAACTAGATCTACCAAATCAAGTAGTCTGATTAGCATTCCATTGAGAATACTGAAGAAAAAATACATTGACGAAACTAGAAATCGCCCAGGTTTGGCAAGCCAGCAGAAAAAAATAAAAGACTAAAAACGCGCAGTCTAAATATTTTTCAGTTGACCAGAAAACTTGATCTACCAAATCAAGTATCCAGATTAGCATTCCTTTGAGAATGCTTCAAAAATAAAATACAATGTCAAAACTAGAAATCGCCCAGGTTTTTGTGCTTTTTCATTTTTGTCTGAATTGTCTTGAACAAAGTTGATTTTCAGGAAAAACATGGCGAGCACAACAACTGAATGTTCAAGAAGCATCGAAACAAAACCTACGAATCGGCAACAGTGCCAGAAAAAAATTCTATGCCCCCCATATGCCCCCCCATAAGACTAGCCATATGCCCCCCCCCCCCAAAAAAATCCTTGAAAGTATCAAAAAAGGGTCCTCGACTTATAACACACGAACGTTCTGTTTTTGCGTACATCGAACGACACAAAATAAATAAAGTCAAATACTCCATTTTAATTGAAGTCAAAAAAAATTTTCAGCCAATTAAAAAAAATCTGAAGCTATACCAAATCAGCCAAAATAATCATAGCCAACAGACAGCTGGAAAAGTCAATGAGCGCAAGTAAATAGAAAAAAAATGCTACTCTTTTTTTGGAAAAATCTCAACAACGGGACTTAAAAAAAAGATGCTTTTAAAATTTGAATTTCTAAAACAATTTTTCGAAAGTCACTTGACATCCCGCAAGTAATTTCCACATGATAGGAGCCAGTTCGATCTCAATGGGTTTCCTCGTTCTCATTGCCACTCCAAATAGAATTCCTAGAAACTTCAGCTGTTCCGATTGTTCGGCATTTGTTGCTTTTGGGTTGAGAAGGAAGACGTCTCGGTTGTTTCCTGTCTCAGCAATCGAGTTGGGTGTAGGGATGAGGAGGCCACACATCTGTTTCTGCTGGATCTCTCGCACCATCTCGCCCATGATCTCGTCAAACACTCCACCTGCATCGTCTGCTCCTTCCCCAATAAGTGTCACCTACAATACGTAGATATCTCTGAAAAAGATACAGCACAAAAAAAAACGTTTTGCGTTTAACAAACAGCGCGTGACTCGCTTGAATCATATTTTGAAACATAATTGCCGCAAGTGGAAATTGTTTTTTTGACAACAGCAATTGTTCTTTGAGTTTCAGCAATATTTCAAGTCTGACATTTCTGTGATACAAGCTAATTATGATTAAGAAGTCAGATTTGCATTCCGCTGAGAATACTGAAAAATAAAACACTTTGTCGAAACTAGAAATCACCCAGGTTTTTTGCAGTTTTGTTTTTTGTAGCAGGAGCGCGTATTTTGTCTCCCGTTTAGCAAATTCAGTCGAATTGAACTTGCAAAAAGCATATTTGAATTCTGGCATTCGAAAGTGCATTAACAGATGATATTAATAAGTGCGTTAAAAGCATCTTAAAAAACGAATAAAATCCACACAAGCTGTATAAGTGACATCACTATCTTCATTGACACTTGCATTCAACCTGTTAAACCAACAGAAAAAAAATGAGACAAAAACAGCGCAGTGGAATTTTTTTTCAGATGTCCAAAAAAACTAGATCTACCAAATCAAGTAGTCTGATTAGCATTCCATTGAGAATACTGAAGAAAAAATACATTGACGAAACTAGAAATCGCCCAGGTTTGGCAAGCCAGCAGAAAAAAATAAAAGACTAAAAACGCGCAGTCTAAATATTTTTCAGTTGACCAGAAAACTTGATCTACCAAATCAAGTATCCAGATTAGCATTCCTTTGAGAATGCTTCAAAAATAAAATACAATGCCAAAACTAGAAATCGCCCAGGTTTTTGTGCTTTTTCATTTTTGTCTGAATTGTCTTGAACAAAGTTGATTTTCAGGAAAAACATGGCGAGCACAACAACTGAATGTTCAAGAAGCATCGAAACAAAACCTACGAATCGGCAACAGTGCCAGAAAAAAATTCTATGCCCCCCATATGCCCCCCCATAAGACTAGCCATATGCCCCCCCCCCCCCCAAAAAAATCCTTGAAAGTATCAAAAAAGGGTCCTCGACTTATAACACACGAACGTTCTATTTTTGCGTACATCGAACGACACAAAATAAATAAAGTCAAATACTCCATTTTAATTGAAGTCAAAAAAATTTTCAGCCAATTTAAAAAAATCTGAAGCTATACCAAATCAGCCAAAATAATCATAGCCAACAGACAGCTGGAAAAGTCAATGAGCGCAAGTAAATAGAAAAAAAATGCTACTCTTTTTTTGGAAAAAATCTCAACAACGGGACTTAAAAAAAAGATGCTTTTAAAATTTGAATTTCTGAAACAATTTTTTATTGACGTTCTTTTGATTTAATAAGTCCAATTTGAGAAAAGTGCGTCAAAAGGTAAACTTTAAACTCGTTGGGAAATCTGAAAATTAAATTCCATTTTCGAAAACAGAAGTCAATCACATTTTTCGTGATCTTTGAGCTTTCGCTAATCGATAGTCGAGCTTGCCTTCCTTTTAACAAAGGAAAAAACCTGAACTTAAAAAAATCAAAAGTCAAGCCGCGAAAAGTAAATTTGAGCCTGAACGAACTTTAAGACTTTTCCTGAAAAAAATCATCGCGAGCTAGTTAAGAGTCTGAACTACGTTCATCGACTCTTAAAAACTGTTTTCGATAGAATCGATATTTAAAATGCAGATATGCAAAAAACATATCTGTTAACTGACAAAAGCACAATTGTGAAAATGATTCAATGAATCTGTTAGACAAGTTATTTATTTGGAAAAAAGTCTTATCTGATTTGATAACGCAGTATAGATTTAACTAGCGCATGACTATCACCTACGGTGCTTCAAATACACCCTTGAACAGAAAAGAGCTTCCTAAAACATGTACTAAAACAGCGATATTTAATAAAACCATGAAGATGAACTGCGCTCATCTATCAGGGGTTTCTTTTTCATAAAAAACCGCCATAACTAAGAAAAACGATTCGAGGAGATCAAATTCGGGGGCAAATTTGCTGCTCTATATTGTTCCCTGACAGCATCTCACCAAAGGGTTTAAAGTTTTAATTTCTATTAGTTCTTTTCTCGGGGCTTTTAAAACTTGTGTATAAAAAAATTTAGATTTTAAACAACTAATAGAAATTGAAATTATTATAGAAATTTAATATTATTAAGTTTTTTTTTGAAAAAAGAAAAATAAAAAACCTTGAGAAACGCCATACCTCGAAAAAAAACAGATCTAAGCAGCAAAAGCTTAAGGCCAGATTTTTATCCAGACAAAACCCCATCATATGCGTTGAAAATTTGGCAAATTAAGTGTTCGAGATTTTTTTCATGCAACAGAAAAATCAAACAGCTGGAAAAGTGTCAATTCACGAAGAAGAAACCAATTAATTTTTTGGGAACTTCCAAACTCCAAATAAAAAATTTCTACATTGAGGCTCTCTAAATTTCAAAATAATTTTATGTTCTAGTCTTTTTTCTTAAAACTAGTATGATTGGAGAAAACTTGATCAAAAGGTAATTTCCTAGATTCCATTAAAATATAGGAACATTAAGATCCATTTTCGAATGTCAAAATAATTCATGTCTTTTTGCGTCGTTTCCGCTTTTTGCGTCGTAATTTCCTAGATTCCATTAAAATATAGGAACATTAAGATCCATTTTCGAATGTCAAAATAATTCATGTCTTTTTACGTCGTTTCCGCTTTTTCATTTTCCTGGCTCAGTTTCTCTTCTAATTAAAAAAAATTGCACTGAAACCTAGAAAGAAATCAAAAGTCAAATCTGAAAGTGAAATATTGAACAAATAAAAAACTGGCCCTAACCTTACTTTAACTACTTGCAGACTTAGTGATATGCGAATGACAATTTAAACACAGTGGCGAAACCAAGCCGTGCGCTACTTGCAAAACCATATAAGAAACCATATAAAACAACTTGCCGAAAGTAATTGACACGAAAGCGAGTGCTTCAAAAAGAAACATCGACAATTTTTATATATCCCTGCCATGAATGTGGCCAATGTTTCAACGAAATTGAAACAAAGTTTGTCAAACGGTAACTAAACAGACAAAAATTGATTAGAAGACAGTTGAGACGAAAAAAGTGAAAATTTTGAGATATGAAAATTTTGAACTTTTCAAGTTTTATGCCGCTTCCCTCCAAGCATAAATGAACATTGCTATAATTTGGCCACTCAAACGGCAAATTGTCTGACAACCATGCAGATATTAGATCAACGGCAACTTAAACTAAAAAAACGGCAACTTAAACAGAGGCCAAGCTGCCCTTTGCAAACACTAGCGAAAAAACGACAAAAAGCAGCTCAATAAAAAGAAAAAAAGGTAAAAATAGACCTTGAATAATAAATTAATAATAATTTTTACTGCGGCGGATTTGATCGTACGACCAGGCTATTTAGAGTCCTGTTCCAGCGTCTGCGTTACGGCCCTTGAGAATTTACTAACTCTAGTCACAAAAAAAGCAGCTACATATACTATAAAAACTGCCAATACGATGCACCAAAATGGAACCAAATACAATTAGACTCAATTTTGCAAGTAATAGTTTGGAATATAACAAACAGAAGGCATCAACGTTAACTTTGCATGTAATAAATAGCATAATTCCACATGCTGAAATCGAGTTTTAATTATTGTTCTGTTGTTTGAAACAAATCGGTTCATTTGATGAATTAAACATAGCCAACTGAAAGTTGGAAAAGAGTAATGAACGCAATAAACAGAAAAAAAACGCTAAAAAAATCCCAACTTTCGAAATTTAAAGAATAGATGCCCTCTAAGCTCCTTGAAATTCTAAAAAAAAAAGCTTGTAATTAGCGCTTTGTTGATAACATCGACCCAACTTCAAAAAAATGAATCAAAAGTTGAATTTTTCGTTCTACTGGAAATTCCACTTTCGAAACAAGAAATTGTTTGTTTTTTTTTCGCGCCTTTTCCACGTTCGTATTTGTGGAGTGCTATTTATTTAGAATTCAGCAGATGAATTTCAACTGAACTCAAAAAAGGCTTACATACATAAGTGCAATCATAAATGCATTAATATGTATGAATGCACATCTGTAGTTATTAGAGCATTTTAAAACTCATTCCTGAAAAAAAAAATCACCAAGACCTATACAAAAGTCTTCACTACGCTCATTACTCTGAAAAATTTATTAACTGTATTAATTTAATACTAATAGAATGTCAAAGTACATGCTATCAAAAAGCCATAAAGAAGCCACCAAAAGTGGCAACAAGCTTTGCGACTTTGGTTGGAACGAATTAGTCGTACTATTACACTACTCTCGCTAAAGCCGGATAGTGTAAATACAGACATGCTTAATCAGAACATATTTGCTTACGCAAAAGATTCAATTGATTTTGTTAAACTATCAGTTAACCCAAAAAAAACAGAGCTTACCAAGTAAAATAACGGAACCTTTAAGCATTTTCTAGTTTTCTAAAAATAATTCTTGCGCGTAAAAAAAACAGGCCAAATTAGACATCAAAGGACTCACTGGTTCAGTTACTTAAGTTATAGGCCTGAAAAAAGTTCCTTTTGATAACGCATGCGTTACAACGCAATAGTAGGAACAAACATAATAAATTGCGAGCTCACTATTGAAGTATGTGAATATTCTCGTCGGAACAAACCAGAAGCTCGAATGATTAAGTGCGATTTTCTTCTGTTACTTGCGAAGTAACATCGGAAAACACGTGGACCAGAAATCCAAAACCTGGAAAAATCTTGCCGAATTAGTCACTCATAATCTTAATAACACCTCAACGGGGCTTTGTGCGATATCAATTTCTACCCTCTAGAATACTAGACGATCAACACACACACGGCAGATTTATTGATGCCAAAATTTCTATGACTCCATTTTCACTTAGAACTCATTTCATGCTAGAAAGAAAATTGTTTTACAATTTTTCAAATTTTCGAAATTTTGCTTTTTAATTGCTATCTAAATTTCAAACTTATCTAATAGATACACTGTCATTCTTAAATTTCACTCTATTTCAATTTGAATATAGGAGCTTTAAATTTTTTGGAATACGAAGTTTTCTGAAAGTATTGAGTACTCTTATTAAAAGTTTTGTAGTTTTGCCATAACCAGATCGAAACCAGTTTCTATTCAAATGTAACATCTAATCGCCAGATGGGAGAGTCTGATAATGAAACGTTCGTCTCAGTCGTGCTGTTGAAGTTGGCTCCTGGTCGGATGGGTTGAACAACTCGGCCGACTGCTGCTCAGATCCAACGACGACATCCTCTTCTGTATCCGAACTCACGTTAATAGCTCGAGGACTGGGAACTGACAAGGGCGTCGAAGGGTCTACAATCGATGGCATAGGGAACTGTTCGAAAATGTTCGCGTTGTTGACCTCCAGATTGAAGAAGGCATTACTCATAGCAGCTGCTCTTAGAACCCTTCGCATTGGATCCCGATTCAACATGTGGTTGTCCATGTCTATTGTCTGACAGTTTTTGATCGCGTAGAGGAGTTTATTTTTCATAACTTCCTGACTTGAGTACCCTGGTAACCTTATTTGGAAGAAACACGTTTGCGCTGTTGGCAATGCGTCAGTTTTATCGTTTGCGAAATAAATTATAAACCTTTGTGACATTTCATTAACGTTAGCCGGAAGTCGCGATCTTCCCGAAACAAATCTGAGAAACAGAATCTTTTGTTCATCTTCGAAAGATTCTAGAATGTTCCAGAACCAAACTATGACCTGAGTTTCTTCGTCACAACCTCTGTATTTCACAAACTTTCGCAGAGCTTCAACATTGACTGTTTTTGATCCGCATATATATTCTTCAAGAGCGGTGTGAGTCATCAGCGAAATGATAGGCAGGGGTACTATACACCCCATACCTTCTCGAACTTTCTCGATTTGCAGTGAGAACTCATTCAACCTATATGACAACACCTTGGCTACATATTTGTCCCTGGTGTTTAAGTTCACGTAAACCCAATGGCTCGCTCCGTTTTTCTTGCTTGTCAGCGAAACTGATTCTCCATTAGCGCTTTGACATTCGTTGAAGTTAAACGGCATCAGATCTTTGAAGTTCTCTTCGTTCACTACACTTTCATCCAAAGCTAGCAAGTTGTTTAAGATCGAGACGTAACATGAATCGACCTGCTGCAAGTCTTCGATAGTCACTTGACATCCCGCAAGTAATTTCCACATGATAGGAGCCAGTTCGATCTCAATGGGTTTCCTCGTTCTCATTGCCACTCCAAATAGAATTCCTAGAAACTTCAGCTGTTCCGATTGTTCGGCAGTTGTTGCTTTTGGGTTGAGAAGGAAGGCGTCTCGGTTGTTTCCTGTCTCAGCAATCGAGTTTGGTGTAGGGATGAGGAGGCCGCACATCAGTTTCTGCTGGATCTCTCGCACCATCTCCCCCATGATCTCGTCAAACACTCCACCTGCATCGTCTGCTCCTTCCCCAATAAGTGTCACCTACAATACGTAGATACAGTACAGAAAAAACGTTCTGCGTTTAACAAATAGCACGTGACTCGCTTTAATAGTGTTTTGAAACATAATTGCCGCAAGTGGAAATTGTTTTTTTTTCCTCATGACAACCAAAATTTTTTATGGCCATAAAATGGCAATATTAAATGCGACCCTTAAACGGTCCAACATTTAACTATTTTTTGGTTTAAACACACTACCCAGCAGAACAGGAGACCAAAGGTACAAATTCAACAAAATTGATGGCAAACAAGTTCGACAAACAGGTGGAGCACCACTTCTGATACATCACAAACATAACCAACAGACAGTTGGTAAAGTGTCAATAAAGGCAAGGGGACTTTTATGGACCTTAGAGCTCTTTGAGTTTCAACAATATTTCAAGTCTGACACTTCTTAGATACAAACTTGATACAAAACTGAATATGAAAAAAGCATATATGAATTGTGGCATTCATAAGTGCATTAACAGATGATATTAATAAGTGATTAATAGCATCTTTAAAAAATGAAAAAAATCCACACAAGCTATATAAGTGACATCACTATCTTCATTGACACTTGCATTCAACCTGGCAAATCAACAGAAAAAAATGAGACAAAAACAGCGCAGTCGAAGTTTTTTCAGATGTGGAAAAAAACTAGATCTACCAAATCAAGTAGTCAGATTTGCATTCCGTTAAGTATACTAAAAAATAAAATACATTGTCCAAACTATAAATCGCCCAAGTTTTTTGCGTTGTTTCATTTTCGTAGTAGGAGAGCGTAATTTGTCTCCCGTTTAGTATATTCATTCGAATTGAACTTGAAAAAACCACATACGAATTGTGGCATTCATAAGTGCATTAACAGATGATATTAATAAGTGATTAAGAGCATCTTGGAAAAAAAACTAGATCTACCAAAAATATGATGGTCTCGATTGTCTTGAACCAAGTTGATTTTCAGAAAAACATGCCTAGCACAACAATTTAATGTTCAAGAAGCATCAAAACAAAAATTACGAAGTGGCAACAGAGCCGAACAAACTTGAGCAGACTACCCATAAGCCCCAAAAAAATTTTCCTTTAGAAAAATCAAAAAGGGTCCTCGATCTATAACACACTATTTTTGCGCTCAACGAACGACACAAAAGGAGGTAAGTCAAGTACGCCAATTTAATTTAAGTAAAAAAAAATTCAGCCAATTAAAAAAGATAAAATCTGAAATTTTACCAAATCAGCCAACATAATCATAGACAAAAGACAACTGGAAAAGTCAATGCACGCAAGTAAACAAAAAAATTAACGACTCATTTCTTTTGAAAAAACCTCAACTTCCGAATTATAAAGAATAAAATAGATGCCTTTAAAGTTTGAATATCAAGAACAATTTATGATTGAAACTTTTTTATTTAATTAGCCCACTTTGAGAAAAGTGGATCAAAAGGTAAACTTTTAATTCCGTTGGGAAATCTGAAAACGAAAACCCACTTTCGAAAATAGAAGTCGATCACTTTTTCGTGATCTTTGAGCTTTCGCTGTTCGATAGTGGAGTTTGCCTTCCTTTTAACAAAGGAAATAAACTGAACTTAAAAAGAAATCAAAAGTCAAGCCGCGAAAAAGTGAATTTGAGCCTGAACAAACTTGAAGACTTCTCCTGAAAAAAATCATCGCGAGCTATATAAGAGTCTGAACTACATTCATCGACTCTCAAAAACTGTTTTCCAATAGAAACACTATTTAAATTGCAGATATGCACAAAACATGTCTCTTGGCTGACAAAAGCAGATTTGTGAAAATGATTCAATGAATCTGTTAGACAAGTTGTTTATCAGGAAAAAAGTCTGTTCTGATTTGATAACGCAGTATAAATTTAACTACCGCATGACTCGCACCTACGGTGCTTCAAATAAATCGTTGAACAAGAAAGAGCTTCCTAAAATATCTACTAAAACAGCGATATTTAATACAACCGCGAAGATGAACTGCGCTCATCTATCAAGAGTTTCTATTTCATAAAAAAACGCCATAACTCAAAACCAAAAATAATTTGAAGAGATAAATTTCGGGGGCAGATTTGCTACCCCATATTGTTCCTTGACAACATACCACCTAAGGATTAAGAATTTCAATTTCTATTAGTTGTTTTCTCGGGATTTTTAATACTTTTTTTATAAGGCTTAGATTTAAAAACAACTAACTGAAATTGATATTCTTAACCCTAAGTAATTTTTGAAAAAGTATTTAAAAAACCCTGAAAAACGCCATATCTCGGAAACGAAAAAGATTTAGGCAGCAAAAGTTTAAGGCCGGATTCGTACCCAGACAAAACCCCACCATAAGCGTTGAGAATTTCAAGATCGGTTAGTTTTTATTACTTAGTTTTTTTAAGAATCATAAAAGCTGCCACATATCGGAAACCAAAAGTGCTTGAGCAGTCACACTTAGAGAGCAGATTTGCATCACCGTTGACTAACTCACAGGACCCCGTCTCAGGGTTGAGAATTTCAAATTCTGTTAATTTTTTATCAAAGTTTTTGAGAAAAAAAACTGAAAAAATGATTAAAAATCGCCCCATCCCGGAATCTGAAAGAATGTGAGCAACCACACTTGGGCGCAATATTTGCGACCCTCGAGTTTACCCTGACAGCACCCCACTATAGGGTTGAGAATTTCGAGTTAGTTTACTATTTTTACATCTAAGTTTTTAAAAAAAAAACGAAAAAATTATGAACTCTCAAAAATCGAAGGATTTGAGCAGTCATATATGGACGCCAGATTTGCAACCCCTTAATGTAGCCTGACAGCAGCGTACTATAGGGTTGAGAGTTTCAAGTTCGGTTAGTTTTTTATTTCTTATTTTTTTTGAAAAAATCATAAACAAACGTTATATCTCGAGAAACAGAAGGATTTGAGCAGTCATATTTGAACGCCGGATTGAAAACCCCTGAACTTACCCTGACATCTCCCTACTATAGGAATGAGAGTTTCAAAGTCCGTTAGTTTTTTACATCTTATTTTTTGAAAATAAAAATGAAAAAATCATAAAAAACGCTATATCTCGAAAACCAAAAAGATTTGAGCAGTCATACTTGGGCCCCAGATTTGCAACCCTGAATGTAACCTGACAGCACCTCACTATAGGGTTGATAATTTCATATGAGATTCGTTTTTTACATCTTAAGCATAACAATATACAATACAGCTTAAACGTGCAAAAATTATTTCGTTAAACATGCAGAAAATAATACGTTGCTTAAGCATGTCAACACATGTGCTTCTTAAATATGTGCCAAGTGAAACGCCAATCAACTGATGTATAGATAGACCGACAAATTGATTCTGAAAGAAAAATAACTAAAATCAGTGCCAACTTAACCTGAAAGTTGTTTAATCTTCAGTCAGTCGAAACTATACGCTCCGAAGTCATTGGAGTTAAATTACCTCAATATTTTGATAATCAACTCACTTTCCAAGCCCTCGAAGGTAGTCTCAACTGCTCCACGTTGAAAGCCAAGACCTGCTTGCACAGTTGTTCAAATACCGAGCTACATTTGACCCCATCTGTGCAAGTTTCCAGCCGTCTCACGAACACCTGGGGTCCATGATGGGCAGATTGAACACTTGTTCTACTTAGACATTTGTTCAACAACATACTAGTCAGCTTCGGAGAAATCAGTCCTTTTAGATTGTCGAGTCTTTTCGCATCGAGGGCGAATGAAAACAGACTCAAGTCAAGCGTCGGCCTTAGTTCCACAATTCTCCATGAATTGTGGATCATCTGGGTAAACTCATTCAGGTATTCTAATCGATCCCTTATTGATCCTATAGAACTTGTCACCAAGCTGTCGTATTTTTCTGGGACGCCTTTCGGATTTCCAAGCATCGGCTGAAACGAACAGCGTCCATTCGGCGACGATTTGCCTGTCGAAAAAGATGTCCAGGCAGCGCAATGAGATCGTCCAGCACTTATTTGTCTTATCCCGGGAGGCACACCTTGAATTATCACGGGATGCTTAATAAATTCCGGGTTCTTTCTTCCCAGTTGTCCGCTGCTATTATTTCCCCATGCGAACAACTGTCCGGTAGCGGAAAGCGCTAGGACATGTTCGGGTCCGACCGCGATATCCTCGATGAAGCTGTGAGACAATTCTTCAATTTCTTCGGGAGTCGTAATCAGCCTGTCACGTGCTGTTTTGAGACCACTGAACTTGGTTGACCCACAAACATATACTTTTCCAGTTTCAGATAGAAACAGAGTAAACTGTTGACCGCAGAGTGCTTTCTTGCAAACTGTGAAAGGAAGTTTCACCAGTCTCGGACTAAGGTGAGCAGTTGTGGGCATTCCTACTCCTAATTTCCCGTTCTCGCCGTCACCAAAGGCCCATACTTTATGCCCACTAAATGACAGACATACTGTGTGATTTACCCCGCAGGAGACGGCTGCTATTTGTTCGTTTCTGAGCTCTCCTGCAATTCTCTCCGGGTACTTTTTGTTCGTTTTCTGTCCAGTTCCAAGCCTTCCGTAATCTCCATTTCCAAAAGTGAACAATTTTCCATCGCTGGTTACTACTGCGCTATGTTTCCATCCACAGCTGACGTCGATCACTTCTTCACGTAGCAGTGCTTCAATTAGTTTTGGAATTCTTTGGCGATCTGAGTTGCCGTGACCTAGTCGTCCGTAATCCCCGTCACCCCAACTGTAGACCTCTCCCGATTCCAATAGTGCCATCGAATGTCCATCGGATCCAGTTGACGTTGCCAATTTAGTAACCACAAATCCAGACAGTGTTGATACCGGAGCGAGTACTCGACTGTCTTCCGAAACTCCGATTCCAAGTCTAGCACTGGTTCCCTCTCCACAGCCAGACACTGATCCGTCATTATGAATTACAAATGTGCAGTTTTGCCCACATACAACTTGCGTTACATCATTGAAAGATGATTTTACAGGTAACTTGGTGTCTAAAAGGGGTTCCGTTTCGGAAGGAACAGGAATATCTACCAGTTGTCCAAAATTGGAACTTCCCCACATATACAGCTCACATTCGCCTCCAAACTGCCACTCTTGACTCCTCGTTGCAAACCAATCTACAATTTGCTGATCCATACTCCAACTGAATTTAGCGTCCGGGTCCAGTTCAATCCTTGCCAATGATTTGCTCCTTTCCATCAGCCGTCGGAACTCGCGGAGCCATTCCCATTCCGGAACGGGGAGTTTCCTAGCCGAGCTTTCTGGACTGCTATACTTGTAGCACCAGGCTTGATCCAGACCTAGCTGACATGCTAGGCTCAATAACATTTTCAGATAGCCGGAGTAAATCAGTCTATCGCCCTGGTTGACAGCAGACGTTTCTGATTTCTTCTGGTGACACAAAGTCTGTTTCAATCCAGCTAGGAAAGTCTGGAAGTAAGTCAGTTCAGAATAGTTTGTGATTCCATTTTTGAACAGCACAGCTCTAGCAAAACACACATCTCTCATTTCGCTCAGAAACAAATCATTTGAAATTCTCGCACAATTGATCTCGTTTGTATCCTTCTCCATAAAAAGAAGTCCATCATTTAGCCAATGTAACTTGATTATTGGGTTCTTGTGCGGTATCGTCTGGATCAGAGTTTGGTCATAGACAGAAAAAATATTAACCAACCCCGATTTACACCCTGAAGCTAAAAATGCTCCATTTCCGCTGAATTGAAGGCAGGAAACGTTTTCATTATGGCCACTGAAAAGGCAAATTTTGATCACGTTTTTAGTGGGCTGTCGGGGAGTTTTATTCGACTTGTCTTTAGTCGACTTCTCGTCATCCGTTTTCACCACCTCGTCCGATTCATTCGAAGAACTTTCGTCTGAATCCCAGCATGTGGATTTAACTTTCGACTTCTCCGCTTTTTCCAGTCTAAAGAAACTGGGCTTCTTTTTGACAGGTAACTCTAAAGTTACTTTCCATATGGCAACTTGACCCGATCTATGCCCAACAGCGCAAAGGTACGATTCAGTTTTCTTCGATGCCGACAGCTGTTCTTGATGTTGAAAGTCAGGCCCTAGTTTATCACTTGAATGGAAAACTGAACTCCATTCAAACTTTGTTATTTCATCATCAACAATGTCATGTTTTTCTACAAGTTCAAACTCGCCGTTACTGAAAACGCAACTATTCCACGCGGCCGAGTCAGCCCATGCCAAAAGGGCATTATTAGTTGTCCATTTGACACTTTCGATTTGTCGTTCACAAGACGATTGTAGTTCGAAACAGTTTTCATTTTGACATTCTGCAGCTTCATTCAACTCATATCTTCCGATAACTGTTCCATCGCTGTATGCACAGATGAACGGAATAGATTGGCCCCGACATACTATGTGAGTCACGGGACGGGGATGGGCAAATGTTTTCAACTGTCGAGGCGGTGACACAGTTGTTCCGCAGATTTCCACTTCAAACAGAGACCCCGTCTCGGTTCCGAAGTAGACAGTCGCCGTTTTGATCCCAGCGGAACCTTCCAGGAAATCCTTTTCCTCTGGAAACGCTACACACGTGATCAAATCTTCAAGAGTTTTCTTTAACATGTACGTACTTGAGTCTAGACCCACGAGTAGAGTTTTTCCATATGCCGCACACAGAAACTTTTGGTTCACGCTGCAACATAAGTGGCTGATTTGCACGTCTTTCGGTATATCTTCCACGTGAAATATTTTGTGTAGTCCCGTGGAGCACCCTGGCTCTTCCGGTGTCAGCATAAGCTTGTGAACTTTTATAGAGTTTGATTCAATTCCAGTTCCAGAGGTGAAAAGCGAGCAGTTATTTTTCCCATCTGGTGATATTGTAATGTCATTTATTGGTTTCCTGTGGAAAATGACGGAATAAACATCCAATTTTGGCAGGTCATTGTGATGATCAACATGGACGTTATGGTTAACCTTGGCCAGTTTCAGGACTCTCAAACTTTGCAGTAGTTCTCTTAGAACCCACTCTTTTTGATCTGAGGGAAACTTGGATGACAACAAGCAAGCACAAAAGTTGTCCAATATACTCATCAGGTCCTTGCGTTGCATATTGCCTTCTATTTTCAGGTTAATGTTGAAAATCCGAACCAAATTTTTGACTAACTCTACATTCGAAACTCCGTAATTAACAGTTGAAGCCAGATCCACCAGACTGCTCGACAGTTTTGTGAAGAAAAATTGATATAATTCGACTGATGAGGCGCACATGTTCGCAATATACTCGATCGTTTTAGCAGACGAAACAGTTTCTGAGAAGTGAGCTCCAAACTTGGCGGAGATTTCAACTGGCACATTTCCGGACACCAACACCAGGTAGCTCCACAGCGTTTGAGGTTGGTTCAGAAGGTAGTCGCCGCTTTCTGGTAGTGAGATTGCATTAGAACGTTCTGCAACTTCTGAAACTGATTTTTGGGAACTATCGACATAAGCCATCATTGTACGTAACACCAAAGCGTTCTTAACTCTTGCAGTTAGCACGTTGAAAATGTCTCTAACATCACATTTGTCGAAGTAGGAATACGCATCTTCGTGAGCCGAGCTTTGCTCGTTTTTTGTTCCCTTCTTCTTCGACGTTTCTTTTGCGGGCTTGCCAAAAAGCTCTTTGAACCCCATTTTGTCCGCCCCTTGCACTATAACCGGATCTGCGTGCCTTCGATTGGGCGACAGGCCGATATTCCTTCGGCACACAGCAACTTTCGACGACTTGCATGCAGTGCGACAACTTTCATTACTCGGCGAATGAGAGCTCGAAACTTCATGCGGATCAGCACTGCGTCTCTCTCCGTTTTGTCTGCAAGTGGTGCAATAGGCAAACCAATATTTTCCTTGCATCTTTGACCTTCTCAGTCTCCCACAAGTATCTATGCACCTACCACCGGAACATTTCCCGTTTGAATTATATAGCAGACACTCTTGCACGCTTTTGCACCCGTGATACGAAACAGCGTGCTCAAAAAAGTTATCAACTCTTGTTTCGCAGAATTCACAGTATGCAATTGAGGATGAAGAAGCGTTCGCCATATCTTCCAAGAAACTTCCCGAAATCCCGAATTGGTTCAACGTCGAAGATTCGTCGTCACCTTGTTGCTGAATACGACTTCGTTGCAACTCCTCCAAAAACTGAACATCCTCATGTAGCGTAGAATCATGCTCAAGTTGCGCATCGTCAAAGAAAGTCGGCTCCCGTTCGCTATATCTTGGCCTGGGAATTTCTGAATTTCCAAAAACTCTGCGCGACAGTAAACTTGTAAAATGAGAAGGGTTCGATGAGCTTCCCTGTTGATCTGTGTCATTTTGGTTTCTTCGTCTTTCCACGTCGTGAACAATGCGAACTCTCCTTCGTCTCAATTCATTCGAAACTCGGTTCTCTACACTTGCTCGCGCCATTGCACTCGCTTCAGTTGATGTTGTAGTCGGCACTACTGGAGCCATACTTCCCCATGGATCCGTCCACATCCAAGGAGACAACATCGCCAATTCGGATTCCTCGCCTTCCCCGAACAAGTCATCTATACTAGGAAGTGCACGTGCAGTTGTTCGACGTGCCGCTAGAGGTTGTCGCGACGCCTCAGCCTGTTGTGGTATAATTGTGCTTTCACTTTCAACACTCTCTGAGTTTTCGGTTGGGTTTTCCAGCAACCATGTTATAATTGCGTTCAACTTTACCGACCTGGAGATCGACCGAGATGCAACAATTGGGAGCGACCGCATCGCTGATCGGATCCGGTTGGTTTCGAAGCCCATTTGAGTTAAGGAAGACATGATCTCAGTGTCGTTCAAATACGACGACAACAGCGTCGAGTTGTTTCCTTCCGAAGCTGTCGGAGCTCGAGGCAAGGGTGGAAAGCGGACGTAGCGATTGTCTGCGTTCGCGTTCGTCGTACTGGTGTCGGCTACGGGGTTCCAGAAGCTGCTAATCGAGTTGTTCAACAAACTTCTTTGCAGGCTGTTGGGGAATCCTGGGAGTATCGGATGAACACATGCTTCTGAGAGCGAGCTGAACGACAAATTGTTCACGATTATTGAGAAATATTTCTTGAAAACTTTCTTCATCAGCACGTGACTAATCGTTAGCAAATCGAACTTGGCGCTCGTTTGACTTTGACACGCATCACTGTTTATACAAATGGTCATTAATTTCTTCAGAAAGACGTTGTACTTTTCATTTCCAACCAATTTATCATTCTGGTGCAAGATGGCAAATGCATTGTGAAGACTTTTCATAGCTGCCGTTTTAAAGCTCAAGTGTACTAACGAATCTTCAGCAGTTATGACCGCGTTTTGTGTGCTTTCATTCGGAGCGGAGGAGTCCAGAATTTCGATTGCTTCTTGAATTGCCGATGATGTTTCCGGATCTAGCACTTGCGACAGACTGGATATCTGGCATGTCCTTGTATTACTCTCCTCGTTTTGTCGAAATGCGGTCTCTTTGTTTTCAAAATTACAGAGTTCCAGCAGGACTTCTAGCCTCTCAGGGGTCAACTGGTCGACCATTAAGCTGGCTTGTGAGCCTTCTTTGAATCCTGCACTTGCCAACTCAAACGCAGAGGTCGGCATGTTTTTCACGCTGAAGTTCTGTTTGCTGTCAGCTCCGGCGCAACATGCCATTTCGAAGCTGTCTGGAATCCTAGCGCCTCCTGAGACTATTAAATTTTCACCAGTTGATTTCTCTATGCATTTTCTCCCCACAAAATATGCATCATTCAGTCCTCCAATCACAACTAGACTAGACCATACCTCATTTTCCATCACATTTGCAGTACTCGACTCCAGAAACTTTGCCGATGATTCGTTCAAGGGATCGAACACTTTTGTTTCCACAGCTTGCCTCCAATTGGGGTTTACGTGTATGCTCGAGATTAATTCTCGAATGTTTTCAACTGATGCTACAGCGTCTGGTGATAATGCAGCCTTCGGTTGCTGGAACACCGGCTCTGAGAGGGGGCATATCTGACAAAACTGGATCTGTGTAAGCTTCAATTTCTGCCTGCAACTTTGCGTTGAGTGGAATATTACTACTGGATAAAGCGGTCTGTTAATTTTGATCTCTTCGAACGCAAGCTGAAACGGGTCCCAGTTTTTGCGCACATACAGACTTCTCGCATCTACGTCAAACACAAATGTAATCAAGTCTCCTTTTCCGTATGGTTGCAAGTTACTTGCTGCCGCACTCACAGGAACCAAATTTCCCGTAAAGCTTCTATACAGCCAGGAAAGACCTTCCAATTGTCCTTCGTCGAAAAAGTTCAGCTGAGGCTTTTGTGAGATTCCTAAACTGATCGACTCCGTGCTTGAATTTCTTTCGTCTACAACCTCAATTTGCCACGAGAAACAGCCGAACGTCATTGGACAATTCACCATGTAATACGCAATGCTAGGGTTCGTTCGGGTAACTTCACGTCTGTCTGCAGTCAGAGCACATCGGTTGTTATTTTGAAGTGCCGCCTTGAACCCGCAGTTTTGAACCTCCATCCATTGAGACTTTTTGCGGACCATTTTCTTCAACGACACGAATTTAGGCCATGACCAACTTTGCACGCTAATGCACGTCAGAAGTCGCGAAATGATAGTTTCCTTGGTTTCACGGGAGAACTCTTCCGAGTACTTTTCCATGAGCTCTTTAATCACAGTCAAGACCAGAAATTTAAAAGCTGCGCTTGTTGAGTAAACTAACATGCTTGCGTCTTTTTTGCAGTCTAGCAAACAAATAAGGCAGTTTATTAGTTTTTCAGCGTAGTCTGAGTTGACAAAGTTTTTTAGTGTCGCCAGCTGAAAAGTGAAGTAAATTGTTCGATACATTTTGCGAATCATGATTGCATCTACGTTGAAGCCGACTTTTCGGAACAATCTTATTTGAAGTTGCTCGTCTTCTGTTCTACTTGATTCAAACTCGTCAATTTCTTCCTCGTTGTCATTTGGATCGTGGTTGAAATGCTCAATTTTCTGCGTCGCAAACACTTTGAATCTATCCAGAATCGAACTCAAAACCGATTCTTCAAATTGTGAGCAATCTTTCCACTCGTTTTGTGGGCTCATGACGGTTGATTCCAAGGCCCATGAGAAAACAAGCGGTAAAGCAGTTGCAGGGTCATAGAAATCTTTCGGGAATTCAGGTCCCGATCCCAATTTGCTGATCACTCTACTAGTGAAAGTAGACCAAACTATCGGCGGGATAATGTCACTTTTCTTCGACAAACAGTCGAGGTCTATCAAAACATACAACATTCCCAGAGTTTCCTTCTGAGTCATAGATGCGCCTAAACATAGCTCGGCTATTTCATGTTTTACTTCATCGGCATTACTGTGCATTGTTGCCGGCACTAAATCGATGCACTCAGACGCTGCTTCTGGAAGCAGGGGGGATTGATGACCACCCAGAATCATTCCTCTAAAGAAAAGCGAACTGAGGTTGACCTTTTCATTCGCGAACAAGTCTTCTGTTTTTGAGGACGATTTCGCATTATCCATTACCAACTGAATCATTCGATTAATATTTTTCAATTTTCTCAACTTTTCTTCGGCTTTCTGCAGTCTAGATTCGAACCAACTTTTCAAGACGTCGAATTCACTTGTGATGTCGTATGCGACAACCGACTTGTCCTGCAAGATTTCAGTCGTCAACGTTTCAAAGAAATCGCAAAGTGCGCTAGTTTTTGTGACATTGTCACTATCACAACTTTTACTTTCATCCAATTTAAGACTGGTTATCATAGTTATGACCAAACTAGTAATTCTGCAGATCGCTCGTTTGAACGACTCGCTTCTTACAGGAGTTTTAGAACCTTCGGGTAGTGACTCCACTGGCTCCAATGATTCTGGAGATTCGTTTTCGACCTGCACAGCCTGCGCCGCATTCATCTGAAGAAGCTTCATTCGTAGATTGAACACGCTTTTGTATGCTCTCTCCAACACTTCTCCCTCTATTTTTTCAACACATTCTAACTCGCAGAAACTAACCAACAAAGTGATATACGCTTTCGAAACTAAGTTCAAATGTTCATCTTCCAAAATAGTTGATGACCTCCAGTTTTTCTGCACCGCGTTTTGCATCATGTGCTCGTAAAACTTAGAAAATCGTTCAGTAACTGTTTGTGCAACATCAGTCTGAGAGAAAACTTCCGAATGCAGGAAACTTGTAGAAGAATCATCCGACTCTGACGTGTTTTCAGAAGTTTCCAATGCAGATCTTATGAAGTTAGTTCCACTTTTGATTTCTAAGCTCGATTTTTCTGAGACCAACTCATTTTCAAGGAGTGTGAAGTTTCCACTTTTCACTATTTGATCAAATACTTTTTTCAGCGATTCTTGGTTTTCAACTAAATGAGGCATTGGTAATTTGCATTCATCGGCTTGATGATTCCTTGAGTGAGTCATGATTCCCAGATAAAATGCCGCAGCCAGTTCGAGATCTTCCACTAATTTGAGAAGCACCGAAGTGTCAGAAAAGGGACCCGAACATCCCAAATTTTGAGTCCAGAGTTTGCAACATTTCAGAACTTGGACTAACTTTTCCCAAACAGAATAGAACTGCGTGGAAAGGGTAAGACAGCAATGACAGCATTCGGATACTATTTCGAGTATAGTTTGTAGAACTTTATCATGACTCACATTCACAGGTATTTTTTCAAAGTTTTGGAGGACAAAATTGACATGTTCGTTGAGAAGATCCAAATTTTTGTGGTCACCCATTGAACACAAAGCGTGCAAGTTCATGCTCAGAACTTTGGCCAATCTCGACAAATTGTGGCGTATAAATCGTTGGAAACTTTCACAATTCATTGATGAAGAGTTTTCAGGTTGACTTGAACTATTGATAGCCTTGAAAACTATCTCTAGCACCAGTGTCGATAAGTTGATCGCATCTTCAGTGCAATTTTTGAAATAGTCCTGAAGATAGATTCTATCTTTGTACAAACTGTCAACTATTAGAGTCATTTTCAAAGACTCTGAAGTTTTCAGCTTGGCGTTTGACTCGCTTTCGTCAATTTTGCGCAAGCAAGAGCTCAGTATTTGGCATTTGTCTTCAATTGACGAAAACAGTTGCTCGAAGCTGCACAAAACCAGTCGTTCTAGGTAGTCTTTGAAATCCGTTTCTGATTGGTCGAAAAGATCCATGAAATCAAACAGGAGGTCACGCAGTTCAATTTTGTCCTGCTGCTCGAACGGTATGCAATTATCGGACGAAAATAAGAAATACATGAGCTTGAAACAGTCCTTAAACAAAGTCACGTTTGGCTCCTCTTTTGCTGGTTCCGTTCTATCTTCAGTTTTGCCATCACTTGCTGTTGTCTCTGAGCTCAACGCATGAACGACAATTTTCTTCAGTGCTAAAATCTGATCGCGGTTATTGGCCGACGAGTTTTCGAACATTCGCTTCAAAATAACATCTTCGTCGTCGTCTTCCAGAACCTCATAACAAGCAATGCTATGAGCCGTTCCTGCACTTACATGTCTAACTGTGTTCATCTTCACATTTGGGACTATAGTCGGAACAACGACTGTGTCACATGTTAGATTACTAAGACACTGACCCTGCGAATTCGATCCCCAAGCAAATGTCACGCCAGTTTTATTGACTGCAACTACATGCTCAGCTCCAGCGGATATATGTGCAATGTCTGCCAGTGACTGGACGTTCCTGAACACCGGGTAAACCCTTTCCGGATCCCCGTGGCCGGTTGCAGCTCCTGTTCCACATGACATCACTTCGTATTCAGCAGTGAGAGCCAAACTTGCAGTCGAACTACAAACTATCTTTCTGATTTCAAGGCCGCATAGTTTCTTCACCACTTTCGGTTCGTTTACAATTGAATCGTGCTGCACATCAGGTTGGCCCAGACATCCTTTGTTCTGTCGGCCAAATGACCACACTTTGTTAGCATCTATCGAGGTCACAAAAGTGCACAATTTGCCACATGCAACGTCGCCAATTAGAGACAATGACGTCACTGGCTGAGGTGCTCCACATGAGAGACAGTCTCCGTGGCCTAATTGACCCATGCTTCCAGCTCCCCACGTGAACAAAGTGCCGTTTTCAGTCACACATGCACAGTGTTTGTAACCGGCCGAAATCGCGACAACCCGTGTTTTATCCAAGTGGCCACGAATGATGCCAGGACTCAAAGATGACATTAGGTTGTCGCTATTTGTTTCCCAGATTGACTGATTTGATAATTTATAAACATCTCCCGTGGTTGATAAGAACAAAGTGTCGCCCGTCGCTTGATTCATCGAAGTACTTGCTTTTAAAAAGCATACGTGATTAAACATGCTGGCTTTGGGTTCAACAGGTCCAATGATTCCTTTGGAATCTTCACTCAATCGTTCGACCCAAAGCTGACCTCGGAAGTCGATGTAAAAATTGATCGAATTTCCGGCATGCGCTCGCAGACATCCATTGGTTAGAACTTCAAAATTTGCCGTCAAATTCTCATTATCTGTCCCGTTCCCCCATACCGTTAAATTTTGCTTCATTTTTGGAACAGATAAGCTTGGCTGGGACAGCTTAAAAGCTTTTGATGCAAGACAATGCATTATAAGTTTTATACTATCTTCCAAATTTATGCTGTCTTCTACCGAACTTGAAAGTGCAAGAATAGTTTCTGGTTTTGCATCCGAATCCGCAAAATACTGCTGACATATTCTGTCAATTCTTGATTTGCCCATTTTAGCCTTTCTGATTGGCTCGCTCATTGTTAAAATCAGTAGAAAAATTTCCAATAACTCTGTGGTTGAGTACTTGAGTAATGCAACATTCACCAGAATCTCGACCGCCATCGCTATGCAATGAGACGAAATAACTGAGGTGTCACTTGTAGCCGATATCGAGAGGACGAACGTTTTTAGGAACTGACAAATTTCAGCTAGGCAATCTTCACTTGCTTTTAGGAGCCCAGTAGAAGGCGCGAACACTCCTGAGGGCAACGATCCAATGATCTCCAAGGCCGCCTCCATGACATCAATTCCAGCTCCTGAGTAGCCACCGGTTGAGGTAAGTGCTGAATTTTGAGACATGTCATGTCTGAGAAGGCTTTTCAGCAGAGCTAGAAAAGATTTCACAGCTACTCTGAGTAACGCCGAGTTGCCGTCTAATTCTCGTCCAGTAGTTGCACACAAAATAGACTGGTTTAACGGGTCTGTCGCTAACTTTCGCATCAACGCCACGTTTGCTGCGTCATTGCAAGACTTAGACTTCGAAGTAAGGCTAAATGTAGCTGACAATGCATTGATTCCTGCTAGAGTCCGTTTGTACAATATGAACTTTGCGATCAGAAAATCTTCCTCATTGGTATATGAAAATGTGTCACATGCGCTCAGAACATCATTTTTCAGTCTTTTAGAAACCGTTCCATTTTTGATCTGAGCCTTTACTTCATCCGGATTTGCTATCAAGTGCCACACTTTGTCTTTTGTCAAAGTCTGGTGAGTTCCAAAGGCGGCGTCCGGTTGTCGCTTCTCGAACAACTCGGGAATTGTTGCATTGGTTTCATTGCAAAGTCTGTCGTAGTCCTGCTCCAGCGATTTGGAGGAGTTGTCGGCCGACCGGAGCCTTGCCCAGTACTCGTCATGTTTCCTCTCCTCACTCGAGGAGAGAAAATCAGGTGATAATATGTTAGATAGACGAGTCTCCATCCTTAGTTGAATCTACATGATTGCTTCTGAAAAAAAAAGTAATTTTCAACATTAGATTTTCTGACCAAGTCAACAAAAATGATGTCATCGATTTAAAATATCCCGAACTCTTCATTTCAATTCTAATCTTTGAAGCTTTGTAGCAGAGTTTCTATCAAGAGTCGAAATGGAGCTTTGCAGCTCTAGTGATACGAAGAAGCCTGAAATAGTTAAGCAAATTATTAAATCTGAAAAATTTAATACAAATTCATGATGCAAGAAAAAGATTTAAAAACATCCAAGAAATCAGAGCAAACTAAAATCAAGAATAGCCGGTTACTGTACAAGTAGCACAGAATGTTCCGACAATAGTCTTTAAAAAATACAAGTTTTTTTTTCAAATTACAGACGTTTTTTTCTGCGTGGTGTGATAAAAGGATCTAAAGGTAAAACTACAGCTTAGGCATACTCGACAGTAAAAATAAAACAGCCAAATTGGACAGCAATTTTTGTTAGCATAATGACAAGAAAAAAATTTTTGCTGAAATTTTTTGAATTTATGAAATTTTTGATTCTCAAAATGGCGTTTACAAACTCCAAACACTAATATACTTGAGTAAAACTAAAATTAGGCAGAAATATCAAGTAAAAACGGCTTAAAGTAAGAATAAATAAGCTAGAAAAGTTTCAAAATTTTTAAGGTCGTTCGAATCACGACGGAAAAGGCTTCAAGATGATATATCACTGGATCCATACCGAGGAATATTTTGGGTACCTGCTTTTGCGTGGAAGAAAAAAGGAAAACTAAAACGCATTTTTCAAATGGTCGGATCAGAACAATTTGAGACATGTTTTCAACGACTAAGCGCAGTAACTAACAAAAATCTGAAATAACTACACAATGAATGAAAATCATTAAAGCTAACATCTATTTTTCTCAAAGTTGACAACATAGCCAACAGAGAGCCAATAGACCCAGTGAACAGAAAAAAAATGATGACTTATCTTTTGAAAAAAACCGACATTTTAAGAAAAAAAGATATGCCCTCAGTGTTTTTAACAGGGAATTACACAAAACCTATCAGTATTGCTGTACTTAATACTGTATCAGGGCATGTTAACTTGTCAACTGCTCTTGTTGAATGTTTTGCACAAAAGGATCAAAATTTGCAAAAAGTATCGGAAACTCAAACTAAGGCTCATAACTTGGTCAATCATGTGCTTGTTCGGCTGCTTTTTCATGAAAAAAAAACAGTACGGTGAACATCTTAAAGCTTAAGAAGACTTCTCGTATTGATGAAATAAGCAATATCTTCCTGTTAAAAAGTTGCTTTGTAATTGTTCCTTACCTAAGCTATTTTACAAAACTCTTTTAACAATGTTTCTCCGATGCAATGAAACACGCGAAAAAGTTGGCATACAGAAAACAGACAGCAAACTGAATTTGACTAACCATCGCCCTATATCACCTCTAATTGAAAAAGAGTGCATGCCAGATCAAATAACTACCTTAATCTGAATGAAGACAAAAATTTACTATGAGTGACGCTTTGGCTGAATCAACAGAAAAAATTAGACTAGGCGTTTATCGGCATAAAAACGTGACTTTTAAATGATCTGAAAAAAGCATTCGATACACTTGATCACGGTTTTCTCTTGAGCTACTTGAAAAAGTTAGAAATACTTCAAATTGAAAGCAAGAACAATGTGGTCATGCTTACTGGAAATCCGTCCTCGTCCGTCCTTTTACACATACCAATATTATGCACAAAGCATCTTCTTATTCAATTTTTTATGTTTGCGGATGGTACGAACATGGCTTGTGATAGCTTCAACTTGAAAATTTTCACGTTGATTTGTCGAGTCTAGCTTTGTAGCTTCAATCCTATAAGCTAACCTTAAATTCCGATAAAACAATTACTTGTAAAAAAAAAGCGCTCCCGATTTCTTTGTTGAGCTTCAAATGAAGTTTTAGACCGTGATTTTTTATGCAAACATCTAGGTGTTACTGAAGAGAATAAGCTCTGTTTTCTTAATCATATAGAGAAAATCAAATTAAAATTGGGTCGACGTAGCGGTGCGATATAAAAATGAGACGCTCCTTACCAAATGAGACCTTTTGATTAAGTACTTTTTTGAACTTCAAACCATTGACACAATTAGCATTATTTGCATATAGAACACAAATTATTTTTCAGTAAACTAAACTTTGATGGGTCGAAACGAAAATATGAAAGCATTACCAAAAAATTTTTGCGCAAAAAAAAAATTTAACGATTACAAGACACTTGCTCTCGCAAGTGTGGCACAGTGGCAAAGCTGAGCTTCCAACCAGTTGCAATACAACTATTTAAAAATAGTTGCGGAAAAAGCCCAAAATAGAATGCAAAATCAGCATCGGAACACTTAACCAAGCGATGACAAAGCCGAAAACATCTGAGCGGAAACTTTGCAAGACGTTTTTTTCCAATTCAAAACTAATTGGAAAACTTTATGCCCCTTCCCTTCTAATTACACACAGGTATACAATAACTTTTTAAGCGTATCGAACGACGCAAAAAACGGAAAGAGGCTACTAAACAAGCCGAAACCAATTAAGCCGAAAAAATGCAATTTAATAATACCGATTCGTGAAAAAGCAACCAAGGTGAAAAGTCCGGAGGCAACTTAACAACTGCTTCCCTTGAAAACATGCAAGCAACAAAAAATTTGCTTCCAAGCTGTGGCAACTAAGTCGCAAAAGATAAGCAGACAAATAACTCGCCGACAATTTAATTTTGAAGCAGAAAACTTTCCTTTTGAGAAAGTATATTCTGATCAGATTTGAACCCATGATCTTTGCGACCCAGGCGTATTCGTTACCTCCAGGCTAATCAGGTCCGGAACGCTGACAAAATAGAATTAATTATGAAACAAGGTATCACCAGAGATGAGTCCAGATTAGATGAGTTCTTTGAACAAAGTTATTCACAAGAAACAATCTAATACCCGATTGCAATACACTTGCTTATTGCAACTATAGCTTAAGTGCCGTAAAAATTTATCATAACATGCAGGTTAAAAAGATGTGTATTCTTTTTGAAAAATCTATAAAAATTTAATATATATTTTTTTTAAATATTTTTTTTGCGATGGTCATTGCGGTCGGAACTATCTGGGCTACTTGCACAGCGACCAGCTAGATTCTTCGATTATCAAGTATCAGTTCATCTTCCGCTTTTGAAAAATTTGCTAATGATTCTTGATTGGTATACACCAAAGTAAGTTTCTCAATTCTTTGTTTTTATCAAGAATGTATTCATATAACACTAAAAAAACGAGAGTTTCCAATGAATACCACCTTTCGGAAACAATAAAACCAAAAATCATGCTCATTAACAAATAGGGATGTAAGATTCCTTAACATGTTGAATGATAATAATCTGCTGCGTCAAACTATTAGAACAATGTCGAGAAGTGATGTTAATTAAATAATTATAAATTAGAAAATACTGACTAAGTAAAAGATATAAGTCAATAAACAGTTTTCTTTTAACTTATATGTTATAATCTAAACCGTATATTAGGATGCTCTCACAGGCAGTACTCCCAGGGGTTGCATATCTAGCCCAAAATATGACTGGACAAATCTTTGGAGTCTAAGCGTAATGACGTTTTTATGATTTTTCAAGATTTTCTAAAAACTTAGGAGGGGAAAACATTTCAATTGAGCTAGATTGTGCGGGCTAATGATTTGAAATAACTAAGTTAAACAATTATCTCAATACTAAGCAAGACAGAGTAAAAAGCAAGACAGAGTAAAAAAGTTTTTTGAAACTTGAATTTTTTTTTTCATTACAAATGTATTCAAGGGTAGGCGTCTAGTGGACATTGCTGTTGCCCTTTGTCTATCCTCTTCCTTCATAAAATAGATTTGACACAGAGGCGAAGATGCGGTTCGCAAACACCTGCGAGAACCCAAGCAAAAAACAGCTCTATCAAGTGACATAAGAAAAAGAAGAAATAACCTCGAATTTGCAAAAACTCGAGGCTTAGCAAAAACTCCAATAAGCAAAAATCTGCGATCTAGCAAATTTGAGTCTCACGCACTAACCATTCAGCCACGGGTGCTTAAAATGCTCAAAAACTAACCACCAATAACGCAGCCACATAGGCTAATAAATTGCCAATAGTAGCACCAAATACAAAAAGATACAATTTTGCGTGTAATAAATCGCAAATCATTAACCACATTTTGTATAAATTATGCATTTCGAAAATTTGTGAGATAGATTGAGTAAAAAAATTTCTGAAATCGAGATTTTATTATTGTTATGATGTTTGAAATAAATAGCTTTTTTCGGTTCACTTGACGAATTAAAAATGCATCAACTGTGTAAACTTATAACTATTCGAATGTCAAAGCATATGTTCATTATGTAATAAGCTGTAAATGTGCAACAAATTGCAAATCAATTCGTTTCAGCAATTATTGTTGGTTTAAGTCGCAACAATATTTGCGACTTATGTTGAAAAAGTGTAATAAGCGAATTGTTCTTCTGTGCCCTTTATTTATGATTTAAAGAAATAATATTTCTTTCTTACTTTGAAATGTGAATGAAAAACTGAGGGAGTGCTTTTCTCTTCAATTATTCGGATCACAAAAAAACTAAAGCGCAATTTAATTCATATAGAAGTTTTACTATTCACTTGCACCTCCTTAGTTAGGTTTATGCCTAACTTATGTTTTGTGAAAATGAAATCAGCAGAGCCCTCATAGCATGTCCAAGATGCTTTTAAGGATTGGTCAAAATATGAAGATTTTTGCACTAGTCAAGTATGCACCTACTGAATATACAGATTACTGTACCTCGACAAAATAATACCACTGGCATCCAAATAACTTACTTAAGATGCCGAGTGGATGGACCCAGGAAAGCATTCTTCTTGACAGACTAGCGGTAAAAAGATAAGCACCCGGTTGCAAAACATACTCAGATCGCAAGAGTAAATGCTAAAACTATACTAAACTGTTTCAATTAATCAAGTTTCAATAAATCAAGCCGTACACAAATTTAAACCAATACTTACAATGTTGAAGAACTAATTTAGAGAATATATCAAAGCTAGAAAACATTAAGAAACTAACGTCATCAATAGCCTCAGAAACTCTAAGCTTCGTCAGTCGTTATAGCTTTTGAAACATCTCTAAGAACCTCATTGATTTCTTCGATCTCAGCCTTTTCCTTTTCACTAATCGGCTCTGACTTTGAAAGCAAGTCTATCCGACAATTCAGGTAGTTCTTACATTCTGCGAACATTTTCATTGCCTTTTCATTTTCACTCAAACGGTGTGCTAAATTCGCTCCCGTGAAATAAGCTTCAGACACAAATCTATGATCACATGGTTCGGTTTTCAATGCATGTTTCAAACAATTTTCAGCGTGCTTTTGAGCCTCTGCGGGTTCATTATTTTCTAAATGAATTTCTGCCAATCGAAGATATGAGTTCGCCAAACATTTCAGCTCAGGGAGTGGTGACTTAGATGCATTTTCCGGAGTTGTAAGTTGTTCTACAATTTCACAAACTTTACGAAAATATAGCTTGCTTTCTTCTAGGCTTGAAACTAACTCTGCTTCGCTATTTTCTTCATTTTCGGAACAATCGTCATCTTCAAACTGCACGCAGTTGTCTTCAAAATATTCATCATTGGCAGGTGAATCATTAGTACCAAAACTAACAACATCAGCACAAGCGTGGCCACTACTACGGTTGAGTCCATTTGATTTTTGAATCTTGCTGCGTTTCTGATTATCGTCTTTACTTTCCATTACAGAATCAATCTCAGCAAGAAGCTTCTCGCTTTCTTCTATCACTGATTCATCTACTGTTGATTTCCTCTTTCGAGATCCCTCAAAACTGGATTCTAAAAAAAAACTAATTTAATTAGTTAAGAATAATACAGAACTCCAACCACAATTGCAACCGGGATTTTTCATAAAATCAATAACTGCGCCAAAATTCATAGTTCTGATGCACACGCAGCGTTCAGAGTTTTACCACCAGGGAACTTGTATTCAGCAGATTATCGATATTAACCAATTTCTGTAAAAATTAGATCTTCATACAATGATAAATAACGTTTTCAAAACAACTCAGACCATTTTTTCGACTGGAATTTTCTTTCCAGAATCCGAATCATGTCTAGAAAATTTTCCATAAGATATGACATAAAAAATTACTATACACCATAAGATGTATGACTTTGCATGAAAAAACCTCGGAAGATATCGGAACGACAATGCCAGAGCAGACGGTTCATGCTTCCGTCTATTATCACTTTCAAAAATTGAAGAAAAAACTTTTTACATTCCAATTTATTAAATGTCCAAATGAATTGACTTTTGCGTTGCTCAATTCTGGTAAATGAATTAGTAAAATCATCGCGCGCTAAATTTTGACTCAAGAACAAAAAATGAAAAAATCAACGGGAAATTGTACATACATCTGGTTTTGTGAGTTAGTTGATGGCCAGCTACGATTGGATGAAAATTGACAACTTATCTGGCGCAAACGAGCTATGCACCCTATCCTGTATTGGACCTTGAAACAATCATGCGATATTTTGTGGAAAAAAAGTATCCTGGAAAATTTTCTGCCCCTACAAAATCTGAAAACTAAAATCCACTTTCGGAACTAGAAGTCGAACACGTTTTTTTGTGACCTTCACACTTTTAACGTTCGATAGCCGGGTTTACCTTCATTTCAACAAAAGAAATGAAGTGAACTTAAAGAGAAGTCAAAAATCAAACCCCGAAAAATCTAATTTGACAGCCAACAAATTTTAAGACCTTTTACTGAAAAAATAGGACTAACAAAAAATCACCAAGACCTACATAAAATATTCACTACGTTCTTGACTCTTGATAATTGGCGAGTAGTGACTCTTTGATTTTATTGCACAAAATTTACACAGAGGCGAAGCTTCGCTTCGCACACACTAGCTAGAACACGACAAAAAGCAGCTTTATAAGGTGCAATAAGAAAAATTAGAAATAGGTCTCGAATTATTTAAAACTATACACTAACCACTCAGCCACGAACGCTTAATAGGTAACAAATACTAGCAACAAACAAAGCAAATGCTATGCAATTTCCAATTCTGCAGTGAAAATTCCAAACAAGTGACGATTTTAATGAACACTTATATTTGCGAGTTAGGTTGGAAAAAAGAAGGTTCGTAATAATACACTACGCTGATCATTGACTCTTAAAAACGTTGACGGACTCTTAAAAAAGCTTCGCAGGTGAAAATAAAGACACCCGGGCAAAGCTGACCTTCGCAAACAGAAGCACAGAAGCAGAAGAGCAACATAATTGGAAACTTTCTACTGGATTCCATTCTCCTACCTCCAAAGCTACAGTCAGAAAACTATAACAAAAATATCATCGATGGAAATAAAACTAACCATTCAGAACTCGCGCTTCAATCTCTGTTTCCAGATTTGAAATAAGCTTTTCGATGTCAGAATTTTCTTCGTCTGTTGACCCAGGATGTATCGACGAGTTATCTGCCGTGCTCGGCTTATTAGAGATAGAACCAATATCGCCGTTAACCAAGAACATATTTGAACAAAGTTCAGATTCTGTTTCACTTTTAATATCATGCGAAGTTGAACTTGTTCCAGGAACATCATCAGCAGGAGCTTCGGAGCTGTAGTAGTAATCTAAAAGTGCTAGTGCCATTAAATAGTACGAGGGAACACATTCCCTGGTCATTTCACCGTAAGTCTGTTCACATTTGCTGCAACATTCTTCAAGTATCGTCAGTGCTTTAACAATGAACTTGGATCTCAGCAGTGACTTGGCTTCAGCGAGCTTCTCATCCAAATCAGTATTTTCATTATTGCCTGACATTTGAACAAACCTGAAAAAATTGGTGCCCTAACCATTTGTGCAACGAATTGACATTTTTACAGATTTTAATTTCATTTGTTCAAACTTGAGATGGTTGCAGCTGCATTTTTGCGACATTTGGATAGGAGAAAATAGAATAATCATTTCAATGCTATTAGGGGAACACAATTGTCAAACCAAGGACATAAAACGCACAAATATGCACTCCAAATGGCTTGCTCTATTGTAATTTCGCTTTCAATTTTTTCTGTGGTTCTTTTGCTTTTTTCAGCTCTCCGGTTTCCTTTCTATTGGCTAAACGGTAAATGATTTCAATATTTCCCCACCGACACTTATAACTTATTGATAATTGACGCACTTTATGAACCTAACTTGAATAGGAAAGACTTCAAATAATGAACTGAACAAAAATGTATCTAAAATACTGTAAAATACAGGAATTAAAACATATTCATGATCATTGTACATTCAGAAACATCCTACACATTAAATAATAGTAGCAAAGGCACATTGAACCGAACAAAAAACACTTTTTTCGATTTTCTTGCTTTTTTGCATAAGAACATTTCTTGGCCGAATTTCGACACACGACTTCGGATTGCATTTGCTTGATGATAAACAGAATGGATTGAGTACACATGTGAATACTGTTTGGGCGAACAAATAATCATGTTACGTCATGTTTAATCCAGTACATTGCCATACATTTCTAAGAGCTATAAACCTAAATGTCAGACAAATCAGCACAAAAAAAAAACATTGCGACCGACCAGTCAAGTTATACAAGATAATTCTTACTTTCATTTCAGAATTTCTAAAATTTCAAAATGGAACGTTTAGTTTGCACAAATTTCACACATGCCATGCAAAAAGTTGTTCAGATAGTATTCCTGGAAATCATTTAATGGGTTTCCAACTTGGACAGTAGGAACTTCAAAAGAAGGTCGGGCAGATGGTTCAAACTACTCCAACCTGGAAACGGGTTAATGTCTACTAAATAATGGGGGTTCACGCTTGACTCATTATTCGCATCACTAGTGTCGCATGCAGATGTACTGATCTGTTCATTCGCCGCTATTAGAAAATCAAGTCCAAAAATATTCAGTCCAATTTTCTTCCGGATAGACTCGACTACTCTGGAAACTGTTTGCATGTGAAAGCAGGCATGTACGTTGGGACACTGCAGTTGCTGGATCTGGACATCTGTTAGATCTGTCTGGTCTGTTTTGGATAGCTTGTGGCCGTTAAAGATAATGGGACCCGTCTCAGAATTGTAGTTTTCGGGAATGTCCTAAAACAATTCAGACATTTTAGCACAATGACTCAATATTTGAGGAATTAGCACCATTGCTGACAGCAGGAGTTTTTTCGCGCAAGTCAGTTACCACAAATACACATCGTATAGCTTGAATAATACGAAGTTAAGAAGTAACTTGGGCAATAATGAAAAATGAATGATATGTTTAAATACATTTTTTGGTTTTCGTTCTTAATTAGAGCACAGCGAAACAGAGAAAGAGTTATTATTGAATACAGAAAACACAAAAAAAAATCCTAAATTTATCCACTTTCATAAAAACTCTCAAGCATAGTAAGCTCTTAGCTAAATACACTCTCAGCCCAAACAAGCAACAAAAGAAAAACATCATATATCACTATCACAAATCAAAATCATTCCTAATAAACCTATTCAAAAACAATAGCTGTAAAACGTGTACTACCTGCAGAAACGCCCACCAAAAGAAAGCATCCAAAACCAACATTGAGTACGATATGAAATTGAAAAACATTCAGTTTTTGAAAAATACGCCACTTTGTTAATTTTTCGAAAATTATTGACATTGAATACAATTTTACTGGTCTTATCGTGTCTCCAATGAAAGGAACCTAACAATGAAAAGAAAATAAGGGAATAGAAACTTCACCGAGGACCAAGCCGGAAAAAAATTTCATTGAAAAATCATATAATTTGCCAGGGTAAAAAGATAATGGAATAAAATGCCTTAAAATTTATTATAATCAGCGGGCTAATAGGCTGCATGTGTATTCTTTTTGAAAAATCTATAAAAACAACATTTTTTTTGCGATGGTCATTGCCGTCGGAACTATCTGGGCTACTAGCAAAGCGAACTGCTAGTCTTTTTCGATTATTAAGTCTCAGTTCCTACTCCACTTTTGAGCATGAAGCTTTATTTTGAGCTTGATAATCCCCCTCCTCTTAGAATTTGCCCGATTTAAAAATGAAACACAAATATGTGGTTAAGCTTTTTTCACTTTCACAGCAAATGGTAATTCAACTTTATTGAAAAAGTTACATACCACTGAAGGTCTTTTCTGAATGACAATTTCCTCTCCAAAGACATACACTTTGAATAAGACCATCTGATGACGGACGAAGTTCTGCAATATGATTGGATAACGAGGGACCTGCGAAGAATCTAACAACTGGTTCCAGCTGAAGATGATACTCATCTCGTGACTTTTGGCATCCCAAGTGTCCACACACTTGCAGATACATGGCAACTGCAGACCAGTTAGCTTTTCTAGTTCAACTTCACTCTCAGGCGCTTTGTCCAACTTATGCCAAGTTGGAATCTCAACACAAACATTGTACTCGGGATTTTCTCCCCTTTCCAATGAGCCATTGATATTTTTCCAGTCAATTTTCAGTTCATCGCACGTGTTTTGGATCAATTTGCAGACATATTCCCGGTTAAAAAGTTCAAACTGGGGATCTACAGGGTCAATCACTCTTATTTCAGGGTGATTTTCAATAAAGCTGAGAAGACGTTTAAAATGGGCTCCAACTGTCGAATTAGCGCCTCTAAGTTTGGGCTTGTAAAGGGCAATTATCTTGTGCACGATGAGGTCAAACGGCAACTGAATTTCCAATTCACTATCCAGGTCAAGTTCTACAAGTTCGATTCCATGACGCCTACAAAGTTCAATTGACTCAGTCCAGCTTTTCAACTGGGTTGATTTCACATTAAGCCAGTAGCCCACTCTATAGTGAGTCTTAGAGTTCAAATCAGGGGATATTTTGGGTATTTCATCAGAGGAGTGAATAGGGATAGTTGAAGTCTGATTCTGGCCAGCAGCATCAGAATCATCAGGAGCTGCACATCCGTTGAGTTTGTGGGACTCTATGGTTATCTTGTTTTCCGTTTTCGACTCATGCTTGAGGTCGAGCAAATCATTCTGAACCATATTCAACACACATTTTCATCTGAAAAAAAATCAATCAAGTGGGAATCGTATTCTTATTTATATCCTGACGTTTATAAGTTTCTCGAATATGATAAACTGTAGTCGAACACGAGTGAAACTTCAAAATAACCTAGTTTTTTGCTCTTTTTCCTTTCCCCGCCTTCAGATTTTCAAAGAGGAAACAGCCTTTTTTGATATTTTTACACAGCAATTTTGAGCAATAAAATCAAAGAGTCACTACTCGCCAATTAATACTATCGGAGCAACTGTGAGGCTGAAGCAAAACATAATGCGGAAAAATAGGTGTATTGATTTAAGTAATAAAAACAGCTTTCGATTTCTGTTCGTTAAACTGAATGAATTGCATTTATAAGATCGCTAACCTCAATGTCAACTGGTTACTTCTGATTTTAGGCCCGCATTTGGTTAACTTACCACTATTTCTCAATTTTCTAATATTCATAACGAGAACATTATAATTTCAGGCTCTACATAATTTGAAACCCGGATGAAAATTCATCCAAGTGAGTTTTTATTTTTTTTTTACAAAATATTTCTTCGAAAACTTTGCTTTAACTCCAATTTGTACAAAATTATTTTCCTTATTTGCAAAAAATCTGGCTAAGTAGGAGGCAAACATAAGTGATCCTGCATATATTTAAGCACCAAAATGATTAAAGTTTCAATAATTGATACTAATAATTCTATTAGCCTGCACGAAACTCATTAAATCGAAACCCCGTAAGTTCCAGGGGGCGATTTTTCAATTGAGTGAGCAAAATTCTCAACCTTAGATTTACCACCTTTGTCAATAATTTACCAACATTTGTCATAACTTTAGGTTGGGATTGAAAAAATTGGTTCAAATAGTTTGCGATTTCAAAGCTTTCGGGTTCTGTTTACAGTCCAAATTTGAAGCCCTTGGAGGGAGACCCTTTGCTGGAGAATAGGATGCGAATCATCATCACCTGACAAATTCCAGTGCACAAAATAGCTAGCACGCTGAAAAGAGAAGCTCGGTTAACCAGATCGTAAGTTCTCTCGGCCAATTTGCGATCTCTGTACTCCAGATTTCTGAACTGTCCCTGGTTGTATGCGGACCCTCTCAAGTTCTTCTTAATATGCAGTAAGGCACTGTCCATTTGCTCGACCTGAATAATTAAGCTCAAAATAAGTTTATCCCTTCACTCAGCGATGACGATTATGGTCCTTCCTATAATCAGTCCCAAGGGATATAATATATTAATTCAAGCAATTCATCATTTAAATGATATAACATTTCAATAGAAGAAAAAAAGTTGTTGATTGCTGTGCAAGAAGCACATTCTTTTCTTCACGCTTTTCAAAAATCTTCAAACTGTCATTGCAATTTGCACCGCTTGCGACCAAAAAATGTGAGAAAATTAGCTAAAAAATCCATCTATTGCGCAAAAAAACTTTAAATCAAAATTACGAAGAACTACAATGCAGACAAGCTTTTTGGTAAATCTGAACTTGATAAGTTTTCGAGTTACAAATAGTATCGAAGTGGATTCCATGATCCCGTTGTCTGTTTGAAAACTATTTTGGATGGTTATAAACGCCATCTGGGATATTTTTTTTGCATAATTTCTTTAACTAGTTGGGCCTATTGATGACAAAACTCAAATTTTGTGCATGCTTGCGTCTGACTTTGATAGTTTTCAGAACTTAAGGTTTCGAAAGGTTTTGCCTGAAAAAAAATACAACCTGTAATATCGTACTATCAAAAACTCAACTATGAAACTGTAGGTATTGTGAACTGTAGGTAACTATGAAAACATTTTAATAGTATCGAAGTGGATCCCATGATCCCGTTGTCTGTCCTCTCCAGATTTTGTTGCAGTATGCATAATATGGTTCATTTTTTTCTACAAGAGAACCATTTTTTTTATAACGCGGAAAAACCTCTCAATACTCCGGCTTTGATCTCAAGATCAAATCAAGAAAAATCCTGGAGATCCAAAAAGCAATATGATACCTACCACGTCTAGCTCTGAATTTGTACTCTTACCTGTACATCTAAATCTTTCAATTCCTCCTCTGCGACTGTTATTTTCTTCAGCTGCTCCTTCGGATTTTTGTTTCTTTCATGCTTCGTCAATCTCTCCATTTGCTCGGTGCTGTAGTAATCAAAATACACCACTTTACTCGAGAAAGTACTAAAGGAATTGTCCAGACATATTTTAAAATCTCCCGATTTCTGAGGGGTGAAGTAAAACCGACTGCTTGATTTCTTTGAATCAGAGACTATAATAGCATCCGATTCGTCCATTATTTGGAAGTTGATATCCAACTGAGCGCCCCCTCTCAATACTTCGTAGGAGGCTCTCATTTTTTCTCCCTCTTTCATGAAGTCGTGAAAACAGACTCTTTCCCTCGGCATAAGCATCAGACTCATGGCTCCCGATGAACTTGTTTCAGGCTCCTCCGAGGCGTTACATGGACCAATGAAGAAGTTGTAAGCCAGAAGCACCGCCAAAAGTGGTACAAAACTTACACTCCTCATCGTGACAGCCAATGCTTTGGTAACTTGCATTAACTCAACTTTCAAGCACGGTGAAAAAGCCATCATTGGTATTGAAGAGCCAAACCCTGGCCTGAAAAAATTTTCAGAGCTGAAAACGCACAAGAAAAAGCTTGCCCATAAAATCACAACAAAAATCTATCATGAAAGAAGAACATTAAATTGAAGTTTTATTCTCGTTACTGTCATTTGCAATAAAATTTTTCAGAATGGAAGTTAATTGACCGCCAATTGCACACAGAAAAACACAATGGCGTTTTTAGCACAACATTAAATTAAAATTTGGGCTATTAAATTTTTAGACCAAATTACATCTATGATGAAAAAGCACGAGAGAGAAACAGATGGTTATAAGTTTAAACACAACAAAACGTGGAACTTGCTGAAGTTTACTCAGTGTCATCATATATGTCAACATTTCTATTGCTATGTTTAACTCTTTTTCATTACCTTTTAACACAAATTTCCAAAAAAAAAACGGACAATAGACCAACTTAGATAACAACGTACTCTATCAACAACAACGTACAGTAATGACTTTTCCAAAAGATCATAATAATAATTTTTATACTTAGAATCATCATATATTAAATTTAAATACCACGCATTCTTTTCGCTATCAAGTGTCGCTTCGTTTTTAAGGTTGATGATATATGCAAGATAGATAGTCTAGATCACAGTAAGATGTCATAAAAATTATGATGTATATAATATGATACTTTATCGCAAAGGTTTTATAACTACCTCTCAGTCAATATCTATAAGGCAATGCGTCGCGATAGGAAAATTGCCCGGCCACGTATTATCAATGTACAAATAGCTTTCATTTGATACCGAAAACAACCTACAGTTTCATAGTTGTGTCTTTGATAGTACTATTTTACAGGTTAAATTTTGTTTCAGGCAAAACCTTTCGAAACCGTAAGTTTAGAAAAACATCAAAGTCAGACGCAAGCATGCACGAAATTTGAGTTTTTTTTGTCATAAATAGGCCCAACTAGTTAAAGAAAGTATGCAAAAAATATCCCAGGTGGCGTTTATAAACATCCAAAATAGTTTTCACACGCAAGTTCAAGTGTGAATTTGATTGGAGACGTTTTCATGATTTTGTTCAGTATCACATGAATTTGCGGGTGAAAAATTTGAAAGTTACAACAGCCGAAGTTCACGATAGAATGTCAATGGACAAGCCCCGCCCAAGACCCGATCCGTTTTGCGAGCTCGCTTGAAAAAAAGGGAACCGGCCTAATTTCATGCGGGCCGCTTAGCATGAGGCTTTTAGCCCAATTAGAATCGAGTTTGATTTCTCAAGTTTACAACAAACTCAAACTGATGCGTGCCGCATCAAAAGGATCAATTATACTAATGGCGAAAGGTATGCAGATTGCAAACAAGCCGATATACATCCGAAAATCAAGGAGTGAAAACTGAGGGACATTAAGGCACATTATTATCAACGATCTCTTTTTGGCTTCCTCATTTCTCTTTTTGCTCTTTTTGGCTTCCTCATTTCTCTTTTTGCTCTTTTTGGCTTACTCATTTCCAAACTAGCAAACGCCAATAATTCGATTCGTTCAACCAATTAATTAATCCCTCCAGGTAGTAAACTCGGTTTCAACTACTAAACAACTAACTAATCCGTTCTCTCGGGAACAACTGCAATTGCAACTACCCGAAATATATTTCGGGTCAGCCCAATTCAACTATTTCACTGATTCAATGGCTGAGGGAGATTCACTTAGCTGAGAATTTTTCCTCCAGCCTTCTCAGGTTCTGTTATTTCTCTCTCTCTCTCTCTCTCTCTCTCTCTCTCTCCCGCTCTCTCTCTCTCTCTCTCTCTCTCTCCCGCTCTCTCTCTCTCTCTCTCTCTCTCTCACTCTATCTCTTCTTTCTCTCTCCTCTCTTTCTTTCTTTCTTTCTTTCTATCTATCTTTCTATCTCTCTATCTATCTCTCTATCTATCTATCTATCTATCTATCTATCTATCTATCTATCTATCTATCTATCTATCTATCTATCTATCTATCTATCTATCTATCTATCTATCTCTCTCTCTCTCTCTCTCTCTCTCTCTCTCTCTCTCTCTCTTTCTTTCTCTCTCTTCTCTCCCTTCTTTGTCTGTCTGTCTGTTTGTCTCGCTTTCTCTCTTTCTTTCTCTTTTTGACTCTTTTGTTTCTTTCTCCCTCCATGAGAACCAACTGATCACTCTCTTAGGCATTCCGGCCTCATGGGGCTATAAGGAGGTCCTTTTCAATGGTAGCCACTTGCATCTAAGCTACTAAAACTTTCATATATACAAATTCAATCCCGACCCTCTAGCTATCATGGGAGGGTAGTTCGTCTTCCAATTGTGCCAAAAAGTCACCTCTGTGGAGATAAACAACCCATCTGTTTGTATTAATTGGGAGAATTAGATCCCGTTGTACTCCTATTGTTCCCCTTTCCGGTAATAATTCAAAGGGTACTGGTGCAAGTTTTGGCCAAAAAGCCGAAATGTCATTTCAAGGTCTCCTCAGAGTAAGCAGGGGTGAACCTTCCATATTCGGGGTACGTGTCACATGGAGATCCTATCTACTAAATTCCATCCATATCCCAGTGCTTCCCTAATTAGCCTTTTTTTAGTCACCATTATCATTTCTCTCAAAAGAGGAGCTATTGACGCCGGAAAGTCGCCGGAGATATTTCATTCACAAGGTGTCTTGAATCGGTGTTGATAACTAGTGTCTATTACCGCCATAAATTCAAGATGCCTACGCTCATTATTTGAGCTATATTGCCTTTTTCCGGTGTAAGAAGTGCTTGTCCCAAATGCTAATAATTTCTGGTCCAATCGACGGATTTGGTTCAAATTAAAAAACAAGTATCTTGTTTTATGGTAAGGGTTCTATCGAATAACCAAATTTGTCAAACAACGTTCAGGCGCTCATTGGGATTGGCGATGAGTTCGGGAAGTTGTGGTGGGGACATTTCTTAGGGGATAACACCGTCCAGGGCGTCTGAGGTTCTAAACTTGAAATTACTTCAACTAAGTTAATAACAATTTAAGATTTAGTCCCAATTCCAACGCTAATTACTGAGTTCCAATTGGGCGATTCGCACTTCCGAGAACCGTTATCACTTTGACCAGGGGCTCCGAGTTTTGCATCCAAACTCTTGTATCCGTCCTATGAGTTTTATAGGGTTAGCTTCAATTTTTTCCAGTTGGGGGTATACGAACCATATTTCACAAGGTTTGTCCGACATAGGAGGGACTAAATCTTTCGATATTCTAACTATTTCGGACTCGGCAGTTTGTTTTTCGCTCTCTTTTGCCCACAACGCAAATTTTGCTACCACAATGGTAACCCACGTAGCCACGTTCCAGCCCCCTATTTTCATTGAGGCGCAGCAGGACGCTTTCCATCAGAAAGCTTCCAAGTTCACATGTAACCAACGAAAAGTATACTGGCATGGCAAGGTTGTTTTACACGCTCGTAATATTCAATCAACATTGAAAGATGTCCGTAAGGTCACTTTAAGTCATCGAGGAGGCTATTACCGCTTGGAGCAAGAAATCCGTACCACGTAGAGTACATGCTTCAACACTGCCGAGTCCTCTGCATTGACAGCGAAGGCTGTGTCCAGAATCACAGGACTATTGTCAATGACGGGCCGATGATTTAATTATCGCCGGAGACACGAGTACAGATTTGTTAAAGGTTCGTACTGGAGATGGGAAGTAACGCAGTTGTCACGGAGGATTATGCCAAAACTGACCTCATCCGATACCAGCCGATGACATCAGAATGCGCTCGTCCTAGTTCCAACTGCTTGCTGGAATGCATCCACCACCTTCACACCGGGGCCAATGATAGGTCCACAGTACACCAAGATTTGCTCGCGGATCAGCAAAAAAGCAACGTGCTTGTTATCAGTCGCGTTTTACTTTTTGTTTGATACCTGTCAGAGCGTCAAACGCATAATCCTCGAGTCCAATCTCCACGTTTAAACCGAAATACTGCGTGTCCCTATCTATGAATATTGCCACGAGCAGGGCCAAGAGACTAAGTGAAATTACATCGCAGGGCATACACTGGATTGGACTGAGTCGGAAGCAATTAATTTGATGAGTCAGGTTCAAACTCAGTGACGGGAAGGGCATTTTCTTCTCATTAGGAGCCTACGTCTGCGGTGCCACAAACTCAGAGTTTTATTCTAAATTTGAGCGAGTAGGTCTTATAAAAAGGAAACTTTTCAATTAAGAAGCAAAGAAATTAAAAACGCGTAATTGGAACAGCTGTTCATAGCTAATGACCTGTTTCTATTACTTTCATGGGTAATTCTAATGAGTGTTTACAACTTTTATTCTGGAAAAGCATTTCTATATGTTTTCATTGTCAAGATCTCGTGATCACTCGCTATTGATAACCCTTTAGCTCAGGCAACTTCTAAAGTATCAGTAGTACAATTCAGAATTTTTCCTGTCGTCTCAATAGTTGAATAACATTCAGCGCTTCTTAATTCTTGAACTGAAAAGCACTCTACGGTGAAGAGCAGTTGATGGAATGTTGCTAAGAATACAAAGAGACCTTTCAACATATGAGCAGGACATTCTTTCAGACACTGCTGAAGCAACTGATTTCTTTCAGCTCAAGTTCATCTAGGTTCAAAAAAGCTTTGCTAATAAATATGCCAACTTGCTATATAAGACATCTTCTAAACTATATATCTAATTCCTACTCAGGCTAAGGCTTTGCGGTGCTGAGTTTGATCTTAAAATCCATATTGCATCAGGTTTTCGAAATAAGTTTGTTGTTGCAGCATTAAGTTACAAGTGATTTCGTATGGATCTTCATTTACATCTGCGACTCCTCCGAGAGACCTGGGAAGAACTTCAGGTCCGAAATCTTCACACAGGATTTCCGACAGGGGTCTATCTCCTTTCTCTCTCTTCTCTGCCAACACGTGAAATCTTTTCCTGATTTTGGAACTGAGCAAAACTTTTATCGTCGATATTAAAGATGTCAAAAATGACGAAGCATTAATGAAGTACAACGCTTTCACCCTAATCGGTATTGTTTCCTGAATAGCTTTGACGATTGTCCTGGCAAGACTGAATTTGACATGGGAAAGATGTTTCAGCGTGAAATCTTTGAAGTCGACGATAACTGACAGCCCTGTGATTTGAGACACCGGGTCGCTGGCTATGACTTCCAGAACAATAAGCAGCGCCCGGAAAGCATCCCACAGTTTCGTTTCATCAGTATTCCACAGTCCGATGTGTAAAATAAGTAGTTTTCGCAACTGTTTGTCATACCCGGGCATAACAGCCCCCACTAGAAGTTTAAAAATATGTTCGCACTCTGAAGGAAGCAAGTTATGGCACAACTTTTCCACTTTCTGAAACTCGTACAGACTGATTATCTCTTTGTAAGCTTTATCTGTATCGTACTTTCTCAGACGAAGAAAACGGAGAATGAAGTTGAGGTCAGGGTTGAAAAGTAACTTGGGGTGATTTGTCTGTATCTTGGCAATAACTGTAGAGCATTTTTGAACAACTAGCGATGGCTCTTCGTTCACTTTTTCAATTGCTAAGGAATTCCAGGGCTCATCAAGTAAGAGACCTGCGTTGTTAAAAATAGCTCCATCGATTGTTTGACCATTCAAGGTCATTTTCGTAAATTAAGAAGAAAAGGAGATATAAAAGGCTGGGAAAGAAAGCAATAAAAAACTCCTAAAATGAAGCTCTCAGATCAAATTTTTATGGTAGCAGTTTCTTCATTTTATGTGTAAGGAAGATAGAAGATTTACTTAGCACTCGAAGGACTATAGCTTCGATTTCCTTTCAGCAAATGCTGTTAAAATAGATTTTCTTTCAGAGACTAGCTTTAATTTTGGTCACTAACTAAAAACAACGTAAACACGCCAACACTATACCACCAAATTTAGCGTTATCAGTGCTATCAGATATTAGTAACAAATTAATTCATACTGCTAAAAGTTGATTTTTTGACGTCTGTTTTGGTTGAATAAAAACGCGTGGTTACGCTTTGGAACGCGCTGTTGGTCGTATTTACAATATTTTCATTTTCACACTAGTTTTTTCTTTGCAATCATGCATTGCAATTCAACATGTAGCTCCAGTAACGACGCACCACATAAACGTCAGATACCATTCTTACGCACAACTGGTGTTTAAATTTGCTGAAAAATTATTGATGAAAACTTGATGCTGACATCAATTTACGCATGAAAGCCTAGAATTTTCAATTAGTCATTCCAAATTATGCCTTGCCATCAGTCAAGCAAAACATTGGCTAACTAAGTTACCCCATAACAAGTAACAGCAACAAATACCAACCGAAGATTGTATAGAGTTATTGAATTATTTTAATGAGTACAAGAATGGTCTGCACACCTTCAGTTATTTCATAGTTGCTACAAAAATATTGCACTGGAAGAATATATTTTACTTAAAATAACCTAAACTAACCGAAGAATGTTGTAGATTGACCTCAATGAATTAAACTGAGGTTTTTGACCGGCCGAAAAACCGTGTCTGAAGAACCGAGCAAAGAAGTAACCTAATATAAGGAACTTATTCGACCACTTGCACTCGTTGAATCTTTTCCAATAAGCATATTTTCACCAAAAAAAAACACAAAAAAATGATACATTTTTTAGCAAAACCATTATTATGCATTATGCAGAGACGAGTAGTAACTGCAAAAGAAAACAAGCAGATGTTCAATAGGTTAAGTTGTTTATTTAACTTGAATAGGACTCAATTCTAAATTACCAAAGTGTGTCCTTTAAACTAAAGCCTCTATTCAATAAATCAGAAATTGACTGATTTATTCTTTTTAAGACAAATTTTTAACCTAAGTTGAGTAATTTATATGAAAGCCCTTTCAGTCGCGATTCAAACGACATTGGAGAACTACAAAAAAAATTTCCGTGTCAAGAAAAAACCGGTTTGAAAATTTTGATTTCTCGCCTCAATTCGAGCGAATACAGCAGGGCTAGGGAACAATTAATTGGAGCCCAATTAATTGTGTCCAACTAATTGATTGTCGAGTCCATCCAATTCGAATGAATTAATTGCGGGGTTTCAATTAATTGCATTTATTATCCACCATTTAAAACTTGCTGCTCCATTTTGTTTTGTAGTTGCAAATTGCGCAGCGTGATTAGTTTATATTCCGAGTAGAATCAGTAATCGCTTAATTGATTAACTTCTTCATTGTTTCTTTATTGAGTCTGTTTCTTCATTGGTTTTCCATATCTACAAATCAATCTTTTATTTTTATACGTGAAGGAAATTAAACGTTAAAAACCCCTTAATTGAGTAACTATCACGGAACCAGTACTTTCCTACCTCGTCCCACACCAGTCGCCGTTCGATGTGTCTGTAGCTGATCACGGTGACATCAGGAGATACGTGGTTCCGGAGGGAACGACGATCAAGCTGAAAGGGCCTGGATCGTATAATATCTTCCTGACCAATTTGGTCTTCGCTGTCTTTGTAAGTTGATTTTATTTTTCAGAAAGGCTTTATATTTTCCTTTTTCTATGGAATACATCCTTACGGTTTTTCCGGCAACGTTTTTCATTTATAATTCAATGTTTAAACCTTCAGATACTCTCGAAGAAATTTTCGCGAGTATCTGAAGGTTTAGAAGTTTAGCATTTTAGACATATAACTGTAAGTTCAAATATTTTACTTTGAACCATCACCCAGAAATTTTTTTTTCTTCCAGTAATATTCTGGGTTCTATCAAAAATGGATAAAGTAAGTGAAAGTAAATCAAACGGAGAGTTTTAAAACATCTTGGTTTAAATAATTCTAAACCTGTTGTCTAGAAATCTTAGATATTAAAGATAAAATAGGGGGAAAAGATTTACATATTATGTTATGTTTAGTACAACAAAGTCTGGCTGTTGTGCCAATATCTCGAGGATTATATGAACAAAGAAAAGGGCTCTACGAATTTGGTATCAGTTGAACAACTTTGGACGTCGAAGGAACCTTCGAAGGCTGGTGAGGTAATGTCCACACAGAGCAGTAAGATGTCGACTCTGCTGAATAACTTGGGAAAAACTCCCAGAACTCCGCTAGCGGGCAATAAGGAGGTCCATTATTGGACTTTCTCCCCCAGTAGTTGCTGGAGATTGCAGATAATGGCAGCGAATAAACTGGCAGATAAAGACAACGAAGATGCCATCCATACAACTCTTTAGCACATTCCTCTAGCTACAGTCATCCAGCCAGCTACCGAGCCCGATGCTACCGGTGTGTATGCTTTACATACCTCTAATACTTTTGCTTTTGTTGAAAAGGGCTATCCAGCTTATGTTGAGCAGAGCCAATACTTTTGCTTGTGTTGAGCAGGGCCATCCAGCTGATGCCGGCCGAGCCCGACTCCAGAGCAGAGCTATCCAGCAGGCAGTCAGGCGCTTCAGTTGACCCCATTTCCCTGACTGAAATGCAGTGGGCAATGGCGCTGCTGCGAAGATTTCTTAAAAATTCAAGGAAGCTCTCCTGGTCAACCTTAATAAGGGCTGTTCAGAAGGAGACTCACGGCACAGAGGAAGGAGCAAATTTCGAGGCGTGAGTTTCTGAGTCCATATTTTTAAAAAAGTCTCCAATAATAATTTTTAATATAAATATACGAGGATATACTACATGTATAAAAATACTTTTATGTTTTCCTTATATTCTTTCCGCCTGTTAATATCGTTTTGTTTTAGGGTGCTGAGGGAGCGCAACCTGTCGAAAACACAATTGATGTGTGCCTGGGTCCCTCAATTGGAAATGCTTTTCCAGCACTCGGATGAAATTCGAGCCCTGAGTTTGACTGTCAATAAGAACGTGCACCAAACCAACCTGAAGATCTTCAGGGAGGCACGGGAAACGTTCCTCGAAAAGGGAACAAAGCCGGAAGACACCGTGAAGGGTATCCTCAACACTTGGTACATGGCGCGCAACCTCTAAGTTAAATTAATTTTGATAATCAATGATTTCTTATTTCAGATTGCGAAAAATTGATTTATGGTAAGTTTTTACAGAACTTAATTTTGTAATAAATAATTTGACATTATTTGATTGTCTACTATATTTTACAGTTTTTATTTTTCCACTTCTATATTTGTGTTTAGCTTTCCAGTGACAAGTATTTACCGCCATTATTCTTTCAGAGAACAAGATTGATCGGGTGCGTTCAACAGTGCCGAAGTACAATAGTGCCGAAAAAGGCAGAGAAAATTTCAGAATAATTTTAACGCTTTTTCTGACGAGCGGGAAATTACTGACGCTAATTATCAAAAAAAATCACTCCTTTTTTGGCGCCAAAACGTCTGCAACTGCAAATTGAACAATTATTTTGGGGCCAAAACGTCTGAATTGCAAGTTTTCTCGCTCAAAATCTTCAAGTGTCACCTAAGAAAATAAAGGTTCGCCGTTTAATTTTTGATTGCTGCACTTAATATATTGCAATTTATTCAGAATTTGGCACTTTTGAACAAAGTTTTCATTTTCGGCACTGTTGAACTAATTTTTTTTTGCCGGCACTGTTGTACTGCCCTGATTGATCATGTCTGTGAATAAGGCTGTGATAACATGAATTTTTATGGATAACAACGATGAAACAGGAAAACGGAAATGTAAATCCGGAATATCAATTACCCAGAAAAGAGGCACAGGGTGAAAGAATTCGGCTAAACACAAAAAAGAAACATTAGGATTAGAACACACAGGAAAGTGAGTTGTTTTATTATTCTGTGGTTTTTAATTCTCAATTTTTTTATGTTGTGAAACATTAAAAACTGCTGACCAAAAATTGTGAAAAAAACATTGAGCGCATTTTTGTTTAAGGAGGAAGCGGCCAAACAAGATTAGAATTTCCAACAGCTATTTCATCAACCCTAACCGAAGCTTCTTCTGAAAATCGATATGGATGGATTGAATGGGTGTGCTGTGGCATGCACCCTTTTTCTATGGTTGAAGATTATAGTTACAGTTCTTTAAAGCCCATTGCAAAAAAGACTTAAAAAAAGTCTCACATTTTGACGGTGTTATTTCTTTTTATCCAGAAATGGCAAAGTATTTGTCAAGATGACGAAATTCGCCACTGCCCTGTTTTTGAGAGTGGGTTGATCAAGATTCAGGATAGCGACGAAACATCGCTGTCCAGCACGGAGAAAGTTTGGAGAAAATTGTGGCAAACATTTTAGTCATTTTTTCGACAAAGTGGTCGAGCGCAAAGATTTTGCAATGAGTTTGCTCAAAAAATAAAAAAGTCCAAAAGAAAAATATAGTGATTCTCGTTTCATTCTGCCGACATCTAATCTCTCTGAACTGTTTTTTAAATTTTAGTTCGTCGGGGTATTGTTTCATAACCTGCTACAATCTCTAATGCCAATGAACCTCGCAGCCCCGGATGTTCTTTAAGATCAACAAAAATTTTTGGAGTAGAGAAACTATGCAAAAACTGGAACGCTCTTAGTTTTTTTATGTAATCAAGTTCGAAATTAATTTTTGTTCGTTTACTTTTCACATTTCGGCAAAATTCAATTAATTGCAATTAAATAATTGATAGACTGGCCAATTCCAATTAATTAATTGAAGCAGTCCATAATTGATTGGAAGGGCCCCATTAATTGTTTCCCTACCCCTGGAATACAGCAACAGCAGGCTTGCAACAGCTAAATTTGCCTAACTTAAGATCTTAAAATCTTAAGTCTTTGAGATCTTAATTTTAAGCAAGTAAAGCTAGTTAAGAGTTTTTTTAGCTTCAGCCAACAACTTAAAAATTTTACAATTTTCTGCCGAAAATTTTGAAAACATTTTTTAACATTTTTTTCTTAGTTTTTCTAGTCATTTTAAAAATTGCAAGTTTTCTCACTCAAAATCTTTAAGTGTCACCTAAGATTATAAAGGTTCGCCATTTAATTTTTGCTTGCCGCACTTAATATGTTGCAATTTGTTCATATTTGTGGCACTATTGAACAAAGTTTTCATTTTCCGCGCTGTTAAACTAATTTTTTTTTGCCGGCACTGTTGTACTTCGGCACTGTTGTACTGCCCCGATTGATCATGTTTATGAATAAGGCTCTGATTACATCAACTTTTATGGATAACAACAGTGAAAAAGTGAAACAGGAAAATGGAAATGTAAATGTGGAATATCAATTACCCAGAAAAGAGGCACAGAGTGGACGAATTCGGCTAACCACAAAGAAGAAACATCAGGAATGGATTACACAGGAAGGTGAGTTAATTTTTTTATTCTGTGGTTTTTTATTCTCAATTTTTTTATAATGTGAAACATTAAACTGCTGACCAAAAATTGAGAAAACTACAACATTGCGCGCACTTTTGTTTAGGGAGGAAGCGGACAAACAAGATTATAGAATTTCCAACAGTAATTTCATCAACCCTACCCGAAGTTCGAGTTCGAAATTAAGTTCCAATCAAGTTTGAACTTAATTTATGCCTTTTTACTGTTCGCATTTCGGTAAAAATTCACTTATTTGCAATTAATTAATTGATAGACTGGCCAATTCCAATTAATTAATTGAAGCAGTCCATAATTGATTGGAAGGGCCCCATTAATTGTTTCCCTACCCCTGGAATACAGCAACAGCAGGCTTGCAACAGCTAAATTTGCCTAACTTAAGTTCTTAAAATCTTAAGTCTTTGAGATCTTAATTTTAAGCAAGTAAAGCTAGTTATTCGAGTTTTTTAGCTTCAACCAAAAACTTCAAAAATTTTACAATTTTCTGCCGAAAATTTTGAAGAAAAATTTTAACACTTTTTTTCTTAGTTTTTCTAGTCATTTTTAAACTGCAAGTTTTCTCACTCAAAATCTTTAAGTGTCACCTAAGATTATAAAGGTTCGCCATTTAATTTTTGCTTGCCGCACTTAATATGTTGCAATTTGATCATATTTTTGGCACTATTGAACAAAGTTTTCATTTTCGGCACTGTTGAATTAATTTTTTTTTGCCGGCACTGCTGTACTTCGGCACTGTTGTACTGCCCCGATTGATCATGTTTATGAATAAGGCTCTGATTACATCAATTTTTATGGATAACAACAGTGAAAAAGTGAAACAGGAAAATAGATGTAAATGTGGAATATCAATTACCCAGAAAAGAGGCACAGAGTGGACGAATTCGGCTAACCACAAAGAAGAAACATCACGAATGGATTACACAGGAAGGTGAGTTAATTTTTTTATGTTTTTTATTCTCAATTTTTTTATAATGTGAAACATTAAAAACTGCTGACCAAAAATTGAGAAAACTACAACATTGCGCGCAATTTTGTTTAGGGAGGAAGCGGACAAACAAGATTATAGAATTTCCAACAGTAATTTCATCAACCCTACCCGAAGCTCGAGTTCGAAAATAAGTTCCAATCAAGTTCGAAATTAATTTATGCCATTTTACTGTTCACATTTCGGTAAAGATTCAATTATTTGCAATTAATTAATTGATAGACTGGCCAATTCCAATTAATTAATTGAAGCAGTCCATAATTGATTGGAAGGGCCCCATTAATTGTTTCCCTACCCCTGGAATACAGCAACAGCAGGCTTGCAACAGCTAAATTTGCCTAACTTAAGATCTTAAAATCTTAAGTCTTTGAGATCTTAATTTTAAGCAAGTAAAGCTAGTTAAGAGTTTTTTAGCTTCAGCCAACAACTTAAAAATTTTACAATTTTCTGCCGAAAATTTTGAAAACAATTTTTTAACATTTTTTTTTAGTTTTTCTAGTCATTTTAAAAATTGCAAGTTTTCTCACTCAAAATCTTTAAGTGTCACCTAAGATTATAAAGGTTCGCCATTTAATTTTTGCTTGCCGCACTTAATATGTTGCAATTTGATCATATTTTTGGCACTATTGAACAAAGTTTTCATTTTCGGCACTGTTGAACTAATTTTTTTTGCCGGCACTGCTGCACTTCGGCACTGTTGTACTGCCCCGATTGATCATGTTTATGAATAAGGCTCTGATTACATCAATTTTTATGGATAACAACAGTGAAAAAGTGAAACAGGAAAATAGAAATGTAAATGTGGAATATCAATTACCCAGAAAAGAGGCACAGAGTGGACGAATTCGGCTAACCACAAAGAAGAAACATCATGAATGGATTACACAGGAAGGTGAGTTAATTTTTTTATTGTGGTTTTTTATTCTCAATTTTTTTATAATGTGAAACATTAAAAACTGCTGACCAAAAATTGAGAAAACTACAACATTGCGCGCAATTTTGTTTAGGGAGGAAGCGGACAAACAAGATTATAGAATTTCCAACAGTAATTTCATCAACCCTACCCGAAGCTCGAGTTCGAAAATAAGTTCCAATCAAGTTCGAAATTAATTTATGCCATTTTACTGTTCACATTTCGGTAAAGATTCAATTATTTGCAATTAATTAATTGATAGACTGGCCAATTCCAATTAATTAATTGAAGCAGTCCATAATTGATTGGAAGGGCCCCATTAATTGTTTCCCTACCCCTGGAATACAGCAACAGCAGGCTTGCAACAGCTAAATTTGCCTAACTTAAGATCTTAAAATCTTAAGTCTTTGAGATCTTAATTTTAAGCAAGTAAAGCTAGTTAAGAGTTTTTTTAGCTTCAGCCAACAACTTAAAAATTTTACAATTTTCTGCCGAAAATTTTGAAAACATTTTTTAACATTTTTTTCTTAGTTTTTCTAGTCATTTTAAAAATTGCAAGTTTTCTCACTCAAAATCTTTAAGTGTCACCTAAGATTATAAAGGTTCGCCATTTAATTTTTGCTTGCCGCACTTAATATGTTGCAATTTGATCATATTTTTGACACTATTGAACAAAGTTTTCATTTTCGGCACTGTTGAACTAATTTTTTTTGCCGGCACTGCTGTACTTCGGCACTGTTGTACTGCCCGATTGATCATGTCTATGATTAAGGCTCTGATTACATCAATTTTTATGGATAACAACAATGAAACAGGAAAATGGAAATGTAAATGTGGAATATCAATTACCCAGAAAAGAGGCACAGGGTGCACGAATTCGGCTAACCACGAAGAAGAAACATCAGGATTGAATGGGTGTGCTGTGGCATGCACCCTTTTTCTATGGTTGAAGATCCACTTGTGAGGCGTTATAGTTCTTTAAAGCCCATTGCAATAAAAACTCACATTTTGATGGTGTTATTTCTTTGTATCCAGAAATGGCAAAGTATTTGTCAAGATGACGAAACTGACCAGTCCCCTGTTTTTGAGAGTGGGTTGATTAAGATTCAGGATAGCGACGAAACATCGCTGTCCAGCTCGGAGAACGTTTGGAGAAAATTGTGGCAAATATTTTAGTCACTTTTTTGACAAAAAAGTGGTCGAGCGCAAAGATTTTGCAATGAGTTTGCTCAAAAAGTTTAAAAAAAGTCCAAAAGAAAATATTGTAATTCTCGTTTCATTCTGCCGACATCTACACTCGCTGAACGGTTTTTTAGTTTTAGTTCATCGGGGTATTGTTTCATAACCTGCTACAATCTCTACTGCCAATGAACCTCGCAGCCCCGGATGTTCTTAAAGCTCAACAAAAATTTTTGGAGTAGAAAAACTATAAAAAAACTGGAACGCTCTTATTTTTTTGATCTAATCAAGTTCGAAATTATTTATGTCCGTTTACTTTTCACATTTCGGTGAAAGTTCAATTAATTAATTGATAGACTGGCCAATTCCAATTAAATAATTGAAGCAGTCCATAATTGATTGGAAGGGCCCCATTAATTGTTTCCCTACCCCTAGAATACAGCAACAGCAGGGCTGTACCGGGACCTCCTGCAACGAAACTAGCAATTGAAAATATACTATCTTCTCTTGGTGCGAAACTAAATTATGATAAGACTATCATTACGAATAACTACTCAGAAGTAATGTTTCTTGGTCATAACTTTTATGGATCACACCTCACTAGAGACGATTTTACATGTGCTCAATTAGCTATGTTTACCGAACAACCTATATTGTCGATGACTAGATCAGCAATTCGGTTGAACTCCTTATTTTATGATAGCGGATACAACTCATTCCTACTCTATCGCATGCAACAGCAGGCTTGCAACAGCTGAATTTGCCTAACTTAAGATCTCAAAATCTCAAATCTTTAAGATCTTAATTTTAAGCCAGTAAAACTTTTTAGAGTTATTAGCTTCAACAAAAACTTCAAAAATTCAACAATTTTTTGCCAAAATTTTTGAAATATTTTAAATTTATTTTAAATTTTTTTTTAGTTTTTCTAGTCATTTTTGCATTGCAAGTTTTTTTCGCTCAAAATCTTTAAGTGTCACCTAAAATTATAAAGGTTCGCCATTTAATTTTTGTTTGCCGCACTTAATATGTTGCAATTTGTCCATATTTTTGGCACTATTGAACAAGGTTTTCATTTTCCGCGCTGTTAAACTTATTTTTTTGCGGGCACTGCTGTACTTCGGCACTGTTGTACTGCCCCGATTGATCATGTTTATGAATAAGGCTCTGATTACATCAATTTTTATGGATAACAACAGTGAAAAAGTGAAACAGGAAAATGGAAATGTAAATGTGGAATATCAATTACCCAGAAAAGAGGCACAGGGTGGACGAATTCGGCTAACCACAAAGAAGAAACATCAGGAATGGATTACACAGGAATGTGAGTTGTTTTTTTATTCTGGTTTTTTATTCTCATTTTTTTATATTGTGAAACATTAAAAACTGCTGACCAAAAGTTGTGAAAACTACAACATTGCGCGCATTTTTGTTTAGGGAGGAAGCGGACAAACAAGATTATAGAACGTCCAACAGCAATTTCATCAACCCTAACCGAAGCTTCTTCTGAAAATCTATGAGGATGGATTGAATGGCTGTGCTGTGGGATGCACCCTTTTTCTATGGTTGAAGTTCCACTTGCGAGGCGTTATAGTTCTTTAAAGCCCATTGCAATAAAAACTCTTAAAATTCTCACATTTTGATGGTGTTATTTCTTTGTATCCAGAAATGGCAAAGTATTTGTCAAGATGACGAAATTGTCCACTGCCCTTTTTTTGAGAGTGGGTTGATCAAGATTCAGGATAGCGACGAAATAGAGTCCAAAAGAAAAATATTGTGATTCTCGTTTCATTCTGCCGACATCTTATCTCGCTGAACGGTTTTTTAGTTTTAGTTCATCGGGCTATTGTTTCATAACCTGCTATAATCTCTACTGCCAATGAACCTCGCAGCCCCGAATGTTCTTAAAGATCAACAAAAACTTATGGAGGAGAGAAACTATGAAAAAACTGGAACGCTCTTAGTTTTTTATCTAATCAAGTTCGAAATTAATTTATGCCCATTTACTTTTCACATTTCGGTAAAAGTTCAATTTTTGCAATTAATTAATTGATAGACTGGTAAATTCCAATTAAATAATTGAAGCAGTCCATAATTGATTGGAAGGGCCCCATTAATTGTTTCCCTGCCCCTGGAATACAGCAACAGCAGGCTTGCAACAGCTGAATTTGCCTAACTTAAGATCTGAAAATCTCGAATCTTTAAGATCTTAATTTTAAGCAAGTAAAACTTTTTTGAGCTTTTTAGCTTCAACCAAAAACTTCAAAAAGTCAACAATTTTCTGCCACCAAAATTTATGAAAAATTTTTTTAATTTTTTTTTGTTTTTTAATCATTTTTCTACAGAAAAATTTTGTCCAATTTGCCTATATTACTATGAGTGTCTAATATGCCTAAATTTTTTACGGCAGAAAAAACTACACTAATTTGAAAAAAATTCTAAACCGTAGTTTTCTAAACACTGTGGTCGGAACACTTTCTGCTAAAGACTTAAGATAAAAGTCGACTGTTTTTTTTAAAACCTGTACAATAAACTAATAACTCAAATCGTCTCTACTCCAGGAACTAAACCTTTTCCCTTAAAAATTTCAAAAAAAATTGACCAAACAACTTTTTTTCAAGGCTACCATTTTTGGAGAAAATTGAAATATTCTTCCAGGGCTGCTGTTTATAATTCATTCTTTAGTCTGGATTCAAAGCGAGTGCATGCATAACTTGTTCTGCCTTGAAAAACGAACAATACTATGAAAAATTCCCTATTAATTTTACGATTGAACTAGCTACGGCTGGTGAAAAATATAAAAGTCCCGTGATCTAATAAACTAATTTTTCATCCTGGAATGAAAAAAGCAAATATTAGCCCTTGAGGATAGGAGTTAGAGATAAAAAAGATCTCGACTATCTAAAATTGTCGTAGGATGATCCGACAATCGATGAACAGCATGGTTTTTAAAATGATTCTTCAGAGTAACACATTAACAAATTACAACCCGATGTTTCAATCATTCTTGCGAAACCTCGTTGGCTCCAATCCTATGCCAATTACAGCCAACTTACAGCGGTAAACTAATAACAGCAAATTCCACTGATTATATTTGAGATTCAGAGTTTGGGAGAGAACAGTTTTTTAAAGATTGAGTTTTAGCAAGGTATAAAAACAAATTACAAACTTCTTTCACGACAGCTTCACTTACGCACCGTCATTTGTTTCAGGATTATTTTGAAATAGAAATTGTACACATTTAAGAGACACTTTATCATAGCACAGTTAGGTTTCATTTGGTCAAAGCATAGCACTTGGGAAGGAGGGGATCGGCGGATGAAGTAAGTCAGCCATGGTAGGGATATATCTGCTGAAGGCATATTTTGATAATTTCCTTTAGGATCTTCGTCGTCTCCTCAGTTGGAGTGACGTCACTCATGGGCACGTGAACAAACAATACCTTTCCTCCATTGCGACACATACTGCGGTAGTAAAGATATTCGCACAGGTATCTAAAGTCAAATCCGTCATTTCACAACTTCATATGCTTCATTAAAATTGTTTATTTCTGAAATTTGTAATTAACAGAACACCTTACTATCATACGCGAGTGTGAACAAACCAGCCAAAGTATAAGCCAGACAAAATCGCATATCTAAAGCCAGTCTAAAGTTACGTTACAAAAAGTATAAGCCAGCCAAAAGTTACTTAATTTAAATTTCAATCAACCTTGCATGACTTTCATAACTGTTTGTTTCATAATTGTTACATAACTACTGTGTAACAGTTGCGTATTTTCGGCTGGTATATAAGGTAGATAGTTTATACTTCGGCTGGTTTTTATCCCCACCCCATTTAACAGTACCTCTTGAACAGGCCGCCAAAGATTACACCGACGAGCTAAATTTGATTTGAATTCTGCATATTTTGACTATTATTATTACGCCACCCTAACCCTGCTAACAAAAACAAATAGCCCCACCCCCTTTCCAGCAGTGATTTTCTTTTCGGCTTCAGTAAAAAAAGCTCATATTTGCGTTGGGACCAAGTTAACATTCTCGCCCCCCAAACACGTTTAGGGGAGATGATGTTAACTTGGTTCTGAGTTAGAATTTTCCGCCAATCAGAACAGAGCATTTTAGGCGGAGCGCTTAACAACTTAAATTTAAATTGAACGCTAGGTGGAGGGATCGTAATTTGGTCTTTTTTGGGGAAACGTCTTAATTTGATCCTTGTGTTATTCAATGGGATCAACCGTACAATCTCCCCCTCCCTCCCTCCAACCCCCGCCCCTAAGTAAGCAACCGCAGAATTTCCCCCCTAGCAGGGTATTACTTTTGAAAATTAGTTATGTTTAATGTATATGTATAATTATAATTATGTATATGTACAAACGCGCACATAAAACTGGTTGTCGCAATTTTTATGTGGGATTGCATTTGAATGCTGTTTACCTAAACTTACGTATTCTAAACCAATTTTGTCTAAATAAACCTATTTTTCTATGAATCTAAGGTATACTCAAAGTTATTTTTTCCTGAAAAATCCATATTTCCCCCCCTCCCCTAAATCAATTTGGGGGAAATTGTACGGTTGATCCGTTCAATGAGAATTTCCTGGTCAATTCTACTGACCTTCCAGCTTCACTGGACGTGGATGCGGGCACTCCTATTGCATGCAGCTGGGCTTTGCACATTTCTAGATCGAAAGCAGTACACATTGATAGATTCTCCACCGGGGCGGGGGACGACTCACTGCGGAACGACTCTGTCTGGGGCAGTTTGTTGAACACATCTGGCTTCTTGTAGCCTCCACAGCACGCTATCTGCTCTAACACTACATTGCTCGCTTCGCTGCTCACCCCAACATGCAGGAAAAACTGAAACAGAATCAAACTGATCGTATCACGGACTGCTCTACACTTCAAGATGAACAATTTTGACTGTGAATTTGCCACTATCATTTATCTTATTTTTGAAATGCGAAAATATTCTTCAAAGCATCTAAATTTCATCTTAGATTTGAAAATACAAAAATGCAGTTGAGCGTCTCTTCTTTGAATGGGTTTGAACTTAACGCAAAGCGGCTAAGCATTGAATCATACATGGCTAAGATAGTGTTTTTCATCACTTCAAGCCTCGGACTATACATCTATAGAATTATGCTGTCAAAGCAATTTAGATAAAAGAATACAGGAGAATTGAAAAACTTAGGCGACTTCCTTCAACGAAACGATGAAAAAATGATTAATTTCTGTCCAACTAAACTAAAGCAAAACTAGACCAATTCGGAAAACGATAGAACAATTTTTTCAGCTTAGCTCAGTCAAACATTGGATTTGGAATTAAAGACGGTTTTTTCTGTTACACGGTCCAAAATTGCCAAACCGTTCCTCGAGCTTTTGTTGTTAATAAAAATCTTGATTTTCTTTTGCTGTTAATAATTTCATCCAATCAGATTCGAGAATTAAGATGCAATTTTCAAAATAACAAAAAGATCAATTTTGAGCCGTATAACAGAAAATACCCTTGAAGAAAAAAGTTAAGGTGCAGAGTGAGAAAAGTGAACTGACTTCGTAGTCGTCGTTGTGGCTGATGGAGTCTACAAAGGAGTCCACTTCGTCATAGGACACCTGGAACATGTGGGTGTCTATTTTGAAGCCATTGATTGATGCCCCACTCAGCTGCCGAACAGCCACCCAGCTCGGGTTCTCTTTCATGTCTCCGAACGGACCAAATCCTAAATATTACAACGTAAATCCGGAAATGCGGCTCTGTGAGTACGCAGCCAAAGTACATGCAAGACTTACTGCTTGAATTTGCTATTTTATTTGAAAAAGAAGTTGTTCACTTGGTCTATTAAGGGGGGTTGTTCATGGTCCCAGAAAGTAAGCAAACAATTAAACAGGGGCAAAGACTAGCGAGAACACGGCAAAAAGCAGCTCATAAAGTGCAATAAGAAAAAGTAGAAACCAGCCTCGAATTAGAAACAATTTGATTACGCCTGGGATTCGATCTTAGACCTAGAGATTATGAGTCTCACGCACTTACCACTCTGCTACTGAAGCTTAAAAAATAACAAACACTAGCCTGAAATAAAGCAGAGAACAGATACTGAAACTTCCAAAGCTACAGATCATGATTATAGCAAAAATGCCACCAAATAAGTGAACTTTTTTAATGAACACTTTTATTTGCGAGTTCGGTGAGAAAAAAAATAATACTCGTACTAAAACAATAACTCTCACGAGCTCCTAGTGTTAAAATAATACAGAGGCGAAGCTGAGCTTCGCACCACTTACGATACACAATAAAGCTCCAAAACTCAAAAGATAACAAAAATTGAAAAACATGAATGAATTTTGTTGAAAAACTCGTAGGCTCAAATATCAGAAACAATTGTATTGCAGTTGTTATAGAAATCAATTACCTTCAAAACAAAAGAAAAAATTCGGCTTAACTCCATCCATTTCTTTTTGAGAGCCAATAGATGAAAACGATAAGAAAACATTTCGGTCAAAAAATTGAGATACAATAATTCCTACATGTACCCACAAAATGTTCATTACATCTTGCAAACAAACAATCTGCATATCCAATAAGAAAATTTGGGTATAAATGCCCTATCCGCTATAGTATAAGATCAAAATGCAAAAAAAAAACGAAAATCAAAAATTCAAAAACATGAATGCAAAAATTACAAACAATTGCCACAAAAAAAACGTGCCCAAAATCTGAAAAAACTCTGCAAGCCTCTGCAAAATCTGAATCAATTATTTTGAAACATTTTTTGACAAATTGAAACAAGTTAAACAATCAACTTGAATCGCTTTCAAATAAAAATGCTTAAACTTTAAATCTAAAATACCTAGCACATTAAAACTAAAACTAGTTTAAATCACTTTTAGAACAAAAAAAAACAAGAAACCATGCATACGAAAAAAACTGAAAAATATTTGCAAAAAAAATTTCTAGCAGAAAAATTCAATAAAGATTTACTTCAAAGGGAAAACTTTGGCGCCCAAAAAAACCAGGAAACCATAAACTATATTTACCCTCATGAAAATGAAGAAAAAAGATTTGAAAATTCTACCAAAAAAATTACAGAATTAATTACGCGGCAAGTACGCCGACAAAAACTGGGTCGAAATCAGTAAGGCCTACAAAAAAATCAACTTACATCTAAAAATCTTTTTCAATTTTAAAACAATTATCACTTTAGTCGTTGAAACCGTCATTTATTTAATTGCTAATGAAATATGTGAAACCATACAAAAAATGAACTAAAGGTATTCCGACTTAAGGTAAACAAGGAAAAAGTTCTTACCAGTTACTAGGATACTCATAGTGATGATGACGTTAATACAGAGGACAGTCCAGCAGACGGTTGGATTGATTTCAAAGCTCAGCAGTTATGTGTCATAGTACAGTTTATTTCATCCAAAGGAAAACAACAGGCCACTTTTATGGTTTCACTTCACTTCAATTCACTCCGACTGAGTAGACAACTCAACTCAACTCAACTCAACTCAGCAGCAGCGGTAGAGATTAATTAGCGGTGGGTCAGATCAGATCAGCGGTTTCAGTTAGTCGCTTTTCTTCTTTTATCTCTATCTCTCTTCTTGCTCTCAGTGTTTGGATACTCTAGTCGGTACTAGTATCAGTTTAAACATGGTCATCAACAGTAGTAGTCACCAATCAAACAGATTCTCATATCACTACACTACAATAAGCACAATTACAACATCAAAGCCACTTCGCACGAGGGGGTGACGCCGCCATCAAGTAAACGCCACAGCAGCAGCCACAGAGAGCTAGTTAAGTGATCTGAAAAATATATTCATTCATCTTACAGTTACTCTGTTACACCTGCGCCTCTTAGCGTCTCTAATGTCTAGCCAGTTGTAACAGACCCATTACTCTTTTGAACTATCCAGACGACTGGCTTAGGATCAATAGCCACATCAAAAGCATATCAGTTACAATGACTGTTTGGATGATGAAAACGACGACAAAAAGATCAAGGTTTTAATAAAAAAAATAGAAGGCCATCCTTATTTGCCAGATTATTTACAATATATATGAACAAACAAAACTATTTAAAAAAATCTTGGATTATAAGAAAATATTACAATCTACCAACAAATAATGCGGTCCGAAACACAGTTCCATTTAAAAGTGGAAGTAAAATACGAAAAATATTCAGAGCAACTGCTTGCCGTGAAAGACGCACAAAGCCCAACCACAATTACTTTTTACCTACACTAGTTTTCAGTATCCTTTGAAAAAAGCGCTTGCTAGCTCCATGAAAAGCGAACTTGCGATTGAAAAGGCAGGACTAAATTCTTATTATGTCATTTTTTTTATTTGAGGCGAGAAATGCATAGAACATTTGAAATGCTTCGAAAGACTACTGCAGCTTAACTCAGCTAAGTCCTAAAAAGAACTGGAGATGAGACCAGAAGTCCATATGAGACTCATGAATAAATTTTAAAAAATGAATGAAAAGATTTTTAAAAACATGCCCAAACAATAGAATGCAAAATCAGCATCGAATCAAAACTAACCAGGCGGTGACATTTTTAAAACTTAAAAAATAATTTAAAAAAATCACGTCCTTTCTCCACTTATAACACACACAGGCAGACAAAAAAGACGCAAACAGAGGCTACTAAGCCGATATAAAACAAGCCGAAACCTAAAAAGCCGGAAAAAAATTTCAACCGAGTGGTAAAATGCAACCAATATAAAAAGTACGGGGGGAGCGTGAAAACTGTGCTTCCTTTGAAACGACCCAAAGTTAGGTCACTAAGTCGATAAAATGGGCCAAAAAATTTGTGCTCAATAAAATTTTTACGCGAAATAATTATAAACCCAACAAAAAATTTCTACTTGCTCTTGGCTTACTGGTTTATTTGCACTAAATTGGAATGAAAAGCAAAACTTTTCAAACTTTGATTTTTTTTGCCGCCACTGTGATCGAAATAATAATTTAAGCTATTCAAAGCCACTTAGGCAGAAGGTTCGGACAACATCCTGTCAAAGAAAACACTAAGAAATTGAGTAAGAGTACTAAAATCATATAGTCAATTCCAAGTGGTAGTACCGGGGCAAGGTATGTCATTATCAAAAGGTTTATACTAATACGACTGACGACTGTGATTAAGCGCTCAAGATGCTCAACTTTCAAGCGTTCGCGCAGTTTGTTCTGATCGGTCCTGGAAACCACAGAATGCAAGGGATCTTTAAATCTCTCCTGTACTTCTAAAACCAGACCCAGGGGGCCTATGTTTTATAGTATCCTACAGCCGTGAAAAAGAGCGTAGCCTCAGAAAAACGATTTGATTAGAACAGAAGTATGAATTGTCAGATGGGTAGCTAGGCAACTTGTTAGGTAACAACAAAACATCGAAATAATACTTTTTACCTACACTAGTTTTCAGTATCCTTTGAAAAAAGCGCTTGCTAGCTCCATGAAAAGCCAACTTGCGATTGAAAAGGCAGGATTAAATTCTTATTATATCATTTTTTTATTTGAGGCGAGAAATGCATAGAACATTTGAAATGCTTCGAAAGACTACTGCAGCTTAACTCAGCTAAGTCCTAAAAAGAACTGGAGATGAGACCAGAAGTCCATATGAGACTCATGAATAAATTTTAAAAAATGAATAAAAAGATTTTTAAAAACATGCCCAAACAATAGAATGCAAAATCAGCATCGAATCAAAACTAACCAGGCGGTGACATTTTTAAAAATTAAAAAATAATTTAAAAAATTCACGTCCTTTCTCCACTTATAACACACACAGGCAGGCAAAAAAGACGCAAACAGAGGCTACTAAGCCGATATAAAACAAGCCGAAACCTAAAAAGCCGGAAAAAAATTTCAACCGAGTGGTAAAATGCAACCAATATAAAAAAAAACGAAGGGGAGCATGAAAATTGTGCTTCCTTTGAAACGACCCAAAGTTAGGTCACTAAGTCGATAAAATAGGCAAAAAAATTTGTGCTCAATAAAGTTTTCACGCGAAATAATTATAAACCCGACAAAAAATTTCTACTTGCTCTTGGCTTACTGGTTTATTTGCACTAAATTGGAATGAAAAGCAAAACTTTTCAAACTTTGATTTTTTTGCCGCCACTGTGATCGAAATAATAATTTAAGCTATTCAAAGCCACTTAGGCAGAAGGTTCGGACAACATCCTGTCAAAGAAAATACTAAGAAATTGAGTAAGAGTACTAAAATCATATAGTCAACTCCAAGTGGTAGTACCGGGGCAAGGTATATCATTATCAAAAGGTTTATACTAATACGACTGACGACTGTGATTAAGCGCTCAAGATGCTCAACTTTCAAGCGTTCGCGCAGTTTGTTCTGATCGGTCCTGGAAACCCCAGAATGCAAGGGATCTTTAAATCTCTCCTGTACTTCTAAAACCAGACCCAGGGGGCCTATGTTTTATAGTATCCTACAGCCGTGAGAAAGAGCGTAGCCTCAGAAAAACGATTTGATTAGAACAGAAGTATGAATTGTCAGATGGGTAGCTAATCAACTTGTTAGGTAACAACAAAACATCGAAATAATACTTTTTGCCTACACTAGTTTTCAGTATCCTTTGAAAAAAGCGCTTGCTAGCTCCATGAAAAGCGAACTTGCGATTGAAAAGGCAGGATTAAATTCTTATTATATCATTTTTTATTTGAGGCGAGAAATGCATAGAACATTTGAAATGCTTCGAAAGACTACTGCAGCTTAACTCAGCTAAGTCCTAAAAAGAACTGGAGATGAGACCAGAAGTCCATATGAGACTCATGAATAAATTTTAAAAAATGAATAAAAAGATTTTTAAAAACATGCCCAAACAATAGAATGCAAAATCAGCATCGAATCAAAACTAACCAGGCGGTGACATTTTTAAAAATTAAAAAATAATTAAAAAAATTCACGTCCTTTCTCCACTTATAACACACACAGGCAGGCAAAAAAGACGCAAAAAGAGGCTACTAAGCCGATATAAAACAAGCCGAAACCTAAAAAGCCGGAAAAAAATTTCAACCGAGTGGTAAAATGCAACCAATATAAAAAGTACGAAGGGGAGCGTGAAAATTGTGCTTCCTTTGAGACGACCCAAAGTTAGGTCACTAAGTCGATAAAATAGGCCAAAAAATTTGTGCTCAATAAAGTTTTTACGCGAAATAATTATAAACCCGACAAAAAATTTCTACTTGCTCTTGGCTTACTGGTTTATTTGCCTTAAATTGGAATGAAAAGCAAAACTTTTCAAACTTTGATTTTTTTTGCCGCCACTGTGATCGAAATAATAATTTAAGCTATTCAATGCCACTTAGGCAGAAGGTTCGGACAACATCCTGTCAAAGAAAATACTAAGAAATTGAGTAAGAGTACTAAAATCATATAGTCAATTCCAAGTGGTAGTACCGGGGCAAGGTATGTCATTATGAAAAGGTTTATACTAATACGACTGACGACTGTGATTAAGCGCTCAAGATGCTCAACTTTCAAGCGTTCGCGCAGTTTGTTCTGATCGGTCCTGGAAACCACAGAATGCAAGGGATCTTTAAATCTCTCCTGTACTTCTAAAACCAGACCCAGGGGGCCTATGTTTTATAGTATCCTACAGCCGTGAGAAAGAGCGTAGCCTCAGAAAAACGATTTGATTAGAACAGAAGTATGAATTGTCAGATGGGTAGCTAGGCAACTTGTTAGGTAACAACAAAACATCGAAATAATACTTTTTACCTACACTAGTTTTCAGTATCCTTTGAAAAAAGCGCTTGCTAGCTCCATGAAAAGCGAACTTGCGATTGAAAAGGCAGGATTAAATTCTTATCATATCATTTTTTTATTTGAGGCGAGAAATGCATAGAACATTTGAAATGCTTCGAAAGACTACTGCAGCTTAACTCAGCTAAGTCCTAAAAAGAACTGGAGATGAGACCAGAAGTCCATATGAGACTCATGAATAAATTTTAAAAAATGAATAAAAAGATTTTTAAAAACATGCCCAAACAATAGAATGCAAAATCAGCATCGAATCAAAACTAAGAGGGCGGTGACATTTTTAAAAATTAAAAAATAATTTAAAAAATTTACGTCCTTTCTCCACTTATAACACACACAGGCAGGCAAAAAAGACGCAAACAGAGGCTACTAAGCCGATATAAAACAAGCCGAAACCTAAAAAGCCGGAAAAAAATTTCAACCGAGTGGTAAAATGCAACCAATATAAAAAGTACGAAGGGGAGCGTGAAAATTGTGCTTCCTTTGAAACGACCCAAAGTTAGGTCACTAAGTCGATAAAATAGGCCAAAAAATTTGTGCTCAATAAAGTTTTTACGCGAAATAATTATAAACCCGACAAAAAATTTCTACTTGCTCTTGGCTTACTGGTTTATTTGCACTAAATTGGAATGAAAAGCAAAACTTTTCAAACTTTGATTTTTTTTGCCGCCACTGTGATCGAAATAATAATTTAAGCTATTCAAAGCCACTTGGGCAGAAGGTTCGGACAACATCCTGTCAAAGAAAACACTAAGAAATTGAGTAAGAGTACTAAAATCATATAGTCAACTCCAAGTGGTAGTACCGGGGCAAGGTATGTCATTATCAAAAGGTTTATACTAATACGACTGACGACTGTGATTAAGCGCTCAAGATGCTCAACTTTCAAGCGTTCGCGCAGTTTGTTCTGATCGGTCCTGGAAACCACAGAATGCAAGGGATCTTTAAATCTCTCCTGTACTTCTAAAACCAGACCCAGGGGGCCTATGTTTTATAGTATCCTACAGCCGTGAGAAAGAGCGTAGCCTCAGAAAAACGATTTGATTAGAACAGAAGTATGAATTGTCAGATGGGTAGCTAGGCAACTTGTTAGGTAACAACAAAAAAAGAAACCACACCAAGTCAAAGTTAATAAAAATGCAAACTGCTGAAGTAAATCAAAACACTTAAAACAACTACAATGTAAGTTTCGCACGGCAAAAAAACAATTCTACGATTGGGCAACTAAGCCGACAAAACATCAGCAGACAATTAAAAAGCAAACAATTTTATTTCTTATTGAACAAAAAAAAACAGGATGCTGTCAGATTCGAACCCAGGACCTTTGCCCTCCTAGGCGTATTTGTTACCCCCAGACCTTTGAACACAATATGAATTGAACCTAAACTTACCAGTTCTAATTTTGACCATTCTGTGAACAAAATTATTTACGGGAAAAAAGCTAGTACGTGATTGCAATACCCTTGGTTATCGCAAGGGTAAAAATTCTATTCTATTCTAGGAGCTAAATATTAATCATGTTCTTTGGATCTTTTCAAACTAAAAATAAAAGCAAATTCAAACACAGAGGCTAAGCCGCACTTTACAAATCTAAGCGATACAAAGGCAAAAAGCAAATATAAAGAAAAAAATGTTGAGTAGGAGTATCACGTCCTCGCATCGGGGCCAGAAAGTAACCACTAGCCATTTAAAAAGCAGTGAGAAAATAAACTAATAAATTAAAAATGCTATCCCGTATAATACTATCAAATGAGCCTTTTTATTATTTCCAAACGAGCACTTCTAAAAAATACAAAGTTTACTCCGGTAGCATTCCCCAAATTATAGACTATACATGAGTTTTTGGGCTTCAATTTGCAGAAAATGATCTACAGGCAACTAGCAAGTATCTAACAAATTCAACAACCAGTTGGATAAAGATTCAAAGAACTCAAGTATACAGAAAAAAAAACTTTTAATACGAAATTCAAGAAAAGGACCTTGAAGCGCTTGGAACTACAAGTGCTTTTTTGATTGACACTGTGCTTGACAACATTAACTCAACTGAGAAAACTGGATCAATAAGTAAACTTTTTACATCGAGATGAAATCTGAAAAGTAAATTCCATTATCGAAACTAGGATTCAATCATTTTCATGAACTTAACACTTTTACTGTTCGATAGTGGAGTTTGCCTTCCTTTTGACATAGGAAATGTACTAAACTTAAAAGGAAACACAAATCAAACCGCAAAATATCAAAATTGAGCCTAAACATATTTTGACATTTTTGCAAAAAAATTCATCATGGCCTATAAAACGTTTTTCACTATGTTCATCGACTCCTAAACAATTTGAAAAAAAACGAGAGAAAAACGAAAAAAATTTTTGGAATATTTTTTGAACTAGATTTCGAAACAAATGCTTCGCCTTGAAGCTCTTTAAAGTTTAAAAATCTTGCAGGATTGATTTTTTTAAATAATACTAACCCAATCAGAGTAATCTGGGTCAATAAACTTTCAAATGTCTCAAAAGAAGTTCATTCCAGGCAAACGAGCTAGACATTTGAATTTTAAATCAGCAACAACGGAACACAATTTACGAAACGAAACAAAGCCGATAATCTTTGAACAGACAAAAGTTGAGCCGAAAAAATATGAATTTATAAAAAAGGTTTCAAGTCCCACCTTGAACAACAATGAACAAAAACTGCACTTAAAACTACTATGAAAATTGCTTACAGTACAAGAAAAATCAGTGATGTGGCAACTAAGCCGACCATCTTTGAGGTGAAACCACTTGAACCGAAAAAAAATTTTTTTGATTTTTTTTGATATCTTTCAAGTCCCCCTTGAAAATAGAATGAAGAGCACTTGCACTTGCAACTACAACGAAAGTTGCGTACAGCAAAACAATCAGTGATGTGGCAACTAAGCAGACCATCTTTCAGCAGACACCAACTGAATCGAAAAAAGATTTTATGAAAACCTTTTTAAAAATCTTTCAAGTCCCCCTTGAAATTAGAATGAACAACATTTGCACTTGCAACTACAAGGAAAAAGTGTCTACAGCACAAGCAAAATCCGTTGTGGCAATTTCGTTGACACAAATCCTGAGCCAATAAACGAAAAACCAACAATTCATTTTTCCCGAACCCCAGACCTTAGAGTACAGAGGCAACTGCTTTACCTCCAGGCCGAGGGGGAAGCAACCTAAAACGTGTTAAGAGAACGTAAGGCGAGAAGTGAAGAGAAGATAAGTGAAAAGAAGTGATTCAACTGATTTTGTTAAACTAGTTTTTAACCCGAAAAGAAAGTCTTTATTCCAGTTTGATAACTCTTGCTTATCGCAAGCTTAATAAATAAAGTTCACTTTTCAAACTAAAAAATCATTCAGACTTTTCCGTATCATTTCCGCTTTTTTAATTGAAAAGGTCAAGCAAATTAATTCTAACTCTACTGAAATCTACTCAACTCTATTCAAGAGTGTTTCATGGACACGAAAAAAAAGCACCCCAATAATTGTCTTCACTACGTTTATTGAGACTTTTAACAATTCCGCATAATTGCATTAGGGCATGTTTTAGGCATGATCAGTATTTGCTAAAAATAATTTTTAAAGCGATAAATAAGCGGAAAAATCCAGGGTAGACGCCTTATGGAGCCGAAAAAAAAAACAGTTGTTAAAATAACTTTCAATTCCTCAAAAACACATGCAGAAAAATCTATTTTTTTTTCCTTTCAAGCGACCAGCGAAGCAATATGAGGCGATCAAACCGATATTAAAAACCGAAACCGTTAAGCCGAAACAAAGCCAGCAAAAAATGGTACAAGAGCCATAAACTCCAGAAACCCGCTAAAAGTGAAATATTGAAAGAGAAAAAATCTAAAAATCCAGAAAAAATTAATGACACAGAATTAATGGCAACAGATATACTGCTCCAAAAACTAGTGAACGCTTTTTTTATAAAGCTTTTTATCAGGCGCGGATCTAGGAATTTCTCGAGGGGGGAAATGAAGACCCCATTTTGACCAAATTTTCTGCGCCGCAGATACATTTCTGAAAAAACAGGCCAAAAAAGGCGTTTTTAGGCATTTTGGAAAATTTTCACCAAAAAAAAATCTCGTTTTTTTTCGGCGCACGCTCCCCCCTCAAAACTAGTATAGATTGGCCCCAAAGGCGCCTTTAAAAAATTTTTAGGGTCTGAACAAACTGAATCACGGTATAGCTCTTGAATTTCAGGGAAAATGCAGTTATTGACTCTTTGTTTCACAGATCTAGTATAAACAAACCTAACGAACAGGCTGTTGGAGCAGTTTTAGTGAAAAGTGTTTTCACCAAGTCCGCTGGACATCTTGCTTTTGAAACAACAACCAAGCGGCATTTCCATTTTCATATCGGAGATAGGAGAGAATTTAACTTTAGCTGGGATTTGCTATTTAGTTTTAACGTCAGATCTCGATACATTTTTTCATGAAAAGCGATGAAACACAACCAAAATGAATGAAAAATTACTTCTTTCAATTCAAGACTCGTTTTAACATTTTATATGCGGGATTGCATTGGTATGCTATTAATTACACAATTTAATGTTTTATTTTTTTTCTTTAGTAATGCGGTTAATTTTGAACGAATCTAGGCTCAACTCAATGTTAGCCTGTAGAAAATCCATTTCGATCTAAATCGATTGGGTGTGTGTGTGGGGGGGGGGGGGGGGGGATTGTAGGGTTGCTTTCTCGGATTTCCTAGAATAAGCGATATGTCTGAAAAAAAACATAGACAATCCAGGATTGGAAAAGAGTAAGGAAACTGAAAAAAAAAAACGTGTTTTTTTTTAATAAAAACCTTCAACTTTTGAATTTCGAAGAAAGAATAGATGGCCTTAAAGCTCTTTGAATCGGTAGAACAATTTATCATGGATACTTTTTTGCTTAAATTAATCCAATTTGAGAAAACTGGATCAATAGGCAAAACTTTAATTTCGCTGGGAAATCTGATTATTAATTTCCAATTTCGAAATTAGAAATCGCTCACGTTTCTCGTGCCATTTACACTTTTGCTTTTCGATAGTCCAGTTTGCCTTCCTTTTAACAATGAAATACACTGAACTTTGAAAATAAAGCACTAGTCAAGCCGCGAAAAACCAAACTTGAGCGTGAAAAATCAAAACTAGAAACTTTTTCCTGAAAAAAAATCAGCAAGACCTTTATAAGAGTACTACGTTCATTACTCTTAATTATTTTTACAATATACCCTCTAATGTCTGGTTCTCAGTCTACGCAAAACACTTTATCGAATCATTATTCTGAATTAATGGACTTCAACGACGGAAAACTGTTGCATCAGGCGTAGCTTTTCAAAAACTAAACTCAAAGTAGAATATGAAATTTAAACATAAAAGTACATAATACTTATATCACCAATCTCCATGTTTCGCACTAAATAACGATTTATTCACTGCTTATTTCACAGCTTTTCCTAAATAACTTTATGAGAACTCCTTATAAGATATACAACACAACAGCGAAACCCCTATGAAGGAATGAATATTCAGTCGTAAACTGCACTTATCAATGAGATCTTTTTCAACAAGGAAGGGACTAAGGATCATTAAGGCAATCTGCGCGTGGATTGATTCTCTATTTTCAGGATCAGAATTTGAACTTGAACTGGAAGTTTCCACCCTGCTGGAAGTTGAAGGGGAATCCTCCCTGGAACGGGTGTCCGTGACCTCCCTGGCTGGCCTGTTCTTCGGGGTCAAGTGGGTCTTCCCCGTTGTCGAACTTCTCTCTCTTCTCGGGGTCACTCAGCACCTCTTTCGCAGCCGCGATGTCCATGAACTTCTTCTCCGCTTCCTCTTTATCCGGTCCTTCGTGTCTAGAAACACACAAACTTCTCTGTATAACCCAGACGTGCACGGGAATTTTTTTAGAAGAGCCAGTTTTTCAAAAAAAATGATTTCACCCTATTACACTCCAAATGAAGATCAGAATAAGAAGCTGCATCATTCAAGTCCTCATTCCCTGGTTTACCACCGACAAACATAGTTTTTGCGCGTAAACCATACATTACTCAAGATCAAAGGACATTTTAGATAATCGAGCAATTTTTAGGATTGATTTTTTTTTTGGGGGGGGGGGGGGGGGGTTTATTATGACAGAGCCAATAATAGCCCTCATTGAGATGAGTAATGGTGTCTTATCTACCTGTCAGGGTGGTGTAGCTGGGCTAGCTTTCTGTATGCCTTGTTGATCTCCTGCTTAGTGGCTGTCCTCTTCAGTCCCAGTATCTTATAGTAGTCTCTCTTCTTCGACTGCTTTAACAGCTTCTTCGCCCTTTTCAGACCATCATTCAGTCTCCTGGACTCCTCGTTGTTCTTGATTGCAGTCTCGTAATCCTACCAAAAACAACCAACTACGTTTATGGAGTTCTTAAAAAATTGTTGAGTTGCAAAAGGAGACACACATTCATTGCTAGGCACAATTTACTGATATGTAAGCTTAATCCTAGCATTAGTTTATTATAGAGGTGGATATTCGTTACTAGTCGCCATAGGGGGGTTTTTCTACCGTTTCCACAGCGACCGACCAAAACAGATTTTGTGCACAAACTAAGGTTGTGCATGAAGACCAAATGGGTGTGGAATAGGGTAATCACCATGAGCCTCAAGTCCAAAAAAATCAGGCTTAGTGAACATAAATTAAAATCTTCAGGTCAGTAGTGTGGAGTTAGAAGAGCCTCGTATGAGCAGGGGAGCTGTTTATGTTTACGTGATCCATTAATCCAAGTCTGGGTCTTACAGTGGTAGTCTCTTTTCTCTTTGGTCACATACATGTACCTGCTTTGACCATCAATGCTTGTTAATATTTGTACCAAACATTATCTGAGACTGCATAAGCATCACTAAACAATGAAGTCTACAATTCTGGTATTCCAATTGACTTTAAAAAGAAATATAAAAAAGAGGCGCTTTCAATTTTAAAAATAGTCATTTTCACGATATGCTTTCCGTCCGTACAAGTTAATAAATTGACTTCCCAAGAGACGACTTTCCTTCCGATCAAGGCAAAAAAATTGATATCAAGAAATAGTATACCTGAATGGCTTTTTCATACTCCTCTTCGACTAAGTAAGCTTCGGCTCTGTCAATTAGCACCTCTTCGTCATCCGGTATGGTCTCTAGAGCCTCACTGCAAAACTTGATGGCCTCCTTCGAAGCTTTACTCTTCGAGAGACATTTGCACTTTTTAGGGGCTACTTTGAGCTTGAATGCTTCTACTGTGGGTTCTGTTTTCAGAGCTGAATTGAGTTTGGGAATGCAGTCGGCGAAGTTGTTTTGGTTGATGAGTTCCTGAGCTTCGTTCAATTGCTTGTTCAATCTCTTTACCTAAATACAACTTTTATTACTTATTTGTTCTATCTGTTCAAAACAAAAGGAAAACAGTGATAGCCGGTTGCTGTGCACGTAGCACAGAAAGTTCCGACCAATATCTCAGAAAAAAAAGAGTTTTCTTTTTTCTATTAGTCTTTTTTTTGTGCGGTGATGAAAGAACTATACGAACGCGTAGAAGATTGGTGAATTAGGCATAAACTACTACAAGTGCCTGCAAAAACAAATAAACAAAAAAGAATTTTTTTTTAATTAATTTTTTTTCAATTTTTTGCACTTCAAATTTGAATACTCTTGAAAGCTTTTTTTGCCAAAGAAGCGCTAGATCAAGTTTCCAAATATATTTTCCATTTTAGTCAGATCAAGTTTTTTTAGCCTAAATTGCCAATTTTCATAGATAACAAAAGTCACTCGATCGCTTTGTTCGCTGAAATTTGACTAAAACTGAAATTTGACTTGACACCCGTTTTACACAAAACACTGAGGCGATTTTAAAAAAATTTTCAAATTTTGGTCGAATCACAACTGATTAGGCATTAATAAAAAATCACTCAACTCAGTCCAATCATTATTTCTGGTAGCTGATTTTCCATGGAAAACAACAACAAAAAAAGAAAAATCCAAACATACCCGAATACAAAGTTCCTCCCCATTTTCAAAGGTCGTAACAAAAAATTTGAAGTTTTTCTGCAGAATATTTTTATTCTAAGCAATACTTTCTCCCGATCAAAAAAAAACACAGGCGAAGTTGCATTTCGCATTCACAAGCAAAACTATGACCGATAACCCTACTGGGGAAAACTGAATGAGTACAAAATTTCTGAAGTGACGCACGCCAATTATGAGTCTACATAATTGCCAAGTGACGCCAGCCAATTATGACGCATTAGCAGTACCAGTCAACTTGAAAAAAAAAGAAATTTACCAAGTAACATGCCTCAATTGTAGAGCTGATGCATGTTAACTGGAATACGAAAAAGTGCATTAAAAACATCCGACACTACCCAGGTTCGAACCTTCTTATTTTGTTGCGGTTCTCCTTCCCTATCTCTACGCTACAGATCCATGATACCTTGAAGCTAAAGTGCTATTAGTAATATAATAGTCTGTGTTAATATCCTTAGCATTGGCTGTACTTAATAGCTGGTTATTGATCAAAATGAACACTTTCAAAATGAACACATTTTGTCGCAACAATATTAGCGACTTAGGTTGGAAAAAAGTGAGTTCATACTATAACACAAGCTTTGATTGTGTAATCACAAGGAGTCGGTTACTGTTCAAGTAGCACAGAACCTTCCAACCATAGTTTTTAAAAAACTCAATTTTTTTTCAAATTAATGCCGTTTTTTCTGCATGGTCTTCAGCAGTTTCTCCGAATGTTTGAATATATTTGATTCCAAAAAAGCGCTTTAACACTAAAAAACTAACTTTACTCGAGTAAAACTAAGTTTTTACGGCTTAAGTTAGGCTATTGTTATTAAAATAAGCTATCGTAAGCCTGCTCGCTCGTTCAAGTAGCACAGAACCTTCCAACCATAGTTTTTAAAAAACTCAATTTTTTTTCAAATTAATGCCGTTTTTTCTGCATGGTCTTCAGCAGTTTCTCCGAATGTTTGAATATATTTGATTCCAAAAAAGCGCTTTAACACTAAAAAACTAACTTTACTCGAGTAAAACTAAGTTTTTACGGCTTAAGTTAGGCTATTGTTATTAAAATAAGCTATCGTAAGCCTGCTCGCTCGTTCAAGTAGCACAGAACCTTCCAACCATAGTTTTTAAAAAACTCATTTTTTTTTCAAATTAATGCCGTTTTTTCTGCATGGTCTTCAGCAGTTTCTCCGAATGTTTGAATATTTGATTCCAAAAAAGCGCTTTAACACTAAAAAACTAACTTTACTCGAGTAAAACTAAGTTTTTACGGCTTAAGTTAGGCTATTGTTATTAAAATAAGCTATCGTAAGCCTGCTCGCTCGCGTTACTCGCTCGAAATTAGACAAAAAATCAAAAACTTCAAACTTCAAACCAAGTCTTCAAAATGAACCCTACTTATCTGTCCAATCAATCGGCGCGGAACGCGGTAACGAAAGATTAATAATACTAGCTAGCTGTGAGGTAATTTGGCGCAGAACCGTAAAGGACAGAATCGGGCACGAGATTAAATGGCATATCGTAAGCCGAATGGCAGATTGGAATAGGATAGATTTACCGAACCTCAAGTTTAGAATCCTCAACAAGGTTATCTAATTTCTGTTTTAATCATTAACAAACTTTTTTATAATGCGCGAAGCACTGTTTGTGATCCTGGTCAAGTTTAAGGCACTCTCTAATTTCAGCCAAGCTCTGCTCATCCTCCCCCATCTGATAATACAGCAGACTCAGCTTCAGGAATCCCTCCGTGTTGTCGTTAATCAATTTAGTCAGCTGCTTCAGATCGAACACTGCCTTGGACAGTTCGCCTACTTTGATCAAAGCATCACCACGCACAGTTCTGAATTCAGAGTTCCAGGGACATGCCTCGATTAGAGGGTCCAGTAAGTTAAGTGCACCTAAACCACAAAACATCGATTTAGCGTAATCGAAATTGCGAAGAATAATTATTCTTCACAAATTTTGAATAAAAAATTATATTTTGCAATAAAAAGCTTTGTATAAAGACTTAGCAAAAAAGAATCAAGCGGAAAGGTTTTGAATCAAAATAAAATACTTCAATTAATTTTTCCCTCGTAAAAATTAAGCACTCAGGGGTTTTCAACACGATGAGCTGTTTGCTGTTCGTTGATATGCAAGAAAATCAGTAATTATTTAAGAATAAATTTCTTTACCCACCTTGGTAATCTTCGTCGTGTTCAAAAAGTTCTTCAGCTTCAATTGCAGAGGCTTTTAGTTTTTTCAACTCCTCAATTTTAGGCAGAATTTCTTCATCACTTCCAGCTTTACCTCCGCCTTTTTGAATTTTCTCCAGTTCCAAAATACCGTCGTCAAAGCGTCCATATTTAGTCAATATGTTCACACGCTGAGTTCTAGAAAAACAAACACAATTATGATTGGTAATTCGATGAAACCAGTGCCTATTCGCAACTCGGAAATAGTTTTGAAATAAAGCAACTGAAAAAAACGGTCCCGACAGATAATATTTTTCTTTCTATCATATTTCCGAATATGTTTCTTTCTACCGAATATTTTAGCCATTAGTCAACAAAACTGACAAGCAAAAAAAATCTCGAGCAAGATGAAAACACCCACCTGGCAGCCTGGAAATCCGGTCTTAGAGTCAGCACTACATCCAAATCCTCCAATGCTGCCTTTCCTTTCCCCAGAGCGAGATAGGCTGTGGCCCTCCTGTAGTGGGCCATGAAATCATCCGGCTTCTCATCTATTGCCGAGTGGAACTGTTGCAATGCTTCACCTAAACAGAAACACGATTTAGCTGCATATAATCAATACTTAATTGCAACCGTATAGCATGGATCGAAACAAATCAAGGTTACAATTCTCAACTATAGAACCTTACATAACGCCTCTGAGCCCTGGAAGTTGAAACCCGATATGATAATGATAAGAAGTTTTCGGTATATATCCGATATATCAATTGGTTTCCTACACTTTAGCCCACCCCATTGAACTCCCTTCTTTCTTTAACCTTATTTTTATTACGGCATTACAATTTAACGCTAAGATTCAACAACTTAACCTCATTTGAAAATTTCAGTAACAGAGGCCAGATTAGCTACTCTTAATTCAAATGATACGTTTGGAAACTCAAATTAATTGCTTTTAATTAAGTTAAAAACATGTTTCAAACGGGGAAGACACTTAATCAAGATCAGGATAGCCGATTGCTGAGCAATTAGCACAGAAGGTTCCCACCACATGCACAAAAATCATACAATTTTTTTCTCTTTTAAATTAATGTGGTTTTTTAAGCGTGGTGTGAAGAAAGAACTATACAAATGCGTATAAATTAGTGTAGGCTCAAGCGACTTTATTTGTATATAAAAAAATGAAGGGAACAAGAAATGAAGAAAATATATTTTTTTGCACAATAATTTATCAATTTTATCAATTTTTTGCCAGGGAAGCGCTAAATTAGGCTTTGAAAACTAGTTCAGTTTCAAGTAAAATCAAGATTTCTTAGCCTAAACAAGCAATTTTGATCTAAAGAAGGTTACTCGATTGGTTTACTCGCTCGAATACACTAAACACAAAAAAATCAACTCAGTTTTATCGACACTAGGGCAAGTTTTTGAAAAATTTATTAAACTAGCCAGCCATAAAGTAACTTCAGATCCTATCAATTAGCCAATTATATAGAGTAAAACTGCCAACAAACAAAACTAAAACTTTTGCTTTTCCGGATGCGAAACAACGATTTATACAGGTTAAGCGCCTGGCGTACTCGCATCTGAGCCACGGTTGCTTGAAATTTTTTTTATTACTAGCCAGCAATAAATCAGCTGCAGATGCTATTAAAAAGCCGATTCTATTAATTGACTCAGAAAGGTCACTAAAAGAACACTTTTATCAACGAGTTAGGTTGAAAAAAAGTGGAGTTTATACTATGACATTTACACTCACTATAGCTCGCTTGTGTCATAGGTTCAAAAATGAGAATCACCAGCTTGCCTTGGCGTCGAAGATATCTCTCATCCTAAATTTTGAAAAAAAAAGGAAATGAAAAATTTGTAAACCTGTTCAAACAAATAATTTTGCAATCGAGCAATCAAATAAAATCTCGACAATTGACGAGCTGTCTTTTTATTTGGGCAATGTCTTTATCCCAATTATATAAAAAGCAGCAAATATTATATATTTCCCCTCTCTGTATGTGCGTGCGTGGGAGGGGGGTTCCAGTTCTCGTTTAAACTATTTTCCCACAATTCATAGCTGAAATTCATTTAAATCCCTCAGATTTCCAACAACTTACTGATTTGTCCCTTGGCTAGAAACTGGATTCCCAGATCGAGATGTGAAGGTTTGTTGTCCGCAGCTGCCAAAACCAGAGGCTTGAAGTTGAAAAAGTGCAATAGCACGAGATAAAGTGAAGAATACGCGTAGATACTGATGTCAAACAGGTAATATTCAGCTGAAGGAGGCTTCATCATCTTGAGCTTCCGCCTCTAACTGCTTTGGAGGTCAAATTCCACAATTAGACAAGACAAATGAGTTTCTCTGACAACCAAGTATTACGACCAGTCACACTGTCAATAATATTTCAGCCAGAAAACAACTTCAAGTTCACCATTAGTACAATCGATCTGAAGAAAAGAAGGTGAATTCCCATAAGTTTCAATGTTCATAGGTTCCAAAACAAAAAATCAGTCGCATAAGTTCCAAAATTTATCTTCTTGAATTCTGATTCGTTGAAATTTGAGCCAACGAATTTATGGATTGATTGTTTACTGTTCAACCAGCATAAAGTCAAGCTGCAGAATAAAGACCGCCGCAGCCGCGCCAACGTGTTGCGAGCTTGCCACCAAAGGGTAGGACTCTATACGAAATTTAGAGCTGGTTATCGCCGCGAAGCGGCGACGCGCGCGTAGCGCGCCCACCGGCGACCTTAAACCGAGACTCGGCTAATTTAGTCTTTTGATCAATTGAAAAGATTTGGAACTTATGCGACTGCTTTTTTATTTTGGAACCTTATGGGACTGATTTTTTATTTTGGAACCTATGAATACGCACCGAAAAGAAGCACTATTGCTTTGAAAATGCAATATTGGTTTGAAAATTCAATATTCGTTTGAAAATTGGAGCAATTTTGAAATAAACTTTGCTAAAACTACTATTAAAACTATTTATAAACAGCTAACTCTTCTGGCTCAAAACAAGTGTTTGAAGGCTCTTTTCCGTTTGTCTGATATGAACTGAAAGAATAGACTTGCAATGTGGTTGAACTGTAGTTACAGCAAGCTACAAACTGAATTACATTAGTCAGTTTCTCATTGGTTAGAATTGCTTAATACCATCAGGCATTACGTAATTTGACGTATTACTACAGTAAACCAGCACGCACACAGTATTTAAAAAGAACGCGCCATGTGGATAGAAAAACGGGACATTCAAGGTGGTGAAACGGATGATTCCTCGTCTTTTTTCTTGACTACAGATATCTTTTCAACTATTTTTGCGTCTCGCATGGTCGTTTTAAAATGAAACTTCATTTAACTATCGAAAGTAATACAGTCCAAAAAAATCTACCGAAGTTATCGCCAACTTTACTTGTAGTAAATTGGTCAATGTTTCAAATTGAGGCCAATGATAGAAAAAAAAATGTCAACAAGACGACTTATAAACATCGGGAGATGACTATATTATCAATCAGTTCAGACGCTTCTAATCATTTTTTGTAAATTTGAAAACAATTATTTTTTTCCTCTTTACTGAAAGCAAAAACTATTAATTTCAGAAAGAAAAGTCCCGATTAGATGACTCATTACACTCCATTGTCATCACTCATGATAGAAATGTACAATAGTCTACGTGTTCTTGGAAACAATAACGTAACGAAAAATTTAGGTAATCTAGTACTATAGACAGCTTTAATCTGATTGGATTCATAGAGCGATGAGAAATTTGAAAAGACAAAAGTAACAAACTTTCCTAGAAACAAAGAGGTAGCGCAGAATGTTCCGACCACATTCATACAGTCTTTAAAAAAACTCATTTTTTCTTCGAATTAGTGTGGTTTTTAGTGCGCGTTGATTACAGAACTATACAAACGCATACAAAGTTAGTGCATGCGACATAATCGACAACATTTGCCTTCAAAAAACGAATGAAACAAACAAATGAAAAAAAAAATTAAAAAATCAAAATTTTTTGAACAATGATTTTTTTCAATTTGGTTAGAAAACCTGTATTAAACGCCAAATTAAACATGCACAATAAAATTTCCTTTACGCAAAATTTAGTTTTTTAGCCTAACAACGTATATTAAAATAAAAAATTTTATACTCGATCGTTTCACTTGTTCAAAATTGAAAACGTGAAAAATTTAAACTAGATTTTCTTGACATTGGGACTTTGAAAAGTCACGTGGGTCTTTTGAATCACTAAAGGGCTTTAATTTGGTATCACTCGACCTATTATGATGACTTTCTGTGGTACATGATTTTGCCTGAAAATGCAACTAAAACACACCCGAATACTCAGTTCCTCCCCATTTTCTATTGCCGGAACAAAAAGTACATGCACTGGTTGGATTATATCACATATCTTAGAAGCCACAAGCTACCCGAAGTGAGAAACTGAATGACAGTAAAAAAAATTAAAAAAGCTCGATTTAAAAATTCTCAGAAAAATGTTTTACCGGATAAGTCTAGTCCCCGATTAAAGATACTTGCTCTCGCCCACCAAGCAAAGAAAGCAAACTTAATCATAGTAAAAAATCAGTTTGACTTGTTGAAATGCTCTGTTTTGGAGCGGTCCACCGAAGAAGCAATAAATGAAATATGGTACTATCAAAAGTCAAGTCGTAATTCTTGAATGGATATGAGAAACGAAGCCAAAAACTTAGGTCAAATCTTGATAGCTCCAAAAAATACAAGCTTCCAGTCAAATCCCAAATGCTCATTCAATTAAGAGATTCAAAAAAACGGTTTTCAAATCATTTGTACCCTCCAATGCATTACTCTTGTTGGATTGTTTTCTATGAGAAATATTTTCCGTTCGGTGGAATCCCTCATACGCGAAGGACCGAAAATAACAATCAGCCAATCAGATTTCAGTAACCTAAAATATGGAAAGAAAGCACGAAAATCTGAAACAAAGTAAACACTTCCGGGGACTTAATATTGATATTGGCCGAATATAAAAACCGCAGAAATATGCAAAGTTTTCAAATTGTCACTGACCCGCACCGAATTGAATAATTTTTTATTTCAAGGGTTTCGCTATGAAAGAAGCAAAATATTGCTTCATTTATTTCATTTTAATTGAATGGCAACTGATTCTTTTTAAAAATTGGCTTTCGGCTAATTTTGTTTTCGGTTCTTTGCCCACGAGTTTTTCGCCCATTCGGTCCTTCCAGCATGAGAATTGCCCCCTCCAAGTTCTAGTTTGGAACACAATCGCGATACTGCACATGGCAAACAAGCCAAAAAAACGCCAAAGAGCTTTAAAAAGAAAACAAAACAAGACAATAAATAAAATCAAAGGCTTTTGAAAAATAAATGTCCTCTACAGGAATCTTACCTCAGCCCTCGGAGAACAAAGCACTCAAGTCGACTGCACTACACAACTATGCTTCTGACGGTTTCAGAAACACTAATCAAGCACAATTGGAGAACACCTCTGCTATTAAATTGCCGATACTATGCAAAAAAAAATCCACCAAAATGAGAAATCTAATTGCAAAAAGTTGGATTGGAAGAAAAATTCTGTTCGTAATATTACACAATGCTCGTTGTGTAAGCGATTGCTAATTGCAAGATTGAACTACAGTTCTGATTTTAAATATCTGGACAAAACTACCAAAATTGGAATTTTCAAACTAGTTATTGTCAATTTGGAATGCCTTTTGACAACACTGATGCAAATAAAAATTGCTAGTTCTTAACTTGATAAAATATAGTTTTTTTGCAAAAGCCGAAATTTGAACCAAAAAACAGTACGTTTTGACTCCTGTTTCAGAGTCCAAATAAAAGTCCAATTAAAATTTGTTCAAAAAATGATATTTCTGTTAGATAGCCACATTATTCCGAGTAAAGTTCTGCAAATTTTGTACTCACTTTGTTCTCATCATTTTGTGCCGAACGTCAAATTATTGTGCGGAGCAAAAAGTTGAACTTTTCGAATTAGGTCGTTTTGTCCGGCTTATTTAAACCAATGTACTTATGGATTACTTGAATTTAGTGGATATTAACGAACATAGTCAATAGACAGTTGGAAAAGAGTCAATTAAGGCAAGTCAACAGAAAACCAAATGACCGGTTAATTTTTTTTGAAAAAATCTCAACTTTCGAGCTTCAGAAAAAAATTGATGGCCTTAAAGCTCTTTGAATTTCTCGGACAATTTATAATTAAACCAGATGTGATTATGGATTACTTGAATTTAGTGGATACTAACGAACATAGCCAACAGACACTTGTAAAAGATTCAATGAACACAAAAAAAAAACAGAAAAAAAACAGGCTTATTTATTTTTTTGAAAAAATCTTCGAACATCAACTTTCGAACATCAAAGAAAAAAAAACAGATGCCTTTAAAGCTCTTTGAATTTCTAGAACAATTATGATTGAAATCCATTTTCGAAATAAGAATTCGATCACGTTTTTGTGATCTTTACACTTTTGCTGTTCGACTACGTTCATCGACTCTTAAAAACAAAGAAAGGATCATTTGTTCTGCTTCGATCTAGCTAAGTCATTGATTTCTCACTTCTGATGAAAAATTTACTTGATGTTACCTTGGGTGTCGTTTCTTAATCCAAAACTATTAGCAACATTAGCAAATCAAAATAAATAGTTTTTCTAACAACCATTCCCACGCCACACGAAAGACCTTTTAAACTCAGCGAAACGCGATGATTTAATTTTAAATTTCATTGCACTACTTTCTTGAGTTTAATTTCTATATAACTGATGAGCTAAACTGTGATACACTAACTATAATACAACTTAATCTATTTAATATTTTTGAAGAAGGCAATCAAGGAGAATCGGAATGTAGCTGACTGTTTATTGCGTCTTTAAACGTCTCCACTTCATTAATCAGCGCCCTTTCCAAAATCACTCGTCCCTCTTTGTACCTCTGCGAGTCATCAGTTGCGAACTCGTAGATCCAGCCCAGTTTCGAACTGCAGTTGCGACACCACACGTCTCTAACCATGTGACGACCCGTGAGCATTTGGCGCTCTTGTATTTCGCTGTAGAATAGATTTACTGCTCTGCTGAAGAGAAACGCTCGACCAGTGGCTCCTATAAACCAACAATTCTTCTCCGTTACTAAAAAAACCAGCTTTTGAGGATAAAAATCATTTTTAGGATTAAATTGATGCAAAGCAGACTCCTTTATTTTCTATGAAAATTTTTAAGTGAACGAATTTTTTTGTGAAAGATACTTTGAAACCCGCTAATTTGACACCGTCTGATAAAAAAACTTATTAATTCTTATCTGCCAGATCTTGAGTAAAGGTAGGTAGTGTAAACTACTCCAACAGCAATGATATTTAAATTCTGCCCAGAGTCACAGCGGAGCTTCGAACCACTTGCGATACACAAAGAAAAAAAACATAAGAGCTCGAAAAAAATGAAAAACTTGAAAGACTAGGTGAACCAAAATCTTCATGTCTCAATAAAACATAAGTAGGGGCTAAGCTATATTGTAGCTTCTTGTAAAACTGAAGTGGGAACAAATGGGTAATTTCAAAAAAGTAGACTGCATGAAATTTAAGTTGTTTTGCTACTAAGATAAGAGTGAAAATTTTTGAGAAATTGGAATTTTCCCAAGGACATAACATGTTTCTTGCAAAAAAATCAAGAATCGCCTGCATAGAAGAACCCTTCATCTCAGATATGATAAAATAGTTTCTGAGAAAGCGAGAAAAAATCTTAAAAATATTGGTCAAATATTCACCCATCAGACTTTTCCGATGGCTGTAGACAGTGGGTAAAGTAAAAAGAGACTAGAAAAATATGCAGGCACACAGGGGAGTGGTCTTTCCTTTGATACCCTTTTTGAAAATCGGCCAAATCGGCCGAGTAGTTAATGAGAAAAACTAAAACTTTTGATACAATGATCAACTCTGATAACTACTATGATAATTGCTTACAGCACAAGAAAAATCCGTGAAAAACTTGGGCAAACAAACGAATACACGACAATTCAATTATTACAAAAAAAATCAATTTCATACTGAAAAAAAACCTGCCGCGACTCGAAGGCCAGACCTAAAGATGCACAAGACCAATCGACCAATTTTTTAACATAGCCACTTATGTTTTCAAATAGCAGCTTTTAACACAGAGGCGAAGAGGAGCTTCGCACCACTTGCGACGCAACAAACAAAAAAAAACATAATTCGCAAAAAAACCAAAAACCTTTAAGAAAACTGGGTGAAACGCCATGTCTCGATTACAGGCTTTTAAGGAGGTACGTATTAGATATTTTTTCAATTTGTTATACTGATATGCGATGAAACACATGTTTTTAAAAATAAGTCTGTGCACAAAAGCTTACTTAATTTAAAAGAGAAAGAACTGAGAAAAGAAAACTTTTGGGAAATTGGAATTTTCCCCATAGACATATACTTTTCAGAAAAAATTAAGATGTAGCCGCTTCTGCAGGAAAAACTCTAATCAGATTTGCAGGCTAGTTTTTCAGAAAATTTCAGAAAAAAGGCCAAAAGTTCAGACACACGACTTGGCGAAATGCAACTTTTTTCTGCAAAAAGATTGTACACTTAATCTAAGAATTGGCTGGATAGTTTTCTAGAACATGCAAAACATTTCAAAAAACGGTCAAAAAATTTGATTTTTCCGAAGGACTTCGATTTGTCCTAAATAAAATTGGGCGTAGTCAACTGTACCACGAGGCTTTAAAAAAGCTGCTGTTTTGATTAAAACCTAGATATCAGAGCTGGCAGGATTGTTATGGAGAAAAGTCAAAAAAATTCCAAAAAACGATCAACAAATTAAAAACTTGACGTTCATAGTTTTTTGCGTAAAAAATTGGGTAGAGCAGCTTATGAGGGGGACCTTCACACAGCCCGTTATTTCGATTGAGGTTCAGGTTTGGGAGTGCGCTTCGAACAATGGTCAAAAAATAAAACATTTAACTATCCGATGGCCAAAACTGTTTGTTGAAACAAAATGGGCGTAAACACTTATGCAGTGGCGCTTTTCAAAACCGGTTCTGTCCGAAACCAAAAAATCAAATTTGTGAGGGCAGCTTGGAAACACTTGCGAGAACACGACCAAAAAGCAACTCTATCAAGTGAAATAATGAAGTAGAAATAAGCCTCGAACTAGCAAAACTCAGCTACAGGTAGGATTCGAATCTGCGACCTACTGCAATCAAGAGATTCTGAGGCTGACGCACTAACCACTCAGCTACGCAAGCTTAATAACCTATTCGAATATAACAGATAAGTAACCATTTCGAATATAACAAACTGAAGGCATCCACATTAACTTTGCATGTAAGAAATCGCAAAACATAAGACCATGTTATGTATAAATTATGCATTTCGAAAAATTGCGAGATATATTGAGTTAGAAAGTTTCTGAAATCGAACTTTCATTACTGTTATATTGTTTGAAACAAATCACTTTTTTCGGTTCAATTGATGAATTAAACATGCATCAACTGAGACAACTTATTACTATTCCAAAGTCAAAGCACATGCTATAAAAAATCTGTACAGGTACCCCAAAAAAGGCAGCAATATTTGCGACTTAGGTTGGAAAAAAAAGAAGATTCGTACTAATAAACTCGCTTCACAAGTGTAAAAACGAAGAAAAAAAATCAAAAATAGTGGTCAAATATTCCCCCCACACTTTTCAGTCTAATATTCCCCATAGACCCCACAGAGTTTAAAAAAGACTAGAAGATTATGAACGCATACAGATGAGTAGGCGATCTTACCATTGATATCCATTTTTTTGAAAATCGGCGAGTTATTTTTGAGAAGAATTAAATAATTTGCAAAAATTTCAAATTGTCTCAAAAACAAAGAATGACATAAAAAACCCATCCCATACATTTTCAAAATACCTGTTTTATGAAAGAGGAAAACAATAAAAACATGCCAAGCAAGAAAGCTAAATTAATAACGGAACAAAACATATGAAACGGAAACGAAGCCGACAATCTTTGAGCAGACACCAGTTCAGTCGAAAAAAAAATTGGTTGGTTCAAAACTTTAAGAAACTTCAAGTCCCTTCTGAAACTATAATAAATAACAATTGAAACAACCATGATACTTGCTAACATCACAAGAAAATCCGTGATATGACACGTAATCCGGCAAAACTTGAGCAAATAAACACAAGTCCGAAAATTAAGTTTTTACCGGAAAAAATTTTTCCGATTTCATACATACTGAAAACAAAACTAAGGACTTCCAGGACTCTAATTCCAGTCCCTAGGGTGTAAAAGCGACCGCATTGCCTCGAGGCCAAGTGGGAACGAACCTGGAAGTTGTTAAGGTTCGATAAAAAAGCCAGTTCAATTTCCTGTACGAAAAGTTGTTTACAGAAAAAATTATCTTGTTCACTATTACCAGACCTGCTGTTTTTGAGAAAAATTTAATTTTCAAATTTCGAGAAAAAGAAAACTGAATCAGCCAGTTTGAGAAAACTGGATTATTCGGTCATTCGTTTTTCGTGAACTTCACAATTTTGCTGTTCGATAGTGGAGTTTTCTTTCTTTTTAACAAAGGAAATCAAGTGAACTTACGAACAAACCAAAAATCAAACTGCGGAAAATCAAAATTGATTGCTGTGAAAATCTCAAATTTGATTGCTCCAATGTGGAAAAAAAACGAAAAAATCATAACGATCTATATATGTCCTTCGCTACGTTCACTGACACTTAAAAACGTCCCCCTCCCCGTCAAAAAAAAACGTTGCACGCGCCACTGGATAAGCTGGAAATTTTCCTATCTCACCTGTGAATCTAGTGGATATGAGTTCGTCTCTGCTGGTCAAATTGGTACCACATTCCTTGCAGTTGAAGCACCTGGTACCAGTGCCAATGTGTGTCAGAAACGCACGACCCATTTCGAACCAGATTCACTCCTCAAATGTTTCTGAGAGGCGTTTAGTCAGAAAATTACTGGGTAGTTGGATCGCAAAAAAAACTGCGTTTTCCAGGCAAGCTCATCAATCGAGCAGCTTATGCGTTCAATAATTTGATCTGAAATCATCAATTTTATGCTATTCAGAATTAAAGTCTTTATTCAGTAAAGTTTGACGAGGCAATTCAAACCTTATAGCAGAAGAAAAGCGAGTCTATAAACCTTAATATAAAATCCATCAATTCGACTCAACAAAGGCTGCCTTAACTCACAGATATGCTTGCTTCATTTGACTATTTTGAATCCGCTTGGTAAAAAAAACACTCTTTGGGGGGGGGGGGGAGTGGCAATTAATCTAGTCCGTTACTTATCTTCGCATTCTACCAATAACTGCTTTTGACGAACTGTCTACTGCTTAAAATAGGGATTGAATGGAATCTATATTTCACGAATCTATACAACCAAAAAAAGATGACGACTACTTGAACTCAAACTGTGCCAGCTGCTGAGCACTCTTCAGCTGATGGAAACAACAACTAAACAAAACTGTACCCCTGCCACCGAACAAGTATCAAGTTTCATAATATCAAGGTAGACATTTTAACATAGAACTTAGAGAAAATTGTATTAAATTTAGGAGGTGCGTGTAATTAGTTATTCAAAGCAACGTTATAAGCTGCTGTTGGGATCATCCTGACATTTCACCAAAATCATGGCTTCAAAAATTTTCTGTCAAAACGATAAATTATTGGACTCGAAATTAAAGTTCCAATAGAGATGATTTGTATGACATTATGAACTACAGGGTTTGGGTGAAATTTCAGTGCTGTATTTATATGTTATTTTTACACAATAAACATGGGCAGAGTAAGTGCAGAGAGCTAAGATGACCATAGCCAAAGCTTCTAATATTATTCTAATATTAAGTTGGAAACCGAATATTCTTAAATCGTCTTTGAAGACGGTCAATTTGAAGCACCTCATGATTTGAAAAAAAATCTATTTCTTTATACTTGATATTTAAGCGCACTAGCTGACACTTCAGTGAAAACCTAATTTCAACTGATAACAGCTCGATAGGCATTCATTTCATAATCTGACCAGTAATTGGTTCAGATTTCAACTCTTGGAAAGATTCAATTGTTATCAGTTATCCTAGCACACATTGTTATCCTAGCACACGCATATATATTGATTCATTTGTACATGTTAAGATGTTGCTACAAACTCGACACCACGTGAGAAAACCCAAAAATATAACTCATGATGAAGTGAAGCACTAAAATCTTCTGTTCACTGTTGCTTGGACAGCTCCAGCTTAGTAGTCATGACCTCCTCGTCCGAGTCCAGGAGTGTTGGGAGGGCGGTGTCGAATCCGGAAGTTGGGATGTTATCCTCCACCCATTTCAGGTGTTCGTCCTCACTTTTGTCCAGGGTGCGGGTCAAGTTCTTCTCTCCATTCGAAACGTTCTTCCTGATTTTCACCTGAAAAAAAAATCATATATCAATTGCAAACCCAACAGACAGTAGGACGACGAATTAAAGGGAACCACAATGAAGCTCTTTCAATTACAAGAATATTTTACACAGAGGCGAAGTGGAGCTTCGCAACACTTGCGATACAATTAAAACATTGCATACAATTAAAACATTCATTCAAAAAAATTAAGGCGCAAAATAACTTACGTCAAAAAACTATCCAACAAATTTCATACCTTAGTCTTCGACGATGATCATAAAGAGCCTCAAAAGTCATTGGAAATCGATGACCGCGCGGCAACTACAGCAAAAAAAACTTGGGTTGACCCTCGTTCAGCCGAAAACGAAACGACATAAAAAAAATCTAGCTATTAAGTTTTTTAAGTAACATTTTTACAACCCATCCCTCCTGAAACAGACAAAAGGATTGAAAACAATTCCACCTGAAGCTGCGCAACATAAGTTAACTTGCGAGACGATAAAAAAATTGCAAGAAATTGCAAGATATTGAATTAAAAAAGAGGGACATTTTTTTTAAAAAAAGAGGCTGAAAAAAAACTTGTAAGTCGAAAAAACTCATTTACAAAAATTTCACGCCTTAGTCTCGGGAAAATGTTCAAAAACATCCCTAACAAGACTTGAGAATCAAGACGAAAAACTGTGGACCTAAAAATATTCTAGCTATAAAATTTTTACAATCCATCTCCCTCAAAACATGCAAAAGCATTAACAATTGCACGAAATAAGTTGACATACGCCGAACCCAATTAACCAAAAATCTAAATTATTATAAAAATGAGTGTTGGTAAATTCAAAAACTAAAGAGCAACTTCCAATTGTAATTAACACAGTTTGAATCAAAAACTTAAAACTCCAGCTTTGAAAAAGAACCTCTTGAAAGTTACCCAGATAAAATAAATGTTAAAAAAACGGAAAATCAGTCAATAGAAATTAGGACGGAAAACCACAAATCCGAAACAAATCAACAGTTTTTTAACAATTATAATTAAAAAAAAACTATTTACTATCCCACTTACTACCCCACATGAACTGAAAAGTAGTTATATTCAAATTTTCAAGGAACTGAGCATATCAGAATTTGTTTACGGGAAAAAAGTCAAGTTTGCGACTACAAGTCGCTTGCTCTAAATTACTGACTGTTGAAGAAATTTTGGATTTTTTTGGAAACCGAGGTGGAGCGGAGCTTCGTACCACTTGCGATACATCGCAATCATACAAAACATGCCAAAAAAATGAAAAATATTGAAAAAATAGGCAACTAAAACTTCTATATGTCTCGATGAAGGATACCTAAGGCCCAGCTAAAGCTGGAGGTACGTGTTTGATGTTTTTTGAATTTGTTATTCTGATGCGAGACGAAATGCGTAATTTCAAAAGTTGAACTTTACCGAAATCCTTAGTTGTTTCTCTACAAGTTAAAATTTTTGAGATTTTGGAATTTACCAAGAGACAACATTTTTCTTGCAAAAACTAAGGAGCCGCGCTTCTGCAGGAAAAAACTACGCAACCGCGTCTATCGGTTGAAATTTTTTTATCTCAGATTTGATAGGGTACTTTTTAAGAAAGTTCGAAAAGTTTCTATAAAATCTAGAAAACTCGAAAACTTGATTTCCCGAAGGCCGAAAAACAGGTCGTCGCCGTTAAAAAGAAAATTCGCAAAAACCGGGTTTCTCGATTGAACTTTTAATCTGAGAATTAGCACGGCAAAAAATTTCAAGAAAACGGTCAAAGTTTCAAAAGCTTCACACTTGTTTGAAGGCCACAACTTTTTTCTTTAAGAAACTGTGCGTAGCAAATTAAAAAAGTAAGCTTTCAACAACCAAAATCAATTTTTTGTCAACAACCAAAATCAAGGTTTTCAACAACCAAAATCAACGGTCAAACAAAATTAAGTTTGTGACTTTTCCGAGGGCCATAATTTTTGTCAAAGGGGCTTCCCACGACCCTTTACTTGGATTGAACCCAAAATCTCAGAACGATAACTTTTTTGTACATAAATTGTGAGTGGCCGTTAACTCAGGGGAGCTTCTTATTACCCGTCATCTCTATTGAACCCACAGCCTCAGGTTTTAGAGGTTAGTTTTCGAGAAAACTCTAAAATAATCAAGAAACAGTCAAAAACATCATTTATTTTAGGAGTTAAAAAAAGTATGGGCGTAGCCGCTCATAGAGAGTATCTTTTCAAACCTGTCTTCAATTAAACCAGTTTCTTAGATTTGGCCGGTTAATTTTGAAAAACGAAAGAAAAATCAGTAAAATTGGTCAAATATTTCCCTCACAGACTTTTTCGAAGACTGTAAATATAGGGTAAAACAAAAAGAGACCAAGGGAGTAAGCACACACGGGAAAAGACGCTCTTGCTTTGGTTCCCTTTTTTAAAATCGGTAGAAGATTTTAACAGAAAAAAAAATTAATTTTTTCGCAAAAAAATTTTCAAAAGCGTCTCAAAAAAACCCTAAACAAAAAACCCAATCCCATACATTTTCATAAAACCTGTTTTTATCAAACATGAAGTCCAGGCAAACATGCCAAGTGAGACATTTGAAACTAAACTAATAAAAAAAAACTTACGAAGCAGAAACATGGCCGACCATCTTTGTGCAGACACCAGTTGAGTCGAAAAACTGACTTTGTGAAAAACTTTTAAAAGTTTCAGGTCCCCTAGCATCATCAAAATCGCCTATATGGTACCCTTGTATCAACAAAATGGCCGATATTAATTGTACTAATTGAACTTGAACAATTGATTCAACTGATTTTGTTAAACTAGTTGTTAAACCGAAAAACGGTCTACATTCCGAATTCATAACACTTACTAATCGCAAGCGTAATAAAATTTACGCAATTTAAAATTTTTCTAATAACATTTACAGGGAATATTTTTCCAAATAGTATAGCATCCGTTTTCTCTTGGTCATTTCGAGACAATTAATCAGATATGCCGAGAAGTGGATACAGACTGAGGCTTAGCAATTTTTAAGGCTCGCCTATATGATCAGTACTAATTGAACAAGTAATTAAACTGATTTTGTTAAGCTAGTTGTTAACCCGAAAGAAGGTCTACATTCCGATTTGATAAAATTTGCAAATTTCAAGCGTAATAACCTAGCCAATCGAAGATTGGAAACACAGAGGCGAAGTTACACTTCGCATACAAAAGCAAAAATATGACCGATAACGCTACTGGGAAAAACTGAATGAGTAAAACTTTGAGTCTACAAAATTTCTTACGTGACGCAAGCCAATTAGCAGTACCAGTGAACTTGAAAAAGAAAGAAAGTTATCAATTGGACATGCCTCAGCCTATAGAGCTGACGCATTTTAGCTAGTATACAAAAAAAGTCATTGAAAACATCCGACCCTGCCCAGGTTCGAACCCTCTTATTTGTTGTAGGTCTCCTCCCTACCTCTACGCTACAGATCCATGATACCTTGAAGTTAAAGTGATATTTGTAAAACAAAATGGTTTGTAAAACCTTTTAAGGTGTATGTAGCAGTAACAACATGAAAAAATTAAATGTTAATTTAAAAAAATCTGAGATTTTCGTGAAAATCATCACTCCACACGCCATATAAACTACAAGTGATAAATTTCGCTCCTAGTAACAAATCAATTATGGCAATAGGCTTCCTTCAACCAACTTGAAACGATTTCCAAGACGGATTAAATCACCGCTTACGCGTTATTAGCGCGAAATATATCGCGCAATAATTTTCCCGAATTGACCAAAATGGGAATTTTTAAACCCCCACAACTTTACGAAAAATCACAGGTGAAATATCTTTTCAAATTCAAGCTTAAGACAACAATACCTTTTGAATGATATAAAAAACATTCCGTCAAAAATGGCTATTTAAAAAGTCGAAATTTGTCTGAAAACAAAACACCCCGAGCACAAATATTCCGTTACTTTCGTTACGAGAGTCGGAACAATAAAAGTCCGTGTTAATATCCTTAGCATTGGCTGTACTTATTAGCTGGTATTGATCAACATGAACCTTTTCAAAATGAACACATTTTATCGCAACAATATTTGCGTCGCAACAATATTGCAACTTAGTTTGGAAAAAAAGATAATTCATACTATAACACAAGCTATGCTTGTGTATAGAGTAATGAACGCAAGTAAACATTAAAAAAAACACCAACTTTCTTGAAAAAGTTTCGAATTTCAAAGAAAAAATAGACGCCCTTTAAGCTCTTTGAATAACTTGAACAATTTATGATTGGCGCTTTCTTGATAACATCAACCCAACTAGATAAAACTGGATCAATAGGTAAAGTTTTTATTCCGCCGGAAATCTAATAATTACATTCCACTTTGGAAACTAGAAATAGTTCAGGTTTTTTCGCGCTAATTCCACGTTCGTATTCGGAGAATGATATTTACGTCACTTTCAGCAGATTAATTTCAAGTGAGCTTAAAAAATGCATATATACCGAAGTGCATTCATAAATGTATCCATTTGTATGAATGCACATCTGTAGTTATAAGAGACTTTTAAGACCTTTCCTGAAAAAAAATCACCCAGACCTATACAAAAATCTTCACTACGCTCATTACTCTGAAAAATTCATTACTACGTTCATTACTCTTACAAACTAACGCAATTTAAAAATTGTCTTACAACGAGGGGCGGATCTAGGATTTTCTCGAGGGGGGTCGGATTTTCCAAAAAATGAAAAATTTGTAGGCCTTTTTTTAGATCGACCAAATTGATTTTCTGGCTCTACCAAATCACCATTAACACCCCAGTTTGCCCAAATTTTGTGCGCCGCAGGCAAATTTTTGAAAAAAAAAACAGGCCAAAAAAGGCGTTTTTATGCAATTTTGGAAATTTTCGATAAAAAAAATCGCGTTTTTTTGGCGCGCGCTCCCCCCTCAAAATTAGTATATATTGGCCCTGAAGGCGCCTATAGAAAAATTTAAGGCCAGTCAGCCAAAAATGGATATCTCAAAATAGAACAAAGAGGCGACCCTTTGGGTCCGCAGGGGGTCGAATCCCTGAGATGGGGGGGGGGGGGGGGCGTCCGCCCCTCCAAAATCAGCTACTGCTTATAACGTATACAAGGGATATTTTTCAAAAATAGCATACCATTCGGTTTCTCTCGGGCATTTCGAGACAATTAGACAGATATGCCGAGAAGCGGATACAAATTAGGCTCAGCAATTTTTGCAAACTAACTAACAAAAAACGAACCTTGCTTGGATTCAATTAAGTATTATTTTGCACTATATATGCGCGATTTCTCAACGCCAACAGGACCAAATATGTTGCTCAAAATGATTTCACATAAAATCAGCTTGAAAAATTTAACAGTAACTAGGTTTCAAACTTTTTTGTTCGGACACCTTCATCAATATATTGCAGATCAACTTATATATATTGCAGCGCATTTTTTTTATTTTCGCAGAGACAGTTATCTTACGCAGACGAAGCGAAGCTTCGCACCACTTGCAATACAACTGAAACACTGCATAAAAAATGTGAATAGAAAAAGAGACTGAAGGCAAAAAAAACATCGCCAATACAGTTGGAGAAGAGTCAATTCAAGCAAGGGAACAGACAAAAAAACTGACTTATTTAATGGAAAAACGTCAACTATCGAAATTCAAACTATAAAAAATATATGGCCTGAAAGCTCTTTGAATTTAAAAAACAGATTATTGTTGACACTTTTTTTGTAAAAGTAACTCAATTTCGTTATTGAAGAGCGAACTTTGCCAAACTTGTAGCAGATAAAATTGAATTGAACTCAACTAGAGCACACGTCTGTAAACTCGGAGAATTTTAAGACTTCACCTTTAAAAAAAGCATCACGATCTATACTAAAAATCTGATCTACGTTCATCGACTCTAAATAACAATCAGAGATACAGACCTGGTCGAAATTTGAGTTCTCGGTGTCAATGAAGGGTTCCTCCTGCTCGTCATCTTCATCGTCCATGAGAGGAGAGAACGCATACCTCTTGTTATTCTGACTGGGCCGCCACAAGATAATAATTACGAAGAGCATCACAGAGAAGAGCAGTTGCCAGTAAGCGTCATCGATCCACAGCTCCCTCCAGTCAGTCACACAGTTGGGCATCTTATGCATACGAATGGACCACAGCATGAACACTATAGCGGCAATGACACAGAAGATCAAAGTATTGAAGAAGTGTCGATAGACAGTGAGCTTCACGATATTCCTTCGTAGCTTCAGATTTTTCAGGGTGGTCATTAGAGATGTGAACACCCACCAGCAGATGATGCTCTCCGTTATGGAGAGGGGGATTGCGGCAATCAGGGCTTTAGTTGAGGGATCATTGCGGTGCTGGAAGATACGAAGTCCAGCCTCCACGATAGCGAAGAGGAAGTAGCACATGCACAACGCCACCACATTGTTCATCAGTGATCCTGAATCATTTCGAAGAGTTAAAACTACGATACACAAAACTGAAAAGTCACAAAAATGTTCAAAATTTTCATTAATTGTCCATTTTCATTATGTATACTTTATGTCATATTTGGACCATTAGAATTCAAAACATACAGGTCTTAAAACCTTACCCAATCTGGGCTTGATGAGACCATATCCAAGGCTGACTATCAGCACCAAACACCTGGCGAGAGTCTTCTTCAGGATGCTGATGAACTCAGCTGTCATCTCCGCCCATTGGTAGAGCACTCCAGTTTCATTCATCTTCTCGTACTCTGCCAGGAACACAGCCTGTTCGATCAGTCCCATTCCAATCACAGCTCCGATCCAAAATTGGACTCGGAGGAGATTCTGCCACTGAAGAGCTCCAAACACCATCCAGGTTATGCTTCAAAACAACAATTTCAATCAATATTTGCATATCTGTGTCCATAGTTTTTACAGAAACTAAGTGGAGCGTCCGCACAATTTGCTAAGCAAAAATCTATGCCACGATAATACAGATGTATAAAAGCGAAAATTGACTGAGCGAAAAAAAAAGAATTTTTCCAAGAGTAACCACAACTCAGTCACCCACAATGCTATAGTTCACATACTAATTATACTATTCATAGTTCGCCAATTATTTGAAATATTGCTGATTTAACAATGGATTGAATCTAATTGGCAAAAAATTATTGCAGAGGCAAAAAGGAACTTGATTTCAAATTACTTGATTACGGCGAGTAAGAAGGGAAGAAAAGACAAAACTGACTTCCCTTCCTGCAACATTACAGTAATCTATCAAAAAATTTTCATCACAGAGGTGCATTTGCGCTTCACAACCTCTAGCGAGAAAACGACAAAAAGCAGCTCTATGAAGTGCAAAAGAACAAACAGAAAAGCCTGAAATTAGAAAAAATTCGGCTACGTCTCGGATTCGATCTGCGACCTAGAGATTATGAGAATCACGCATTAACACGGACGCTTAATAAATTACTATAACTAGCCACAAATAAAGCAGAGAACAGATGCTATGAAAAATCCAATGATACAGATCGTGATTATCGTAAAAGTGCCACCAAATAACTGAAAACTTTTAATGAACCCTTTTATTTGCGAATTAGGCTAGAAGAGGGTTCGTACTAATACACTAACGCTCGCGAGTGTAAATATAGTAGAAACAGCATAAATCACAAGACAATTCCGTTCTTTGGTAATTAAGTCGGCAAAAAATAAGCAGAAAAACGGTAGGTAGACAATCACTTTTCCCGATGAAAATTTTTTATAAAATCAAAAATTTAGGGGTGCTCAAGAAAAATGACTGCATGTAAACTTGAGCAGGAAAACATAAGTGGGACAACTGAAAACAGGTTAGATGTTAGTGTTATCGCTCTCTCTCAAGTGATGTTTATTTAGAAAAACTTTGTTTCAAATTTTTTTGTGTTATGATCTCACTTGGAAACGTTTTTAATAAAATTTCTGTCGTTCAAGCGACACGATGAAACGCGATAAACCGAATCCTTTTGAAATAGCTTCAACCGAACCTTTTTCAGCCGATTAATCGGTCAAGTGGGTAAAAAACATTAAATTATCCAAAATCCAGGGTGGCAATGTTTTAAAACAAGGGTGTTTTAAAAACAATTTTAAAGTGAATTAAAACACTTGTTCTTTTTCAATGTGTTTATTGATGTTTCTAATCAATTTTTTTTCTGCCTCATTTTGTTTTATATACACCTCATTTTACTAAAATTCACTACTTGCTAAGAACACTTCAAATAACAGGTGTTATGAAAATCGATTTGGCTAACCTTTCCTTTAAAATTTAAAAAGACCCTCGTCCCGATTTTTTTTTGATGAGATTCGTTCACACCGACAGGGACAAAAAAATCAAAACTTGTATCTATTTAAAAACATTGGACGAATTGTCAAAAATATTCAAAATTTTGATTTTATGCATGTTTTTAAACAGTGTTAAACGTTTAAAACGTTTTTTTATCAAATTAGAACACTTTAAAGCCCACCCTAGCGAAATCTAGCTCTATAAAACAAAATTCCACACAGAAGCGAAGCAGCACTTTGCAAACATAAGCGAGAAAACAGCAAAAAGTAGCTCTAAGAAGGTTGAAATTGAAAAACGAAAGAAACGATTTTAAAAACTTTGAAAAATGAAAATTGGCTGTGCCGTAATCGAACACCCGACCTGTATACTGCGATTCTCATGTCTTGCCATCTCCGCCACTGTCGCTTGAAAACTTACAAACGAAACACTTGGTTGGATTGGGAAAAACTTGGATTCCGTAATACGACACTGCGATCGCTGTAGCTTGCTTGTGTAAATAAAACCGTATCTAAAACGCAAACATGCTGTTGAAGCAGACAGGTCGGTTCCGGAGAGGGTCATGTGAACAAGTTTTTTGCCTAGCCCTCCAACAGGTCCTGCAAGGAAGGCTAATCCCCATCCGCCTGGAAACTGACGACGATCAGTTTTACATAAAAGCAAAGCTAAAGCAGCAGACAAATCAAACAGCTGTCGACCCATGGCTCTGACAAGCTGCCGAGAGAAGCTGAAAACAAACTTGACCGGAAAAACAGATGTTCGCAAAATAGTTGGGGGTATTCAACCCGCCTTATAAGTTATCACAAAAGATTAAAAAACAATATACCTGACGTCTGCCCAAGTTGTGATATAGTACCGCACACCACATACCATCTGTTTAATTGCCGGGTACACCCTACCGCACTTACCATCGACAGCCTTTTGGCGAATCCCAAAAAGCTGCCATATATCTTTTATAAAAAGCTGCCAAACATCTGGGATTTTTTAACGGTTCTCCCGTGTAACTAAAACCTACCCCCTTGAACCGGGTATGGAGTTTCACTCGGTTCTCAGCACGTCGAACAACTTGACTCCTAGAACGGTCATCATTAACGACAACCAAACCTCATTTTTGAGTGTGCTATACAAAGAGGAAGCGTCGACACCAGCACAAGGACGCTATCATTGGGAAAAGGTCGTTCCCCTTCTACTTCGGTTTTGCCGCTAGCGACCCTGGGGGAACTGTACTGATAGATTAAACAAGACGACCAAAGAAAAAATTCCTATAAAATTCCTAATATATATATCTTAAACAGAATCGATCTCTCCAATTCAATTGTAAGTTCGGAACCTAAATCAGTGTAGCTACAACAACAAGCTGTATAGGGAAAATAAGGTACAAGGATGGTCTGAACCATTTGGTCGACTCTAGTCACTTGTAACTCTGGATTCCGCAGAAAGCACAGAAGAACAATCGGCCAAAGACATCGCCGAGGGACCAGACTCTCCACAGTTAAAACGTTCCGCACTGGCCTCCCAAATGATCAGTGCTCGCACCAACACTCTAGCTAAGCTATAAAAACTAACTCAGTGAGCTAGCTTGTTTCAAGAGCAGCCCCGAAAGCAGGACCAAGTCTCTTTCCACCAAAAACACTGCAGCCTTGACAACCGAGGTGGAAGTCTATCCTCAGCCGGGAAAGTTATCCTCAGCACGAGCCGGAAAATAATTATCCACCGGAAAAGTGTTGCTCTGCATACGATGACAACATCTATTTATTTATTAGCCCCCCGCCTGCTCAGTGCAGGACCAACCGTGGGGGAGGGGGAGATATCATCCATTTCGCCGCAGCCGGTCCCACCTTGAGGAGGCGGATGACACTGGGACCCCTCCAGCCGTGACCGAAGCGGGATTCGAAAGCATGACCCTCGTGTTGAGAGACATGTGCCTAACCCACTCGACCACGGCTGCTCATGACAACATCTAGCATACGATGACAACCCAGTCTTCCGATGGCTTACACTAGACTGTCAACTCACCTTCGTCTGCTTCAAGAAAAGAATAAAGACGACGAGGCCTTGCCACGATGGCAGACAGAACAACACGAACGAAGCAGGCAAGTACCCGAACTGCTAACATGCTACGAGATGGTGCATTTCGGTGTATTGGAAACAATATTCTTAATATTTGCACACGAGTTGAGACGAGAAAAAAACATCCTCATAAGAACACTAGCCATCAGTTACAAAGCAGTCAACTGTAGCGCAATCAATGCCATCTGATCTCCAAGTTTCAGCCACGCTAACTGGTCAAAGCTTCAAGTCAAACAAAAAATGATCTTAGAACTATAACTTGCTGGATTAAAATGAACATAGATATTTCACAGGATAAAACCAAAATTCACCGTTTTTGTGCATAATGAAATTCTTGCCAAACAGCGTTCAGACCATGGACCAATGAACAAATAGCAGACGCATACTGGAAGCAACATTGAAAACGAAACATGAGCAAAAAGTTGACGAGCTCCAGGGAAATTATTCAGTTCACAACCTAAATCAACACAGAATAGGCCTCATACACCTGTATAGATAAAACTGTACGAGATTACACTAAGGCCACCACAGTAAACCTTCGGGTATGGCCATCTTTCAGATTACTTCACGAAATCGAACTCTCACCAGCGGCTAGGTGCACACTTGCAGAGCCCAGCTCCGGATATTCTCCCACCCATCCTGAGTTGCTACATTAACAGGATTGACCCGATATGCAGATTGACCCGAAAGAAAAATTTGATTTTTAGAAACTTTTTATAGCCAAGGAAATGCTGAATGAAACTTCCAAAACTAGTTTTTTAAGGTAACTCAAGTTTTCTTAGCCTTGAAGTCCAAATAACAGTTAATTTTTAAGACTACGAACGTTACTCGATCGCTTTACTCGCTCAAATTTAGACTAAAGTTAACAATTTTCAAACCAGTTTTTCTGGTCACTGAGACTACTGTTTGAAATTTTTTCATGTCGTTCGAGTCACAACTGAGGGTTTTAATATGATACTAGCGTGTAACGCACCTCCGGTGCTTCGACTTTTAACAAATCATAGCAATACTTCATGTATTGGAATAAGATCTGCATCCTTTGAGTGTACTCTGACAGCAACCAACTACAGGGTTCGTATTATCAACTTTTGTAAGGTTTTTATTCAAGCTTCTTAATTCAAATTTTTGAAAAACCATAAAATTTTGCGAAGCTTTTTAGATCTAAACTCTTCAAAATTATAAAATGAATTAGGAAACGTCACATCTCGGAAACTAAATGCAATTGAGCAGACGCATTTAGACACAAGCTTTGCAACTCCAGAGAGTACTCTTACAGTACCCAACTACAGCGTTGGGAATTTCAAATTTTGAGAAACTTCAAACTTAAATTATATGAAATCTTTTTTGAAAAAACCATAAAAACGTTATATCTAGAAAAATACCAAGATTTGATCAGTCATAATTGGAGACAAGATTCGCAACCCCTGAGGGTACTCTGAGATCCCCCAATTAGGGTTGGGAATTACAAACTGTTGAAGAAAAATTTATGTTATCTGAACACTTGTTGAAAAAAAGCACAAAAAACATATCTCGAAAACTAAAAGGATTTGAGCAGTCATATTTGGAGGCAAAATTCGAAAGCCTCGAGAGTACTTTGACAGCACCCAACTACGGGGTTGAGAATTTCAAGTTTTTGTAAATTATTTTGTAATTTAAGTTTTCTGAAAATTAACATTTGTTGAAAAAAAATCACAACAATCGTCGTATCTCGTACACTAAAAGGATTTGGGCATTCATAATTCGAGGCCGAATTTGCAACACCCAAGGTGAATTCTGACAGCATCACACTATTGATTTGCTAATTTTATACTTGGTGAACTTAACAATGCGTTCAAACGGGAAAAGCGAGAAAACTTTCTTAAGCATTACAATATACGATATAGCTTAACCGTGAAAAAATTCTTTCGTTGAACATTCAAAAATAATACGTTGAAAAAATTTAAACGCGGTGAGATTAGGAATCCCGCATTTAAATTTATAAAAGAATAATAGATAACCCTCTACCCATTCCGTTGGTTATTTATGGTACCTGATTTTGCGTGGAAAACAAAAAATCACCCGAATGCAATGATCATCCCAAATTTTAGTGGTCAGAACAATGTGTGAAAACTCATTTCCTTCATTAACATTTAAACACATTAAATAGCAATCTCTGGAAAAACCCCATCGGATATGGGAAAAAAGATTGATGAAAGCTGATGCTGCTGCTACATGTAAATCGAGCCTTGAAACAATGTTAACTCAAAATGTACCTAAATCCGGCGTAGACTATGCACATAGCAGCAGTGAAAGATAACAAAGGGTAGTCCAAGGCAGACAGATAACCATGCGGCGCAATGAACTCCACGTCGAAGGATCCCTTCGCTTGTGTGTCTTTCGCTTGAGTAGAGTTGAGCGCCTTGATCTCAAGCAACAAGAGATGAGGTCCAGCGGATTCTGTTTTGTACACTTTATAACCTGTAACAATCATATGAAATGTCTATCGATTCGATATTTTGAACTGCCTGTGCAGTTGGTCAACTGTCATTGGAAAAGGTGACCAAAAAACAAAAGGGGTCCTTACTGTTTGTTTTCGGCTTTTCTGTTGCTGAACGTCTTGAGCGCATTCCTTCGTTTCCTTTCTTTGAATCGTCGTTGATTGTAGGTTTCTCGACTTTTGTGGGACTGATCGCGGGAAGAACTTGCACTCTCACAGGGGTTTGGCCGGTTAGATCATCCAAAATTACTGGTTCACCACATGTGAGAACCTGCTCGTTCACACGAGAGTTCTCAGTAGCAGAAAGACCGGGGCCAATTAAATCACTGTACTCCTCGTTTTGAAACAATGCCTATGAACAAATATTCCGATGAAACGATAAAATGGTTAATCCCTGCTTTTTTACATATTTCAATACTCCAATGATCGAGCCCACTTACTTTTACATCATCAAACAGCCGGAAGGCATCATCTGATTGAACAACTCGATAGATTCCGCTGCATGGTGAACGTCGGAGAAACCACCGAACTTGAAATTTGAATACCTCGTCCGATTTTTCATTATTGTGGAAGCACTCTATTCTAAGACGTACCTAAAGATCATTAACGTAATTTTACTGCGCTAGGCCATTGTTAAACCAAAAATTACTAGAGGGTGAGAATTTCAACAATCTGAGAAATTTTTTTAAATTAAATTTTATAGAAATTTTTGAAAAATCTCGAAAATTGCTTATCTCGTAAACAAGGATTTGCTTATTGATATATGGAGGCCAGAATTGCAAAACCTGGGAAAACTCTGACAACATCCTACTATAGGGATGCTAATTTCAAACTTGATGAAATAAACACTGAATTTCAACTGGAAAATCGAAAAAAAACCTTAACCATTGCAATATACGATATAGCTTGAACGTGAAAATTTTTTTTTGTTAAACATGCAGAAATATTACGTTGAAAAAGCTTACACATGGCAAGATAGAGAAGCCCGCATTTAATACATAAGAGACGGCATGAAAGTTAAAAAATTAGGCGACGGGTAAGGCAGGCAAAATCAAATTCATTAAAAAAGCAGATATACAGACAGACTTAATTTGGCCTCGAAAAAAAACTGAAAAATTAATGACCTTGCGGAAAACTAATTAAAATTTTTTCTTAAGCATTGCAATATATGATATAGCTTAAACATGAAAAAATTCTTTCGTTAAATATGCAAAATTATTATGCGTTCGTTAAACATGGGAGATAGCTGTCACTCGCATTTAAATATAGTATGGATAGATATAAATATAGATAGATAGATAGAAGATGTAGCAAGCAAACTAACCTCTGTTTGGTTTTCCAGAACAGCATGAAAGAACCTTTTAGTCCCATCAACAAAATCTATTTCTTCATTTGTCCATTTTGTACGTTCTGGGAAGCAAAAACAACCAGCAAAACTTATCAAGGTGACTACTGCTCGTATTAACATGATCTGAAATCGAAAAATAACAGAACTGAAATGCATAAGTTAGAAACGTGCAAAGACCAGTCTTATACAGATCAGTGATGCTCATCGCGAAGCTCGTGCTAATTCCGGTTTAGTGTTTGTTGTTTTAATAATATTAATAATAATAATAATAAACAAGGATTTAGACATAAAGCCATGGGGCTAAAAAGCCCCGCGTTGGGAGTTTTAAACTGAGTTTTATAGTTTCTTTGAGTTTAGACAGCTATTGCAGCAGTTTATTCTCCATGTGCATGGGACACTTTCCTCATATTTACTGATGAAATATATCCAGAAAACGTTTTTGAGGCTTGATTTGAGTCTTTCGTATTTCATCGCAAACAGGTCTTCTTCTTCCTGAGTCTGTAAAATTTTGTTTGCTAGTATAGGTGTTCTGTGCCAGAAATTGCTTTTCGATTTTTCGTAATGACAATTTTTATGCGCTAAGTTATTTTTCGTTGATCTTCTTGTTGGGGCTGTAGATTCTTTGAACTGAACAAATTGTCTCCAATGGAAGTTGTATTGGTCGTTTATTATTTTATGAAGCAAGAGAATGTCGTGCATTTCGTGGTAGAGAGACAGTGGAAGCAGGTTTAATCTAATCAGTCTGTCTTTATAGTTGATGTTGTTACATGACAGTATCCAACGTGTAGCTTTTCTTTGGACATCTTCAATAATTTTTAATTCACACTTATTTGCTTTCCATATGGGTGAGCCATATGACACAATTGGGGTTACATATCCACAGTAGGAGTTCAGTTTCATTTTTAAGCTCGCTGATTTTGAAATATTTCTTTTAATTAAAAATAAGCAGCCTATTGCTTTTTGGGCTCTTATTTTTGCGTGTGCTGACCAGTTTAGGTTGTTGGTTATTTGTATACCAAGGTCTTTTTCTGAACAAGTTTTTTCAAGTATATGGTCACCGAGATACATGTTTAGGTCAAGTTGGGGGTCTTTGAATATTATATTGTGACATTTTTTCAAATAAAGACTCATGGAATTATCTTTGCACCATAAGTTGATCGTGATTAGGTCATGTTGGAGCAGGGAAGGGTTCGTTGCAACAATTTTATAATCGTCTGCGTAACCATAGCACGAGTTGGTGAGTGATGACGGTAAATCGTTGATGAATTTGATTTCTGACATACCTATCATGAGGCATGATTTTTTTTTATTTTGTACTGTTTTTAGACTGATGATGGCGTGAAAGCCCAAAACGTTTTCGAATAGATTATTAACATTGATCCCTGTTTTTCCTACTAATTTACCAAACGGTAACCAAGCCGAAAACTACCTTGGCAGAAACCCTTTGAGCCGAAAAAATCAACAAAAATTAAAATTAATAAGTACCCTTCCTACTCAAAACACAGACACGCACGAACAAAGACTTATCGCGAGTCGAAAGAAAAAATGTTCATGAAAAAACTTGAACTAGAATTTCTCTCAAAATTGTAAGCATTTGTGAGATCCAGAGATCAGCATAAAAGTTTGTTTTCCATGAAATGAATCAAAATTATTTTTAAAACCTGAAGATTCACAAAAATGTGCGAAAACGTTGGTTTGAATTTACAATTTTAACGCATTCTCAAAATTATTTCACTAAGCCGATAAAATTAGTCAGAAATCATTTGGGTAGAGTAAAGTTTTTAAGCAAAAAAAAAACATAAAAGTCAAAATTAGTAAAATCACAAACATCAGCGGTAATTCAGAACACCAAAAGCAACTACAATGTAAAAAAAACCATAAAACAACAATTCTACAATATGACAACAAAGACGACAAAACATAAGCAGAAAAATAATGAACCAATAACTTTTTAGTGAAACGGAATATTTCCCGTTCGAAAAAAACCAGGTCCTGTTGGATTCGAACTCAGGACCTTTGCCGTCCCAGGCGTTTTCGTTACCTCACGACCAAGTGTGCGGGAGACACAAATAAATTGAAATTAATTGAGAACTGAACCTAAGTTAATCCTTTCAAATTTTGACCATTCGTCTCAAAATATCTCAAGAATAAACTATTTGGATGCACTGGGTGTGGTCTTCTTCTGGACGGCAATTTATTTCGTCAATTCAATTATTCCTGGGAACTGATCATAGTCTCTTCCCCTTCAACTGATTGTACCCCGCATCCTGATCGAACCACTTTCAACTCATCGTTAGCCCAGAATTGGCAAAGCAAAAGAAAATAGGAAGTCCCTATTCACGACTGGCTGCTGTGAGATACCTTAATTCTATGCCTGTTTACCGTGTCGATCTAGCCAATTGATTTTTGTTCTGTTCAAGGGCTAACCATCGCGTTACAACTTTTAGGCTATCAGCCAAACGATGCTCCATATCCCGGATGACACAGCGCAGCCTTCCATCGCGAAGAGTAAACAGTGTTAAAGGCCTTATTGATGGAGACGTAATGAAAAGGAAGGTGGAAGTATTCTGGAGGTTATTTTTTTCAAAAATTCGATTTGAGCCAGATCGAAGACAAAAAGGCTGCCATTTAAATTGCGACGTGTCATAGAGAGAGAAAAGCTGAGTTACACATGAAAAACGGTCGTGTGACAAGAGGAAGAAGATATACTTCGATTTCGAACGGAAAAATACAACTGAAGCTATCGGACGTCACGCGCAGACACGATAACAAGCTCAGTCTTGAGAGCAAGTGGAATCGGAAGATCTGTGCCAGTCAGTCATATTAAGAAATTGTAACATTCGCCCGGAAGTACAAAAATAAAGCTAGGTTGTAAAACGACTGGCTAGCGTCTAGAGACAGCTCTACATGCTTTTAACTGTCTCTGCCAAAGCCAGTTCTTTGAGTGGTACTTTTAACGTCTGTTCGATAAAATCGTTACTGTTTTGGGCTTCGGTCGGAACGCTCAGATTAACTTAGTTACATGCAAAAACAGTGAGCTCATGGCTTGGTCTCAGTATACCCAGACCACGAGGTCACACCTAAAAACAGGGCTACTACTTATTTATTACATAACTATTTTTTTTTGTTCAGTAGATAAAAAGTATCATGCCCATCGGAGTTGGATGAACACCTTCCCTCAACTCCTAGCTTCTCGTTATCTGTGTAACATTCGCCCAAATACTACATAGTGACGAGCGTAGAAAAATCACCTATTGATGACTGGCCGACATCAGTTACCTAAATTCTACCCATTTTTCAGCGTCTCGACCTAGCCAGTTGATTTTCTGGCCTGTTTCGGGCTAAGTAAAGAGTTACCATTTTCAGGCCATCAGTCAAACGACTTTTAATCAGCTTCCGTTTACTTGCGAAGATAACCACAATGCCTGGTCTCGGATCCCCAGACTACATGACTATCATGAAACAAGGCTCGAATAACCTACCGTGTCGATCTAGCCAAATGATTTTTGTTCTGTTCAAGGGCTAACCATCGCGTTACAACTTTTAGGCTATCAGCCAAACGATGCTCCATAACCCGGATGACACAGCGCAGCCTTCCATCGCGAAGAGTAAACAGTGTTAAAGGCCTTATTGATGGAGACGTAATGAAAAGGAAGGTGGAAGTATTCTGGAGGTTATTTTTTTCAAAAATTCGATTTGAGCCAGAATAATTTTCAGAAAGACAAAAAGGCTGCCATTGAAATTGCGACGTGTCATAGAGAGAAAAGCTGAGTTTCACATGAAAAACGGCCGTGTGACAAGAGGAAGAAGATATAATTCGATTTCGAACGGAAAAATACAACTGAAGCTATCGGACGTCACGCGCAGACACGATAACAAGCTCAGTCTTGAGAGCAAGTGGAATCGGAAGATCTGTGCCAGTCAGTCATATTTAGAAGTTGTAACATTCGCCCGGAAGTACAAAAATAAAGCTAGGTTGTAAAACGACTGGCTAGCGTCTAAAGACAGCTCTACATGCTTTTAACTGTCTCTGCCAAAGCCAGTTCCTTGTGTGGTACTTTTAACGTCGGGTCGATAAAATCGTTACTGTTTTGGGCTTCGGTCGGAACGCTCAGATTAACTTAGTTACATGCAAAAACACTGAGCTCATGGATTGGTCTCAGTATACCCAGACCACGAGGTCACCCCTAAAAACAGGGCTACTGCTTTCTTATTTAGAAAAAGCACCTATTGACGACTGGCCGACATCAGTTACCTAAATTCTACTCGTTTTTCACCGTCTTGACCTAGCCAGTTGATGTTCTGGCCTGTTTCGGGCTAAGTAAAGAGTTACCACTTTCAGGCCATCAGTCAAACGACTTTTAATCAGCTTCCGTTTACTTGCGAAGATAACCACAATGCTGGGTCTCGGATCCCCAGACTACATGACTATCATAAAAAACAAGGCTCGAATATCCTAATTTACTATGTTTTTGGTGACAGTTCTATTTTAAATCCATTAGAGATAGATTGACCCTTTCCTCTTTCCAGCTACGCATACTCTAAAATAACAAATAATATCTGTGTTAATTCAAATGTTTAGGACATCAGAGTAGCTAAAAAGATAGTTTTCTGTAGTCTTTCACCATATGACAGTCTCTGGGGGCCGAGCCACCAATTCCGCGCTCTTCCAGTAATAACAACGTTATTATTCTAAGTTCGTGGCACAGGAGGGTACTGCTCCTTCCGTCTAACCCACTGAAGCCTTTTTTCCTTCTGTCGAGTTCAGTTAGTTGTCTTATCTGGCCACCAGTCGTCAAGCTGCTTTTTCAAGCTTCTGCAGAGTCCGCTCCACGACTGGATCACCAGGGTGTCACTCGGGTTCGGAATTGTTATTCTGCCGGCTGCTGTCGGAATTTGCACCTCTAGTGTTCGGCTTAGTTCGCGAGGCGTCAGAAGCTCCATCGGAGACTGCCCACGAGGAACATCCCTTAGGGGTATCGTTCCTTCCACTGCTGTCGTTAATACCAACCGCTTCGATCGCTCCTTATATTCTCGCATCAGGCGTTCAATCTCCTTGCCCTGCTTCTTATTGCAATCCTCGAACAGTCTCTTCCACATGTCTCTGTCCTCTTCAACAC